ACACTCGGGCTTTTTGCAAACGGCAGAAAACACAACCGTTAATGTGGAGCACTTCTTAGACTCAAATAAATGCAAAAAGTTCATTTTGTCTTCTTATGTTTAATGTTGTTTTAATAAGACAAGAAAGTAAAGAAAGCTAGTACTGCTTAATTATCTGACATCAGGTAATTAAGCAGTACTAGCTTTCTTAACTTTCTTTTAATATTAAAAGAACCTTCAGAGACTTTTTAGACTCAATGTAACATTAGCCTAAACTTCAAATATGGACAAAACTTTGGGCACCCCTTTACATTTTTATGATTTTCCTTTATAAATCGTTGGTAGTTTGGATAAGAAATGTCAGTTAAATATATCATATAGGAGACTGTGACTATCACACTGTGATATTTTAGAAGTGAATTAACGTTTGTATCATTTACAGAAAGTGTCCAAGAATTATTTAAACCATATTAGGCATGTTTATAAATTTAAAAATCCTGAAAAAAATGTATTTAAATACTTTATCATTGGTTTTGTATCCTCAGTGACCCTTGACCTCCATACACAGGTGGATCCAATCATAGGAAAGGATGTTTATAGACAAGTCTTTACTTGCAATTGACGTCACTTCCGCCTCATTACGTAACACGAAGTGGTGGTCAGCCTTGTGAAGAGATTAGTAAAGAGCCTCTCACTAAGGACTTTACGAAAAGACGCAGAGAAAAGTGGCTCGCAAACATTTCACTAGAAAACGCGTTTACCTCGAAGGATTATTTATTTACCCAGCGATGCAGTCACAATGCACAGTTATTACATCCCCATCTTTTTTTTAATTAACTTTCAGGTATGAGCTGATGTTTTCGATAAACACTGTGAATGTTTGACCTGAAAAGAACACAGCCACATGTTGAAGCATCGTTTTGTTGAGAATGATAAGTTCATACCAATTGTTACTTACACGGCTCTTTACGATGCAGGATTTGTTCTTCAGGACCTTAACTCTGAGTTCCTTAACCCACAGACAGTTGTAGCATCCATGCTTTTCCAAGCCTTCATTTGTTCAGCAGTACAAAAGCTTGATTGTAACACTAGTTTGAGATATCTGGGAGTTGAACTGGTGGATATTTTTCTAACTCAAATCATTCTACTCTTTCGATGTATAGATCTCGAGAATTAGAATCTAAAGTGAAGACAATGACAGTCTACTAGGATCGTGTCTTTGATACAGACAGAAGATATGTTTTATTGTTGAGGATAGGAATGGAGAACTATCAGCATTCGCCGCGGTGCCAGTAGCTTTAACCTTGATATTACCAAAACATGTAGTGGAAAAATACTGCCTCATGCATTGTTAGAATGATGAGTTAGGACTTTAACCACAGTAGCTTCAAAGTGTCATGAAATATCAAAAAAGCACAAAAATACTCAGAGGAAGAGTCACATTTTCTTCGCATATCAGCAGCATTTTTTGTTGGCCTGACCACCACTTCATTAACCGGAAGTTGATGCGTCACGTGACTGCAAGATGATGCGATGGAAGGGTAATGCGGGAAAAGCCTTTTATCTGCACTCGAGGTGCCGCTTGGGGTATGCTAAAGCACATTTGGACTAGCTAGCTTCATTTTGGAATAAGGTGCAGTGGACTGATGCAACTGAAATAGAGCTTTTTGGGCAGAACAAGGGGCGTTATGCATGGAGGAACAAGAACACAAGAACACAGCCTTCCAAAAACACACACTACCTACAGTAACATTTTGTGGTGGTTGCTACTTGCTGTGGGGCTGTGTATCCAGTGCAGTCTTTAACAAGATAAGGACCCTAAACACTGCTCAAAATCTACGTATGATTACGTTTGAAATGGGCTGTCCATACTCGGAACCCATCAAACCTGAGTGAAATAGAGATGATTTGCCAAGAAGAATGATCCCAAATACCAGAATCCAGAATCCAGACTCTAATTGTAAGTTATAGGAAGCGTTTAGAAGCTGTACTATAAAGTTATTTCACTTCTCAAATAGCACTGTGTTTGTCTCCTATATATGTTAACTGAAATTTCTTAACCAAACAACCAATGATTTATAAAGGAAAATCATACAAGAAGATGATTGATGACACAAGTTGACAGCCAAAAAATGGTCAGCGGTTTCTTAACTGATCGAGACTAATTTTGGTGTTCTGAGTCCGAATATCACATGGATTTTGCTCTATCAGGTTAACTTTTTGAGATACAGCCATAGTGTTACAGATTATGTACGTCTACGTTATTATGAATTCTGCTTATCAAATTTGATGGAGTAAATAAAAACTGTATGACTTTGGATAAGTTGACTTTTATTTCTTGAGGAAAACGGAAAGAACGTCAAGGGTTTCTCAGCTGATGATCCGCAGAAATTAGTTTTTTACGCAAAATCCATTAAAAAAAATATTTCTGTAGCAAAAAATCCTGACCTGATTGAGCAAAACCAACCCTGGACTATTTTTTAAAAACAAATTTTTGTTACCCAGTGTGATTGATGATGAAATACTGCAAACTGCACTAACTGAAGCGGAAGCCATTATGAATGATCAACTATGAATGACCATGTCTTGAGTGACCTGAATGATCTGAAGCCACTCACTCCTGACCATCTATTGTGCCTCAAACTAAAATTCACATTGCCATCAGGAGTTTTTGTGAAAGAGGACATTTATTGCAGCAAGAAATGGAGACAGGCACAATATTTGGCTGACCTAGATACAATGAACTAGAGTACCTCCCCTTACTGCAGCAAAGATGCAATTATCTATCTGTAAAGCGTTGTGATGCTAGTCATTATTAGCCTCACACCAAAAATAACCGTCAGCCTGGTGATCTGGTCTTCCTTGTGGACGATTCAGCACCAAGAAGATTGGTTGAGTCTTGGAAACCTTTCTTTGACAGAAGTGTAATGGTCAGAACAAAAATAATGTTCTGCAACAAACAAAAAGCAAGCTTTGTCTGCTCATGGAACCTGTTGAAATGTGGGTTATATGGCTCCCTCAAGTGGTGTAATTGTTCCGCTAAAGCTTTGGAGATTAGTGTTGGAGCCTGTTAATGTACTATTATTTATTCAATGTTTATTTGTTACCCTTGGTCAGAATAAGGATGTCATGCTCCCCTCCGCTGCAATCACACATCTCCCCTCTGCAGCAGGATGGTGTCAGTATGAGAGGAGAAGTGAAACCCATCCACCCATCCATTTTCTTCCCCTTAATCCATTTCTGGGTTGGGATGGCAGTCAGAGCTGCACCCAGTACACAGAGCACCAGCCCCTCATTGATCCTCCTGCAGGTGGTGAGCCCACAGGAGCCTTAATCTCTCAGCAGGCGCTTCAGGCAAAGTGTGGTTAAGTGTTTTGCACCAAGGAGAGCAGACACAGGCCCAAAGGCCAATGCTCAACCAACTGAGCCACTGTCGGAGAAGTGAAACTGTGTTTGTAATGTACATAATCCAAAGTAAGACTAACGACAAAGAATTTTGCTCTTTAGAATAAACTGCATAATTGAAAAGACAACTTTATGTGAGTGACAAACTTTTAAAGGTCAAGACACAGTGCCATCTATGTATATTCAGGTTTCTACCTTCTATCTGGTTACAACTACAGACATAAAGATATTGGTCACAAAAAGACAGACAGCTGTAAAATTAAAGTAAAACGATTTTTTGTAAATAGGAAAATTAAATAATCAAAGCTTTGTACTTGTAAACACTGAGTTCTGTTTCTTTGTCAGCATCAGTTTTTATAGATCTTGCCCCAGGTTATAAATTGGACTTTAACTGGGCCATGTTTACATGCCCTGGGCCCCTGCTGATGGCAAGCATGTGTAAGTTTTCTTCTATATATAGTGTTTTGCATTTAGTCAAATGTTGAGCGTTCTGCCTTGCTTCTTGTGGCTTTAATTCAACACTGACTTTCTATATCCCACTGGAAAAAATCCAGATATGTGTAACTGAGTTTGGTCCAAGTGAACATGCCTTATGACTAATATTCATTCCATGCACAGATTCCCTCCAGGTGAGCTGTGGCTGCAGCTCCTCCATGGGCCTTGCTGGGCCTGGTTTAAGGGCAGGGCCAGTGCTACAGTACACTGGGCCCTACTCTGCATTCACTACAGCTTTGGCTTTTGCTATTATAATTTATTGGTTGAGCACAGCACATTGGTCACCTGCAGAATTCTGTGGAGCTGATATAGAGTCAAAGACCATTAGCACAAGCATGTTTGCCATGTGTTTTGACTGAAAGCCGTGTCACTACGTGCATCTTACGAGCCTTGTATTTTCAGGCTGACAAGGGTGCGTGGGCATCTGAATTCAGAATATTACAATTCCTGTGTTTGAACTGTTTGATTCTCTGATTTGTTGTTGGTGAATCCACAAATTTGCTAAGTCCCCCGAGACGACTGCTGATTTAATTAAGGTGTTACACAAATACATGAAATTGAAATTTGTCTTTGTACTGACGTCAGCTGCCCTGCTGCAGTCTCTCTGTGCACTGCCACCTGTCCTTCTAATTATAGACCTGGAGCAGAGTCGGCAGGGACCTGCTGCTGCTCCTGATACACAGTTTGGTTTAAAGCAAGGTCCACGAGTAGATCACGCTAGTCCTCTGAAACTAATCACAGTAGTGCAGAGATCAGAGAGACTAGGGAGACCAGATAGAGACCAGAGAGAGACCAGACAGAGAGACCAGCGAGAGACTAGAGAGGGACCAGAGAGAGACCAGAGAGTGCGAAACAGAGGGACTAGAGAGAGAAAGTGTGTAGACTATATGTGTGCATTAGGCAAAAGTTTAATGAATGCATGAATTAAATGTGTTTATGATATCTACCCGACATTGGAGAATACATTTCTTTTTGGAATGTAACAGTCTGTGCTAAAAGGAATGCGTGAAATGCATATTGAACTGGATCTATTGCCATAGTTATCGTGACGATGCTCTCATCAGTACCATATCTGCTCCAAACTGGGTCAATCTAACGTATGTGTGTGTCTGTCTCTGCAGGGCCATGTTGAGTGACATCGGGGACTATGTAGGTACAGACATTCAAATCTCCTGGTTACCAAACCTGGATGATTTAATGAAGGGCTATGCCAGAAACTTCCGCCCTGGGATAGGAGGTGAGTATGAGATCTGGGGCTGTGCGTTGGGCTGCTCTTCACCCACACATCTACAGCCATCCTTAGCCCCACTCGCCCCCTCACCCACTCAACCACGCATGTCCTGCTCTGCCTCACTCATCCACATGGGGTCGCGTGACTGGTAGCATGTTGTCTTTTGAGCAGATTGTAACCTACCATGAAGCAACATTCAAATTGTGCCTTTTCCCCGCAACGATTTCAGACTTGATTTCAACTTCTAAAACATAAGAAATGAAAATCTAGATGCTGACTTCAGATTGGTGCGTTGGAGACGCCTGCGCAGAGTCTGCATTGTAATCGTTGAAATGATTCCCAAACAGTATTTTTTGCAAATAGTAGAATAGAAATAGAAAATATGGGAGGAGCACCAGGAAGCCATCTTAAGTAGGGGAAGCTATATATGTGGAGAGAGGAAGAGAAAGAGAGAGAGAGAGAGAAAGAGAGAGAGAGAGACAAAAATCCCCTTCAACTACCCTTTTTAAGGGATCAAAACAGAGCGATACAAAACAAAGGAGCAAAGTGTAGTTTGTTCTTAGTTGCACTATGTCTTGACAAGAATGCGTTGGAGGAGGAGAGTTCGCATTAGCTGTGTGTTTGGCATCTGGTGTATTTCGAAGTGGATGTGCTACTGTGATAACCATGTTCACACCGACAATACGCAGATAATTGGCAACTTTTTTTGAACTAGACTTTTCATTCGAACGCTTGTTAACATCTATTTTGGCATTTAGCACTAAACAAACCAGTCTCTTTCACTGCGAGCGAGCAGGCAAGACGGCAAAACACAAACCAAACACTTAATTATTTCTAATTTATAAGCTTGCTCTTTACTAGATTAATCTATTTGATACACCCTTTAAACATTTAATAAAGATATGTCTCCTTAATATCATAAAATGTTTGCAACATTTTGCTTGTTGGTTTTGGTGACTGTGCAGTTTTGCAACATCACAGCCAGAGAAAGGAGAGCTCTAAACAAGGTGCTCGGCTCTGCAAAGAGGGCTGTGAGCTGCCTGCTCTAGAGTTTCTTCCAGACTTCTAAACTGAGATCTTAGAATAATCAATGACTCTTCTGGTCACCCTGGAAAAGCCATGTTCCGGCTTTTTTTCTCTGAGATAAGATATTGTTCTTCGAGATGCAGGACATCTTGTTTTGCTTACCGCTTCTTTCCACAAGCAGTTATTAGTTTAAACAAAGCACTTTAATGTTCTTCCGCTTGTATTGATACAGTTTTTGTTGATCGATTTCACAGTTTCCTATTCTTTTAGCTTAATCTGAATCTGATCATACTCCACTTTCCCATAAATTCCCGTAGAAAGCAAGGGCGTAGGTTTGCGTGGGGACCATGGGGACATGTCCCCACCAATATTTGGTGAGGACTAAAAAGTCCCCACCAAAATGACATGATGTCCCGTGACCCGGACGGTCCGGGACACATGTCTTCCGTTTGTGCATACGTCGCGCCTCCTCCTCGCCTCCAGAGCAACAGCAGCAGCAGCAGCACGTGACCCGTTCCGTTCTCTGCAGTGATTGGCTGTCTTCTTCAGCGCCAAACTGAAGCACTGAGCAACTGTTTAATTTTTAAAAGTTAGCCAGCGTGAAGCAAGTGTTTTTTTTTGTTCCCTGAGCTTTGTAGCACGTGAGTAATCAGAGGAAAGTACTGTAGATCTATTACCATTCAAAGTACTTACGTTATTTCTAATCTGTCAGCGCACTGTTTAATGTTCCGAGGAGCTCACACGGCATACAGAGACAGAACAGAACTGGCTCCAATAAAGAAACTAGTTGGTTGAAAGGCTGAAAAAATACTTATTGTGCTCTTACTATCCAAAATGTATAAGTGGGTGTGTTGTGTGAATCAGGATAAACTAGGGATGAAAATATTCCACGGATCCACGATTTACAACCTTTATCTGCTGATAATGTAATTTCTGTGAAATGTGTGACAGCGGGCACTTGCTGCTATTTGCTCTAAGCACATTCAAGAGATGCACTCGAATGTGCACGTCCTGGTGCAGCTGCTGCCGCTTTGTAATGACAGCCGCGGCGCTCAGTGAAAGCACAGCTCTAACATGGTACCGAGCTCGGACCATATGCAGACAGAACCATGTTGCAAGTGCGGGTCTCCCTCGTATCTCCCCCGTTTCTCCCCTGTGTCTCTACATGTCTCTCCCCTGACTCTTCCCAAAGCGCAACCAGCGCTCCCGAAATTAAAGCTCGGATACGTAAATTTTCCATTGCGTTAACGATGCATGCTGGTTGTGCGCAAAACACACCACAACAGGTCATTTAAGTTTTTATTTTGCATACTTGAGAGCCCTGTGAGTCATTACTTGCCTTTTTGGGTTGAGAGTGGAATAAAAAAAAGAAAATATAGAAAAATCCACACTGTTACTTATTGCCAAACTCTTGTTAACTCATTGTATTGAGAAATACTATGTCACTTTTGACATTGGCCAAGTTATATAAATGATTCTGCAGTTCATGTATATGAATGTCTGTTTTTGATTGTCTATACCTTCTTATATAATTTAGAAAAAATGCCACCTCCACAAAAAAAGATAAAACATATCAGGAGCTTTTTTAACAGTTGGAAAGTAAGTAAGAGAAAGCACAAGTAATAGCAAATTATGAATTGTGATGATTAATCTTCTGTTAACATACATAGGAAACTCAACCACCAAGAGAGAACAATATAGGGAATGTTGAGGTAGAAGCAACAGGCCCTTCAGTGCATCAGGTGAGGTTGGAATTTTGTAGGTATGCATGGGACTATGAATTGTTTTTAGAGATTGATCGTATATGTCAAACAATGTAGTGAGCTACTCACTGTAGATTCTAATTCAATATTTTCTCCTCTGTTTTTATTACTGCTTCTCATTCAGTCTACAGCTGAGTTTAGTATAGAAGGCAACACACTATTGCAAATATAGTGTGTGATTACACAACAAATTCTGGGGGAGAAACTCTGGACCCCCAATGGGTGTAGACTCAGGTCGTAGTGAATGTCCCCACCAAGATTGGAACCAAACCTACACCATTGGTAGAAAGTTTCCATCTTTGAAAAATATTGGAATTTTGCAACCCTAGTATTTACCAGTGTGGGGAGCTGCATAAGTGTGAGAGCTTCTTGGTGAGCCAAACAAACCATCACATTTTGTCCTTTATTCTCTTATAAATAGTGAAGGGTCTTCAAAAAGGTCTGGGTCTGATTTCAGATTATGCCAGTGGTTTTTAGTCTGGATTTAATGGCTGGTGTGTGGGTTGAATTTTTGTGATGCAGGTAATAGAACTGTTTCTACTCTTTTGAAGCCGTTCGAGTGATCTTGTATATGACTCGCTCAAATGCATCTTGTACCCTGAGGGAGATGGTGGACAGCTTCAAGTACCTGGGTATTCACATTAACAATAAACTGTCCCATAACACCAACAAGACGGGCCAAAGTTGCCTCCACCTTCTGACGAGGCTGTGGTCCTTCGGAGTGTGCAGGCCTCTGCTCAGGACCTTTTATGACTCCTGCTGTGTGCTGGGCCCCGTGCAGCTACTCGACAGGAGTAGACTGAACAAGCTGGTCAGGAGGGCCAGCTCTGCTTTGGGCTGCCCCCTGAACTCTGTGGAGGAGGTGAGGGACAGGAGGGTGCTGGTCAAAGTCACCACCATTATGGACAACACCTCCATCATGAACAATACCTCCCACCCACTGCAAAGGACTGTAGAGGAGCTGAGGAGCTCCTTCAGTGGAAGACTGAGGCACCCTCAGTGCAAGAAGGAGCGCTACCGCAGGGCCTTTAACCCCACCGCTGTCAGACTGTACAACAAGTCACTAATGCACTAGGACTGAAGTAAACCTGCACTGCTATTTCCACTCTTTCTTTTATTGCCACTTTTTGTATTGTACACAATTATATCTTGCACTAATTTTTAAACCTTAACATGTTTGCACACTTCTGTCTTTTACACAATCTGAGTGATTCTATCCATGCCAAATTTAAATTTCTCCAGTGTGAGATCAATAAAGTCTTATATTAAGATCATGATTAATTTATAATGTCCAGTAGGAAATTTGTCTTTGACTCACAGGCTGCTACATTGAAAATACACACAGACATAAACCATTACCGCTCTGCTCGATGGCCTGCATTCAGGAGGTTCACAGATTTAGATGGATAGATAGATAGATACTTTATTGATCCCCCATAGGAGACATTTGAGGTGTCCAGTACCAGCAGAAACACATGCATTCATACAAACAAAACAAATGAACAAATTATTCTTAAAAATAGCTAACAATAGTATTAAAATGCAACAGAACTTTAGGTCAGAGCAGCAGAGGTGGATTAGCCGATTGGTTCGGACCATTTTCTCTGCTCTAGTCCAATGTGAGATGCTGAATGCTTTGTTAGCATTTTTCTAAAAGTTAGCATTCCTCCCGTGGATTTTCGCCTGATCTGCTTGTTTTGGACCATGAATCCTCTCCACTTAGGTCTGGACCAGTGTAAAACCATAAACACTGTTCTGCAGCAACATCTCAGGTAGAAAAAAGCAAGATAAATAACAATTGTAAAACATAAAATAACAACTGTTTCAGAGCTACTTAGGTCTTAAAATGTTTTTTCTTCTTACCTGAGGCTTTTTGAATCTACCCCACCAACTTAAGCAAGCCACCTGCGTCTCAGCCTCCTGGTTCTCCCTTAAGCTGGCCTCCTGGTGCTCAGTCTCCTGGTGCTCCGCCTTCTGGTTCTCAGCCTCCCGCTTTCTGTAGTTTAACTGTGAAACCAGCCGTGTCCTGGATGTCTTTGAATGAGTCAAAGTCACCATGATGAGGGGTGGCACCATGAGGCATTTGTTCTTTAAAACTGAGGTGCCTAACTTTCAAATCACACAGATTCACTTTGTAGTTCAATCCATGTTCCTGGCTCTGAAAGAGGTCATTTGCATGTGTGGCCTCATACTGTACACCGTAAGATCAGTCCAAATAGTCCAATAGTGACTCAGGGTTCTTTTGTAAGTGTGCAAAAGTGCCTGTGTGTGTCTCTAATGAGATGAAGACAGCTGTTGGACACACAACAAATATATGGACAAAACTTAGATAACCCAGTTTTATTGGCAGAGACAATATTGTGGATACAGTGTGTAGAGATCATGGGGGTTAGGGGTCATGAATCAGAATCAGAATCATTTTTATTTATTATGTAAGTAACAGAAATTAAGTAAGTAAGTAAGCTTTTATTTATATACCGCCTTTTTTACTGCACATCGGAGTCTCAAAGCGGTTTACAATTGTTGGGTGGGGGTGCCAGTACAGGAGGCACATGCCATACCTATTGTACATATTTTTAGTGGTAGGGGAAACCGGAGCACCCGGAGGAAACCTACGCAGACACGGGGAGAACATGCAAACTCCACTCAGAAAGGCCCTGGTCCAACCGGGATTTGAACCCAGGACCTTCTTGCTGAGCAGCCACCGTGCCGCCCACAGAAAGTCACAGACTAGGAAATTGAGGGTCAGGGGTCATGAGCATGTGCAACACCCCCCCCCCGGTCTATCCTCCACCCATTAAATGATTTAAGAGGTCATGAGTGACCATCGCATGTTCTACCTCGATACCTCCTCCCAAGAGGTAAAGTGACCACCAGTGTTTGCAGCATAACTAAAACGGTTTTTAGAGGATTTGAATAAAAATCCCAGAAAACATGCACTGATTCCATTTTTGAGGAGACATGTGCTCTACCAGTGCTAGTTTTAAAGCAGAGGCAAGCAGTGGACCAACATGGAGGCAGGGCTCGATGGGCCATGTGCACGTTTCCTGGTAATGTCATCCAAATTCTCCTAGAACTTCTAGAGTTCTGCTGCACACAGACAAACACAGTTGATCACTTGATCTCCTGGGTTAGGGTCTGGGTAAGCATCACATCTCCTCTCTCCATCTCTCATGTTGCTAAGAATGGCTGGCAGACGTGACAGACCCAATGGCTGCAGCTTTAGATTTCTCAACCTCACAGCTTAACTCAGCTCGCCTCAGGTGGAACTGCAGAGCATTACTTTCGCCATGGCAACAGCATATCATGCACACTAGTCGCCATAGCAGCACATCATGCAACTGCGTAAGCCTGTGTCAAGCGGTTGTCATGGCAATAGCGTACATCCTCCTGTCGCCATGGCAGCCGGGTTGTGCAGCAGTTGCTGAGCAGTGGTGTCTGTGTCGTCTTTGCATTTTGAGTTTCCGCAGCCCAACACGAAGCAGAGGAGAAGCGTCACCATTGTAACCATTCCCTTACTGCTATATGATTGGTTGTAGGTTTGAGGGCATGAGTGGGGGGCACTCCTCCTCAGCCCCCACTGGACTCTTGAGTGAGAGAGGGGCACTCCTCCTCAGCCCCGCCCGCTATCGTAGGATTGGTACTAGTACAGTAGTGCAGCTCGCTGGACTACTGGGTCTGATACTGGAGCCCCATGACTGGAGCTCACTGCTACATGCGGTCAGTCCACTGGCGCAGGAACTCACCGGTACAATGTGACATGTAAATTTCTCCTCTGTGAGATAAATAAAGCACATCTTATCTTATCTTATCTCACTGGTACAGGAGTTCAGATCACTGGTACAGGGATGTGGTTCAGTGTCCTCAGTATTTAATCCCAATATGTAACAGGACTTTCAGATAAAAGCAAGTTTTCAGGTCATGTTAATTTTCCTTTCTGTGATGAGGCTCTCCACTTACACTTATATATAGTTGCTTTAGATTCTATCAAATCCCAAATCCCTTTTCAATGAGCGCATTCCTGAGTAGAATTGCAGCTCCAAAAATGTCTGTTGGAAATGGGTGCTTCATGGTGACGATCCCCTGCCACATGGCTTTGCTGCCCCCTTCTGGTGCTTTTCAGTGTGAGCACTTTTAGAAATTCAAATCTACACATTTCATCAGAGCTATGTGAGCTGAGTGAAGTTGGTTCAGTCTCTCGAACAGCCTTAGAATATTTTTTATGTGTTCTTCAAAAGGCCACAGAATATTAAACCTCTGGACCTCTGTGGTTCTTTCTGGGCCCCTCTGGGTCTTTGGATCTCTGTCTGTCTCTTTGGATCTCTGTGAGTCTCTCTGGTTCTCTCTGGACATCTGTGCGTTTCTCTAGTTCTCTGTGGTTATCTTTGTGGGCCTTGCTTGGTCTCTGTGGTTATGTCTGTAGGTCTGTCTGGGTCTTTGTGGGTCTCTCTGGCCCTCTCTGGGCCACGGCCGCCTGTGTGTTTTTAGTGTAGCGGACTCTTTCTCTTCCCTCTCTGCAGGTCCTCCAGTCAACGTGGCCATGGCCATCGAAGTGACCAGCATCGACCATATCTCCGAGGCCAACATGGTGAGTCAGCCCTACACCTGTTCTGGAAGAAATAGCAAAGAGTTCTGTTCATTTGGCCCTTTTGTTACGTTACAGAAAACATGTGCAATGCAAAGAGATCTACATGGACATTGCAAACCCGCTAGCTCAATGAACCCCAAGCTCATGATGAAGTTTGGCTCCAACTCACTCTAGCTCCTTTTTGACTGACATTTAAAAGTAGACTCCTATAGCTCATTAAGCGTTTGTGTCTAACTCACCATTTGGGGCTTAAATCCCTGGTTTAATAACGCATCGGTTTTTTATAGCGCTTTTCAGGACACTCAAAGACGCTTCAAATGTCATCATTCTTTGGACATGAATCGGCCCTTCCGACCACCACCAACCATTCACACACACCAGAATCAATCTATTCAATGTGGGTGAAGTGTCTTGCCTAAGTACACACCGCCAGTTTGGTACTTTACAGCCGCAGCTGGCCCACTTTGGCATGTCCTCAGAGGTCTCCCATCACAGTACTAACCAGGCCCTGCCCTGAGGTTTGACGAGATCTGGCTTTTGCATGCAAGGCTGTGGTATAGCGCTCTCTGCAATCCTAGTGTTTTTGTAAATCCAGATATGAGCCATATATGGACTGACCAGTCAGATGGCTTCATTCATTGAGTAAACTCCAGTCTGCCTTAACAAACGTCTTAGCAACACTAAGCTGGAGGACAATAAACTATACTTCAACATTAACTGCAGTAGTAAACTAGTTTGGGGTCAACATATTTATTTCATAAGGCTTCTCATGCCATGTCCTACAGCTGGCCCATGTCTTGTGGCTCACCCATGTCCCATGTAGAAGGGGTCGTGATCTGCTCCTGTAGAAGGAGGTGATCTGTGGTGAACTTCAGTAAACTTTATATTTCTAAGTAATAAACAGCAGATCAATGAAAAGTTTATATCAGGGGTATCCAATCTGAGGTCTTTGAGATCACAGGTTCACAATGTCATCTAGCCAACTTCCACTCTGACCCATTATACCAGAGATCACTGAATCTTTGATCTCTGGATTCCAGTCGCTCACTTTAACTGTACTGATGTTGTTTTTGTTTTGTATCTGGTGAGTAAACATCTTTTTAGTGAACCACCATTAACATGTCAAAACAGAATCCAGTCTATCGATGCTTTCATCCCCTGGAAAACCTTGCTGAACTCAAGAGGCCCTCTTACTAAGTTTGCTGGTGTAGAACTACTGCTGATGAAAGACAGCAGTAGCAGTAGACTACTGCTGATGTAGAACTACTGCTGATGAAAGACAGCAGTAGCAGTAAACTACTGCTGATGTAGGAACACTGCAGGTGTGGGACTACTGCTGATGTGAGACCACTGCTGATGTAGAACTTCTACTAATGTAGGACTACTGCTGATGTAGAACTTCTACTGATGTAGGACTACTGCTTTGTGCACACAAATCATGTAGAACTGAAAAACGGACTGGAAGCCCTGGCTGAAACATGGGCATGATTTGGACCAATCACATGATGGGGAGGGACAGACAAGGACGCAGTGTTGGATAGACACAAGCTGGTAGTGTTTTACAGATCCAGCAGACAGCAGCAGGAGGAATCTTGATGTCTTCTTTGCCTCTTGTCATATTTGTGTGGCTCACAAACATTCAGGTAGACTTGCAATTGGTGCCGACGCATAAGAGACATTCAGCCCAAGAAACTCTCTGGACAATCGTAAGCCACACCTCTCCTATGGAAGTGGATGGTTCCCAGACAACATATTCACTGATATTTCGTGTGGTGTCCGCCTGGCTCCATTCCACCCTCCACTGGATGACGTTTCAGTGCCAATGCAGGAGGGTCTGAGGACAGGGAGGATCCAGGACGGTTCTAAACATTGACCCAAACCAATGACACTTAAAGGAGCAGTATGTAAAAATCCGGACAAAAGTGGTACTGCAACCTCTCCCACTCTCCCTGATTCAGGTTACCAGATATGCAGACGAATCCAGCTGGGACCATAATATCTGAATAAACAAGGGTAGAGCAAATCTATATCCAACATCTTTTTCACAAAGATAGAAATCCTTCATTAATGATTGGAGAATTATAACGAGACTTTTTTAGTACTTCGGCCACATACTACTTTACCAGTGGGATTAGCTCAATGCAGTGACTTCTGGCAATCCGGATCACAGACTTTCTGATTGGTGAAACAGTGGGAGGGCGGGACATCAAAATGAAAACAATAACAAGATTCAGGGGCTGTAAAAACACATTTTGAAATCCAAATATCTCTGCAGAACTATAATTATTAGTTGAAGAAGTATTTGAAAAGAGCATGGTTTATTAATGCCTTTTGACATATTAGAGCCATTTATTGATGACTTGACATGAAAATCTTACATATTGCAACTCTAACTATTATATTTATGTATTTTTGTGTTCTTATTAATTTAGATTTTCCTATCTGCTGTTGGAGATACTAAAATAAATGTATTAACGTTCTTTGAGCTGTCCACTTCTGTCCTATTCTTAATATTCTGTGTGTGTCTGTACGTATGTGCTGTTGTGTGTGTATGTGTGTGTGCGCTTGTGTGTGCCTGTGTGTGTGTCTCCCCATGTAATGACAGGAGTACACCATGACCGTGTTCCTGAGGCAGAGTTGGCATGACAACCGTCTGTCCTATAACCACACCAACAAGACCCTGGGCCTGGACAGCCGCTTTGTGGACAAACTGTGGCTGCCGGACACATTCATCGTCAATGCCAAGTCGGCCTGGTTCCACGACGTGACGGTGGAGAACAAGCTGATCCGCCTGCAGCCCAACGGGGTCATCCTCTACAGCAGCAGGTACTTCCCCATCAGCAGCAGGTTCATTCTTTACAGAAGCAGCAGGTATATCCCCATCAGAAGCAGATACCTCCTTATGAGCAGCAGGTACAACAGCAGCAGGTACATCCTCTACAGCAGCAGGTACACTGTGGTCTCCATCAGCTAAAAAAAACCCACAATAAGTAACATCGTTGAAGTTGCAGATTTATATTTTAAGGCTGTAAGACCCCTCACCATACACTTTATTCACGTTTCTAACTTCCTGAACTCACGACAGAGATATCAAACCTGTTGGTTGTAGGTCTAGGAGAGAGAACCAGAGAGAGACCGGTGTTCTGTCGAGCAGTGCACTCCTTGTTGAAATTTGCATCCCCACCGCCCAAACCAACTTTCCATAGCTGATTATGAAATGTTTATTTAATAAAAATGCTGACATATTTATGATTTTTTTTAATATTTAATTATAGGTAGCATATTCAAGTTATTTCGTTACTGAATACAAAGCATGCACCCCTTCTAAATTTGCATCCACACGTGCCAAATCAGAATACGCTGTCACCACTTTATGAACCAGTATTTTGAGCTGTTAAACGCACAGAGTAGCATAGTAGAAGACTCATATGTATGTATATTATCTATATATATACATATAAATACTGCATTTTTTAAATCTTACTGCACAGTGTTACACGAACAGAATAATGCAAGAAAACAAGACGTTTTAAAAAGTATGTTATTCATTATTATTTATTTATTTTTATTAAAGAACACGCATATCCCAAATCATAAACTGGCGTGGAAGTCTCCCATGGTGTGCATTCAGAATGGATAGACCTTTTGCATGTAGAACACTGCACCTGCACAGAACGCAAAACCATGTGATACACAGAATTTCAACCCAATAAGTGCTATTCTGAGATTATATGCTATAATGCATATTCATTGTCAAATTTCGCCTTTTTAAACCCACTAAAGACAATGTCAATTAGCGAATAACATACTATACAGTAGTGCTCCATGTTCCCTACATTATTATCAGAACCACAAAAACGGAAGGACTCAAAATGCAACGACTCCAGAATACTTTTAATACAAAATAAGGCTTGACGGCTTACACACAGGGTACAAGACAATCTGGCACAGAAACAATGAAACAGGGGGTTTAAGTACACTGGAGGGAGTAGGGACCCAGGTGCAACACATTAGGGCGGGGCTGGTAATCACAGGTGGGAAGGCAGACAAGGACCGGGAAGTGAACAGCTCTGCAATGAGACACAATAAAACAGGAAGTCAAGTCTCAGGACTGGGGTGTGACAATTATAACTGATTGAAAATGACCAATGATATGGTCATCACTAATTTACATATGTCTTACAGATTTATTCTTCTACCACAACCTTTACCTCAACTACAGTGTAACAATTTATTTCCTAACCTTCAGGAACATTTTAGAATTTCAAATCTTGAAGAAAGGGTTGATGCCACAGCAAAACGATCCTTTTGAATTTCCTTTAGAAAGGTTTTTGACGATAGGCTTCAGCAAACTGTAAAAAAGAAAAATATACATTTTATATATATATTGTTTTTTATGTGTGCCAAATGGTCTAAATAGATATTTACAATTAAAATCAAAACCCCACAGTTGTAGCTTTCTGCAACTGGAGAGAATAACAAAGAAAACATTTTGATCATATTGTAATATATTGTGATGTAGGTTATAGGTTATGTGGTTATCGTATACGTAAAGAAAGGATTTTGGCAACATTTTCACATGCAGGTCAATATAACTCCACATACGAAAGTGTGGCATTTATAGGAGCATGTGTTGTGTAGAATTACATTTATAAGGAGATTAGGATTAAGAGATCCTTTATTGTCCCACAGTGGGGAAATTTCAGACAATTTCAGAGTGCACATCTAATGGGGCTTTTCCACAGCACCGGCACTACACCACTCTACACGACACGTCACGACCCGGTCGAGTACGCGTGCTTTTCCACATATCTCCATCGGACATCTTCAAGTGGGTGGGCTTTTCATACCACCGCTACCGTTACGTCATTTCCGCTACCGTTACGCCATTTCCGCGCGACTCACGAGCATGAAACCAGGAAAAACATTACATCCTCAAACAATGGAGGACTCCGAGACGATCGTGGTGTTGCTGCTCTCTCTGTGGCTACTAGTCACAAATAGACTGAAAAGCCTGAGAAGAATCCAGGCGGCGAGACACCAAAGAATGACGAAGTTATTGAAAACCTTGCAGGAGTTTGCAGTTGAGGACAGGAGACAACGAGCTGAAAAAAGACGACGTTTGTGGGTAAGCTAATATTGCTATCGCTAGCTTTGTAGCAGCCGTCCTGAACAAAATGGCTGCTGGCTGTCTCTGTAAATCATTAAAATGTGTATGCTGTATGTGTGTGTTTCAGATGCTTCTCGGGTTGCGTCGCCGCCGCAAGCCATCGGTGTGGGCCTTAAACCGAGCCTCCGAGTGGTGGGATATTGTAGTCCCAAGCTTCAGCAACACGCAGTGGGTGCAGAATTTCCGAATGTCCAAAGAAACATTTGATTACCTCTGCACAAAGCTGCGCTTGATTATGGAGCGACAAGACACTACTTACCGGGTATGTGTGCCCCTAAAGAAGAGAGTGGCTATCGCACTCTGGAAACTTGCTACTGGCTCTGAGTACCGAAGCATTGGTCACCTTTTTGGAGTCAGTATAACAACGGTGTGCCGCTGTGTGCAAGACTTTTGTGCTGCAGCAAATGCGGTGTTGGTCCCAGCGCAGATCCGTTGTCCTACTGAGGAGAAATTCAGGGAGATTGCTGCCTACAACGAGAACAGATGGGGGGTCCCACACTGTGTTGGTGCCATTGATGGATCCCACATCCCTATCATGGCTCCACAGGAATGTCATTGTGACTATTTCAACCGCAAAGGGTGGATTCCATTATTCTCCAAGGTGTGGTTGATGGAAAGGGGTTGTTTTGGAACGTGTTTGCCGGATTGCCTGGGAGCTTGCATGATGCCAGGGTCTTGAGACTCTCTAACTTGTGGGAGTTAGCCTGCCGGGGAAGTATATAAATAAAGATTACTTACTTACTACTTACTCTTCCCAGCTCACACAAGAGAAATTGGTGGGGTGACTGCTGGCTATTACCTCCTAGGGGACTCCGCTTACCCCCTGCGGAACTGGCTCCTAAAACCTTTTCAGGACACCGGACGACTGACAGACGAACAGCAACTATTCAACAGAAAATTCAGCAGAGGGCGGGTGGTTGTTGAAAATGCTTTCGGCAGGCTTAAAGGAAGATGGCGCTGTCTTCTGAAAAGGAATGACTCTGACACTGAACTGGTAAAGTCTATGGTGCTGGCTTGTTGTGCTCTGCACAATCTGTGCGAAAATCATGGAGAGACCTACGTGACAGAATGGGACACACCTGTAGCAACAGTTCAGCCTGTGGTAGCAGTGGCACAGGGTGCAGATGAGGGGGGCAGTGATGTTAGGGAGGGTCTGATGCGTCACTTTCTGTCCAATGTCTGAACATTTTGCCTGTTTTGGAACAACAAATAAAACTTTTTGTATTCAGCAAAAATGCCTTCTATTCATATTTCACTCCTGGGAAAGTACAGGTATTACTCATATAGGTCACATTACAGTCACCACTCACAGAACAGTCGCAGGAATATGCCATCTGCTGCAGATGCTTCCTGGAATACTCACAATGAAGAGCAATAATCCTAAATAAAATCAATATCCAAACAGTTAACCTAGGCCCATTTAAACGCAGAGCTTCTAAAGTTCACTCCCAAAAACAAACTCAATTATGCAAATGACTTACAGGAATTGACACTACCCAACACGATGTCAAGACTTTGCATTTTCTCCAGATGCCAATTTCTGGACCCAAATCCGCAACATTTACTTTATGGCCAAAAACTCAAACTCAAACATACAACTCAAAGTCCTCCATAGATACCACTACAGAGACCGCTAACTTTTAAAAATGGGTTTCAGCACTTGCTCGCATTGCACAAAAATAGTGCTGATAACATTAATATAGATATGGATGTTAATAGCAATAATGAGAAACTCAAGAGGGCAAGTGGAGAGGTCCAACGCATGGTGGAACAGGACACAATGTAGCGCAAGTATTGACAGTCATAATGGATTCATTTTTTGTGCTGTTACTTGTTTTGTCATTGTAACCTTTTGGTGGGATATGCATGTATGTGTTCATGTATATGCAGAGAGCCAATATTGCATATTAATGAAATATTAATTCATACATTTTCAATCATACACCCATTAACCATTCCCACCATTACAAATACCTTTATTCCCTTTCAGATTTGGATCAGCCACTCGCACGTGCACACACAAACTCTTTATTGTGCCTTTCTTACCCACTTTCCTAGCTTATTGTATTGTAACCAACACTGTACATTATCAGTAGTCTGTATTGTTCCCTGTAGGCTCCTCACTCCATGACTGGGAATAAATAAACCTTCTATTCCTAAATTTACCACAATTAAGGATTTACTGACAACAAATAATGTGAAACCTTTGGTTTGCATGTTAACTGTCATGTGTACCGAGAAATGAAACCTGTCTTGGAAAAAATCACACATTTATTAAAAAAAAAAAACAATTTTAAAGTGCACCAATAAAATTATTTACAAAGTGTCTTGGTGAAGAGTGTCTTGGTGAAGAGTGTCAGTTTCGGCGGCCACTCATGGCTTCCACCAGCTGGCCCAGGAGACCAAGAAATGATTGGTTAAATGCAGCCGCCTGTGCATTTTCCTCCCTCCTCAATGTCGCTTCCAACTCTTGCGACTCTCTGACAAGCTGGAGTTGCTGTGTCCGGTTCAGCTCCTGCTGCACCACATCTTCAGCTTGGATCTGCCTCATCATTTCTACAGTCTCCGTCTGGAAGAGCGCCCTTTTTCTCTTCCCTGTACAACAATAAAAAAAAGTATTAACAGTTGGTAATTATCCAAAGCAGTGACATTTCTGGAGACATACTTTTATGTAGGCAAAAAGATTATTACGTTTCAGAACAGTATATATCACACTACCCGAGATTTTGCAACAACTACCCTTTCAAAGAGGAAAAACCTCCACTAAAAGAAAGTGTTACGTGTGGGATCATTTTGACTTAATTGCAAATCTGGTAATGTTTGTATGTCATGTTTCACGCTTTGTCAATAAACAATATTTAATGGTCAATGTTTAGGCATTTTAGGACAAAGCATGAGCATGACTTAAATACACCCAGATTAATCAAATCAGTCAGTGCAGCTAAAATTACATTTCGCTGCATTTCTTTTTCACACCAAAGTGAAGTGGTATTGTATCACAAATTAGATTTTTTATTTGGAAAAAGATCACTGACAGGTGGTCCGATTCCTTTTTTATTGACATTCTCTAAAGCTAGGGTGATAGTGTCCAAAATATGCATTAATTGGACATACTTCACCGAATTGAATGCTATTACTTCTGAGATCCACCAGGTGCCGGTATAGAGCTGCACTGTTGCGGCACAGTATCAATGTAGTTGTATTATTTTTTTTTGCTGCTATAGGACATGAATTTCTCACAGGGTGATGAATAAAATATCTATCGATCATGTATTATGTCTGCCCTGTGCCTTACCCGTGACCACACGCTGTGCGCTGCTAGACGTGTCGCTCGCCATCGAAGGGAACGCATCTCCAGGCGTCGAAGCAGCAGCTGGTTCTGGAGGGATTGGGGACGGGGACCTTGGGGGGTCGTTCGACGCTTCACTTGCGACAAGGGATTCTATAATAAGACAAACACACACAACGACTTAAGTAAAAGCACAAAACTGAATGGCAACACGTGAAATGGCAAGATGTAGCACGTGTTAGCAGCTTGCTATCGATAGCTTAAAGTAGCTAGCTCACTTTGTACAGCAGACAACAATCAAACGTTTACATGAATAAATACATTCCAGTGGGCATTGAGCCACAGGTTACGTGATAATGCATTTTCACAATAACTACAGATAAAAGTTACAAAGCACTTACCATTATCGCCCATTCTCGACGTGGAAGAAGAGTCCAGACCACACTCCCGTCCATTGTTTGCAGGCCTGTGGCCATAAATGGCATCCATCTCGGCATACCACCTCCAGGTCTTCCGATTGACCCCACTTCGGCCGTTGTGGTCCTTTATGGCCCGGTAATCGCACTTCATCTTTTTAATCTTGTCCCTGCACTGCTGATGCGTACGGTGGTAACCGTGTGTTAGCAAGAGCTGGGCGATCTCTTTATAGACCTTCTCATTTCGCGTACTGCCATCGATGTTTGGACCTCATCAACAGACCACGGTGTGGACTTTTGCGGCTTGCTGGATTCCATTTCTCGAGTGCAGTGCGTATGCTCACAGGGCAGTTTTAAAAATGGCGGGGTTGAATCTTGTCTCTCAATACGGTCAGACGTCGCACTTATGACGCTACCAGTGATGACAGTCGTTGGCCAATAGTGTGAGAGAGCCGTTGGCCAATAGCGTAGGCAGTCCGCTTACGTCACGAGAGTGTAGCTTTTTGGAACCGCTCCAGAGGCGGTCCGAAAATAGAACACAATACCTAGCTTCAACGCTAGTGGAAATGCAAAAGTAACGCGCCGTGTCGTGTAGAGTGGTGTAGTGCCGTGCTGTGGAAAAGCGCTATAAGGCGACAGTGGCTCAGGCCTTTGAGGCTAAAGGTCGTGGGTTCGAGCCCACCATGAGACCTTCTCCACGACTCCCACTGATGTCTGCTGTCGTTGTGTCCTTGGGCAAGACACTTAACCCCACTTTGCCTGAGGCCCCTGCTGAAAGAACTCAGCTCCTGTGGACTCACCACCTGCAGGATCAGTGAGGGGCTGGTGCTAAGCTCTGACTGCCACCCCCCTATCCTTAATTATATGCAGTTAGTCTATCTATAAAATAATGACATGGGGCGAATATCTCAATAAACACATTTGGATATTGTATATTATATTGGATGGATGGATACACCTCCGCTTGAAATTAGAAAGTATACATTTTTCATTAACTGGAACGCAGTAATCCAGACACACTGGATATTTAGGTATAGGCATGTTCACATGAATATTATGTTAGTAACCCACTACAGTGAAGATCAAAACAAAATACTGTAACAATGATGAATTATCCTCTACTGGAACTCAATAGTTGCTAATGCACAAATCCCTGGCAACTTACGACATAAAACTGAAGCCTATAGCCTACATATATTTACATTACTGCCAGCATCTTCACAGGAATTTGAATTAGTACTTTGTCACTGTAAAGTGTAGTGCCATAGTGTACAGAAAACATAACAGAATACACAAATATAATTCTTTATCTTAAAATAGCAATATGTAAGATTTCATATCAAGTCATCATTAAATGGCCCTAATATGTCAAAAGGCATTAATAAAAACTGCTCTTTTCGAATACTTCTTTAACTGATAACAGTAGTTCAGCCGGGATATTTGAATTTCTAAATTTGTTTTACAGCCCCTAAATCTTGTTATTGTTGTGAATGGAGAGAGTCTGCTGAAGTAATCACTGAAGTGTAAAAGTTTTCTTGTGGCTTTATACAAAGGTAACTGTAATGTTATACTAGTGGTTATCTGAGGTAGTTGGAGTGTATACACACGGCTCATCACTGGAGAAATAGCACATTTGAACACAGAAAACAGAGAGGCCTCGAAAGGGGCCTGGTGTTGGTGAGGGGCATGACCACAGCCTTACCGCAGCCTGACCAAAGCCTGACCAAAGCCTGACCGTGTGTGCAGGATCACCTCCACAGTGGCATGTGACATGGACCTCACCAAGTACCCCATGGATGAGCAGGAGTGCATGCTGGACCTGGAGAGCTGTGAGTCCCTTCACTGTTGCTTTGGCCCATTTTATTATATTTTTTGTTATGAACTTTATGTGTTTTTTTTTCAAACAATATATTCATTTAGAATAATGTATATACAGTAATGCAAGTTATTTATTCTTTCCATGTGGGTGATGACGAATGACTCACAGGGGTTGGGGACCACTGATCTATAGCATGTGTGTGTTCCCTCTTTCAGATGGGTACTCCTCAGAGGACATTGTTTACCACTGGTCAGAAAGTCAGGCGCACATCCACGGCCTGGACAAACTGGAGCTGTCCCAGTTCACCATCACAGACTACCGCTTCGTCACTGAGATGATGAACACCAAATCTGGTGGGTGGATGAGCATCTGTCTCATGTCTGTCTCACGTCTGAAACAGAGGTCCAGTAGAATCCACACTTGACTGACACTAGTCCATTATCAGCAGCCTGTAGTAAGTCATTAGTGACTTTAACTAGATCTGTTTCAATGCTATGATGGACTCTGAATGCATATGTAAACAATTCAAATACATTATTTTCCTGTAGGTAGCAGGGAATAGTACTATGTTTATCAAGGATTTAAGATATAAAAGAAAGATTTGAAATTAGTCTGTAATTTGTCACAAATTCACGGTCCAGATTTGATTTCTTAAGAAGAGGTTTGTTTACTGCTATATATATTTATTATATTCAAGATGGGGTCTATTATTAAGGGGAGAGTGTCCTTGAAGAGCCCTGCAGGGAGGAAATCCAAATGCAATTTGAGGTTTTAGAGGATGTGACCTCAAAGATCACTTGCATCTCTGTAGCTGAACAAATTATCTACTGTTCTTTGTATTCTCTTCTATTCTAAGTTGAGTTGTTTTGAGTTTGGGCCCTGCATAGGACATTCTTTTAGTAGTGAACGTAGTTTGGTAGCACGGTGATGCTGGTTTATCCTGATTTCTGTTTTATGGGGGGCTGCCGTATCAAATGCAGATTTTAAGGACTCAATAGTGTAGGACTGACGCTGCTATGAGCAGGCTCACCTGGAGTGGTATTGAATATTGGCTGAATTAGATCTTTGACATTTGCGATAGATTTATCATTTAAGGTTCTTTTCATTATCTTGGAGACCTGAGGCGGATGCATTTCTTTGGAACATGATGAATCACTTTGTCCATGTTCATTGATTATAACCCAAACCCAAATTTGATGTATGGTGTTTCATCATGGAAACATGTTGATGTGAAGAGGGGGAGATGAGTTCCTTAAAGAGTATGTACTATGTGAGCATTGCTTTTGTGAGCCAGGTTGTTTAGATAGATAGATAAGATAGATACTTTATTGATCCCCCGTAGGAGAAATTCAGTTGTCCAGCAGTAGAAGACTTTTTTTTTTTGTACAGTCAGATTTGTTGTACAGTCTGACAGCCGAATGAACAAAGGATCTCTTGAAACGTTCTGTTCGGCAGCGCAGTTGCTTCGATTACTCCTCTGAGCGGCCATAGTGTCATGCAGAGGGTGTCTGGAGTTACCCAGGATGCCCTCATCCTTCTCTCCAGCACAGCTCCCACACTTCTCCCCATCACAGAGACACATTTCCTGATCAGCCTGTTGAGCCGGTTACTGTCTCTCGAGGTCAGACTGCCACCCCAACATGCAATCTCAAAGAACACGGCACTAGCTACCACAGACTGGTAAAAGATGTGCAACATTTGACTGCTCACATCAAAGGACCACAGTCTACTCAGAAAGAAAAGTCTGCTCTGACCTTTCTTGTAGATGGCATTGGCCTGAGCTGACCAGTCCAGTCTGTGGTCCAGGTGGACTCCCAGATATTTATACGAGTGAACCACTTTGATGTCTTGTCCATTTTCTGTGACCGGTCGATGGGAAGGGCTCGTGTGAAAGTTGATGATCATCTCCTTGGTCTTGGATGCATTGAGAATCAGTCCATTTCTCTCACTCCAGAAGGCAGCCACAACCTCCCTGTACTCTGCTTCATCCCCCCCTTCACACATCCCACAACAGCAGTATCGTCCCAGTCTTTTTGTACATGGCATTTAGCAGAGTTGTGTGCAAAGTCTGCAGTGTAAATTGTGAAGAGGAAGGGAGCCAGAACGGTACCCTGTGGTGCTCCCGTAATGCTTACAACAGTCCCAGACACGCTCTTCCCTAACCTGACATACTGTGAACTCACAGTGAGGTAATTGTAAATCCAGTGACCATAGGCAGTTGTTTAACTTCCACTGATTCTGTCATTAATGGTGTTTGTTGTGCGTTTGTGGCTTCAGTGCCGTCATCTCTGCACTTTTCAAGGTCAATATTGTGGCATATAGTGAACATAATTTAAGATGCTGACCTCTTACCCTCTGTCCCTGCAGCCGGCCGCTTCCCCAGGCTGAGTCTGCGCTTCCAGCTGAGGAGGAACCGTGGAGTGTACATCATCCAGTCCTACATGCCCTCCATCCTGCTGGTGGCCATGTCCTGGGTCTCCTTCTGGATCAGCCAGTCAGCCGTCCCCGCCCGTGTCTCTTTAGGTAGCAATTATGTACTAACAATGATATTTGTCACATACAGTGTTAAAGGCGCTATACCCGTTTCTGCAATGTTTGAATGTTTAGCACCGCCCCCAACTCGCTCAATGGCTTCTCATTTCCCCTACGCTCTCATAACACAGAGCCACCTAGTTTTATTTGCGATCTGATACATATGCTAACATTAGCATTAGCACAACTTCTTGTAAGCTGTGCAACAATCACTGATGAAATGGTACTAAAGCAATGCACTGCTAACACAATATATAAGTAAAAGAATACCACTAGTTTCGCGTCCGAATGTATTAATTTAAAACCTTAGAATATAGTCTAATATTTAATTATAATTTGTTATAGAGCTCCTCAAAGCAGCAGCAGCAATTCTTCCGATCATTTTTCTTGATAACAGAACTCTCAAACTAATAATGACCGAAGCCCCAATGCAATCTCTGTTTGTAATTCAGGTGTGTAAAATACTGCCATTACTCTACAAGTACAAAACGCTGTCAGCGCCTGTCACTACACACTTGTCTGTGTAGAGAAGCCAACGGAGCTAGCGGAGCTAGCCACGCTCAATAAACGACTACATATCTATCAATCAACACCATTAAACGTCAATCGGACAATACAGTACACATATACATCCTTAACACACATGCACGGATGATTTCAGAATTTGCTGTTAACGTTTTCATGACAAAAATACTGTTTCAATGTGACAAAAAGCGATTGCGAAAAACCCGGAAGTTACCATGAAACAACTAGCTAGCTTAGCTGTTACCTGCCTAGCACGTCCCGGTGAAACCTTTGGGAGCTAACTATTTTATTTACAGTCATTAAATACATTTCGAATTACAAGGGTTGTCTAATATTTGTTCAAATTTTTTTATTCAATTATTTTGTTCATCCTTTTTTATTTTAGAATTATATTCGAATTTTGAAGTCCTGGTGTTCCGCAGCGCTGTAGAGGCTAGAGGACGCAGGCTGTAGAGGCTAGAGGACGCAGGCTGTAGAGGCTAGAGGACGCAGGCTGTTCGCTGCTCGTTCTGTGAGCGGAGGAGAAAGAGCGGCCCGCTCAGACTCTACTCAGCACTTTTCACTGCCTGAATTTCATACACAGTGGAATCAATTACCTCAAGTTTTCAATTAAATGATGTATTATGATACAACTTGTATGTAGTAAAAAGCATTTTTATGAACTACTTAGAAAAAAAATCGGGTATAGCTTCTTTAACAACAGTTAGTACCAATACATCAGTCCTTAATTTGGTTTTAGAAGGCAACATTGTGTGGGGGAGGATCTCCTCTTTCGCTTCTCAGTTCTTTCCCTGATGCAGCGCAGCCTCCCTCCAGAGGGGAGAGCCACTGAGCAGCTCATGATGCGATTATTATTTTGTTTGTATTTATTGTGCATTACAGGTTTCTTAAAAGTATCTGAAATCAGAATATGGTAAAGCTGTCTGTGTAATACTGGCCCTCGTCCCGGTTTATAAAAAATACAAACAATTCCAACTGGATACCTAATTTTTAAAGATCACCTGACATACAGAACCTTTATTTTGGTTTGCCTCTCTGGGTGTGGCTTCAGGCATCACCATGGCGACCCTGTGTGGCCTCAAGCTTCACCACGGTGCTGACCATGCATGACCTGATGTTTTTTCCCTGTGTGTGCCTCAGGCATCACCACGGTTCTGACCATGACCACCCTGATGGTCAGCGCCCGCTCCTCCCTGCCCCGCGCCTCAGCCATTAAAGCTCTGGACGTTTACTTCTGGATCTGCTACGTCTTTGTGTTTGCCGCGCTCATCGAATACGCGTTTGCCCACTACAACGCAGACTATAGACTGAAGGAGAAGGCCAAGGTCAAGGCCAACAGGCTGGGCTCCGAGGTGAGACCCGCACACACACACACAGAAAGAGAGAGATACACATGCACAAACAAGGAGAAGGTCTAAAGTCAAGGCCAGCCAGCTGGGCTCCTAGGTGAGGCATACACACATACTCACACACATAGGAGAAGGCCAGGGTCAAAGCACTCTGAGGTGAGGCACACACACGCACACACACACAACCCCTTATGACCTTTGTGATGTCTTTATGCCCCCTGCAGGCGGTGGTGAAGAATGGCAAGCAGGCCATGGTTCTCTTCTCCCTGTCCGTCACCGGCATGAACCAGGGTGTTGTCATCTCCAACCGGCAGCGATCTCCACGCCCCAGCGCACAGATTCCCGGTGAGGGTCCATCCGAGGGAACCCCAGAGGGGCGCCGGAGGTCCCCACATTCTGAAGAGCTAGAGGAGGAACAGGCTGACCGCAAGTGCTGCTCCAAGTGCGCCTGTAAGCCCATAGATGCGGACACCATCGACATATACGCACGTGCCGTCTTCCCCTTTACCTTCGCCCTGGTCAATGTCATCTACTGGGTGGCCTACACCATGTAAACAAGCACCTAGGGCCAGCACCAGGGACCAGCACCATGAGGCCAACACCATGGGGCCTGCGCCATGAAGCCTGTGCCAAGAGGCCAGCGCTATGGGGCCAGCACCATGGAGCCAGCACCATGGAGCCAGCACCATGGAGCCAGCACCATGGAGCCAGCACCATGGGGCCAGCACCATGGGTCCTTCGTGGAGTAAGACCCATAAAGCATGGAGGGCAAGCAGTTAGTACAGATTGGAACCTCTGTACAGCCTACAGAACGCCACGTGTCCTTTATTCTATCAGGGCCATGCATATGATTGAACATTACAGTGTGATTATGCCAACGCAAGGTCACATCTTTGTTAAAATCCCTTCTAAAAATCACAAAAGTACTGACATCGAGCTGACTGGATGTTGGCATTGATTAAAAAATGTTTTCAATGTAATTATGATACACAATTATTAATTATCATTATGAAGATAATCCTGATTATCATGATGATAAATGATTCACATAAGGGTAACTGTAAAAATCCCCCACCCCCTTCTCATAGTCAGATGTCATGTAGATTCCTCTGTAGAACGTTTCTGATCCTGATTCACAAAGTTACAAACATGGCTTCCATCACCACATGTCTGGTGGATTATGCATAATTAATAGTTTGGACTTCCTGGTTTAGGCAATAATAACAAGAACCTGGCAACAGCACAAGGCACAGAACATATCAATTTCTGTGCATATAAATGCACACAAGAACTGATTTGAATATTCCTCCTCAAAAATGACTCCAGTTTGTCCATGCTGTAGTAGTTTTAAGCCGGGGAAACTGACTCGTGGCTGACTGTATATTGAATATCCCCATTCGGCCTCCCAACACCTGAGCGGTGACTACACAGTACTTGTCTCTGATCAGAACAAACACATGGGTTTGTTATCTGGATGCTGCTCTCTTCTGGGAACATACGTTTCCCATACCATGTAAGGCCAGCAGAGGGAGCCTCAGCAGAACTTTGGAACTACAGTGGATGACCGGTGGATGGAACGTTTCAGTTTTCAAGTCAACACAATCTTGAGACTATTTACTTTGGAATTTTATAATTTAAGTATAAGATATTTAGATAAACAGTCAAATACAATATTCCCATCTAATCGCATGCAGATATTTGACTAGAAACATCTCCAAAACTCATTTGGAGCTTTTGGTTTTGCAGAGGAAAAATTCTCTGTCCATGATGTCACTGTCTGAGAACTCTTCATAGCATAACAAGTTTTAAAAGGGATCCTTTGGACAGAATGTATGGGTATGTGTTTTCTCTGATATTAATGTGGGTGGAGCTCAACTGAAGTTCAGATCTGTGTTTGATTATGTCATTGTGATGTCAGGTTTTTATGTACAGTGGTCCCTGGTTTATTATGGGGGTGATTTGTTCTATCAATAACCCCCAATAAGTGAAATCCTTGAACTAGTAGCTTATGTTTTAAGGCTGTAAACACCCTCACCACACACTTCACCTGAACTTACAAGATTCCATAATTTATTTGCCATTTGCAGTAAAACCACATTGGAAAACCATGCAAGACTACCCCAGTGTGCACCAGAGCATTTCTTCTGTGCCATGCCACTGCTGAAGTGCAATCGCGGAGGTATCAAACTTGTTAGTTGTAAGCTGAGCACTGCTGCAGCTGTTAAAAGCCAGAGAGAGACAAGCCAGAGAGACCAGAGAGAGACAAGAGAGAGAGAGACAAGATAGAGGGACCAGAGAGATATAGAGACCAGAGAGAGAGAGCAGAGATTGAGATAGAGACCAGAGAGAGAGAGAGTCCTCTGAAGTAATCACTGTAGTGCACACAAGCCACATACAGTAAGTGTTCTTCAGACTTAGTACACGTTGCACACAAACAAAAAATCAACAAAAGGTGAGCAGCGATATAGCAAGGGGCCACTGTGTTTATGAATAGGTTGTTTTGAAGAGGTCCATTTGTCATGAAACAGTTAGACCACTCGAAAGGTCATTCAAGGTCACCTGCCTCACTCAGTCGCTACATCTAGAAACATCGGACGCAGTAACACATGTACAGTAATATTCCATTCTGGATCCAAAGCAGTCAGAAGCAGTCAGACAGAAGCCACCAGAGTAACATACAAGGACACCATCATTATTCCAAAGCTGTTGACATGCGCAGTCACACTCAGTGCCGAGGCCTCTGTCTCCTGTTCATTTGTACGTTTCATTTTCAAAGAATGCATGAAATAAAAGCAATTTAACCCTGGTGACAGTGAAATAGAAAACAGCGGAATGTACAGTAAAATAGTATTACTGCTGCTACTACAATTCCCACTACCACTACTACAACTACTACTACAACTAGTATTAAGGCTGTGCTGCCCATGGCTGTGTGTGAATTGATTTCAGTTGCTTTGTTTTGTAATAAATCTGATACTGAGATTACAGTGGTTTACTGGACTGCTCCCCCTGCTGATGTGTGGTGTGAGAGAGGGACCACCCCCCCAGTGTGCCACTGTCATGATTGCCATACAATTTTGCAGAGATCTGTCCGCCAAGGCAGTCCCTCAACATTGATCTTTTTTCTGAATGCGAGAGAAACACTGATAACCCTGAAAGCACCTCTCCAGTGTCAAACATGGGGGTGGTAGCATCATGCACTAGGGAAACCCCCCAAGTTTGCATTCATAAAAACGTTCAAAATCACAGACATTTAAGACTTTATGGCTGTGTGCAAATTTGATTTTAGATTTCTTTATCTTTGTGGTCTGACAATGGCAAAATGCTCGGCTTAGGGGCTCTGGACACGTATGCAGCCCACTGTATAGTGATGGGGTATGTTTATGTGTGTATCCCACTCTGTAGTGGGAGGGTATAGAATAGATGCTTGTGCAGCCTGCAACATAGTGCAGGGGTATGGATACTTGTGCAGCCTGCTGTATAGTAGTTTAAAATAGGCTTAAAATGGATTCTGTGTCGATGTAAGGCACAACATTACAAGTTGTATTAAAAAAGATTTATTTTGCAGTTCTAGAGTAACGTATCTGCTCACAAAGCAATATGTAGCCGTACAATGTCCATCAAACACATCTTCCCTCAGAACGGAGGCAGACAACACTTGAACATGGAGAAGGGAAGGCTCCAGTCCACCACATGTGACCAGGGGCCTCCATCCAAGGGGCCACTAGGTCTGGATGCTATTTCACCTGTACCACAAAACAATAAGAAGGAAACTACGACCAAAACATTCAGGAATCATTACCAACAAGCCGGTACTGTTGGGAATAGCTGCAAGCTTTTAAACATGATACAGACTTTTGAGTGATGTCACACACACGAGATCATGAACCTTGAGGACAGAAGCTCTTGTCAGAGTTCTTGGTATAGTTTTATAGGTGAAAAATACTTTGTACATCAGTCTTTTTCACCATAGAATAGCAGATGTCCCAGTTTACAGTGGGGTTTTCTCTGATTCCTTCACTGGAGTACGGTCTCAGTACTGTCAAGAAATTGTTTTAGTGAGTCACTCAGAGCTTCTACCTTCCAGATTTACTGCACATGTGCGACATGAATGCATGAAAACAAACTGATTGGATCCAATCCGCAAATTAGAAATTATTAATTGAATTCGTCCTTTGCTCTCAGCACTAGTTTACTGACCTTTTAACAGTTTCTACCTCCCTGTTTTCAGAGGGAAAAGAAAAAGCGCTAACTATTCTTCCTCAGTCAATCCCCTCTCAAAGTTGACTCACAGGGTTCTGACAAATTATTTGTTCACAGTGCGTATCTGTTACCACGCTTCTTCTGTGGCAATAAATATTTAATGAGAAATGTTTTTTTAAAGCGAGGTATCTCAGCTTTAAGTGATGTTGTGCATGTTTGAGCCGTTCAATGTGACTTCTATGAGCACAAACGTTCAGGCTCAAAACATTCGTGTTCTGTGAGTGATGATGTTTACAGTCACCATGAGACACACATCGGTAAAATGGAGAGATAAAAAGTGCTCAGACCTGTTCGAAAACAGATTTTAGTGCCAAAAAGATGTTAACAGCCGGTTTTTAATTTGTCAGAATTTACTCTTAAGATTGGATTTCCATCTGATCAGGAGAGGGATGAGAATTATAGTCTGACCCCGACCTGAACCAAAAGCTTGACTTGAGATACGTTCCAGTCTCCAACTCCTAACCAAACCAGAGGACTGAGCAGTCCTGTAGAAGGGGCGTCGCAACAGAACAGGGTTGAAGCAGACGGACCGGGAAGTGCAGTGTGCGACATCACCACCCAACAGCTCCACAACAGTTTCTACACGTTTCCTCAGTATTGGCACAAAACAGTGGTACAGGTGCCCAGTCCTAGTGCCCACAGTCCACCGCATGTGTCCAACATTAACCAAGAGCGCATGATCAAGACCTGCAGCATGTAACCACTTCAGAATGAACACAGGACTTTGACAGTGTTTCCTCTACAACGGGGAAGTAACCAGGCACAAATGTGAGTGACAGTCTGGTTGGAACCTAATAAGGGAAGGAAAACAGTCTTTTTCAAATAAATATCTAAAATATAGTGTGGAGAATGCTAAAACAATAAAACAGTTCCTGTGTGTGTCATGTGCACAGACTACACTGAGCAGAGTGAGACAGTTCTACCACCGGGAAGCGCACTGTTCTCCCGTCACTAGGTTCCCCAGCAGTTTGCGGCGGCCGGCCTGGTAATCCTCCTCGTCCACATTGACCAGCAGCTTGATAGCTTCGTGGCCGACCGCCTGTTTGAGAGAATCGGTGATGAAGACTCCTTTGAGAGCCTCCAGTAGAGAGCCATTGATGTAGTCTCTCCAGAAGGCATCCAGGTAGGTGAGCTCAGAGAATTTGATGTCACAGATGATGGAGCCCAGGTCTCTGGACTTGAGGATGGTGTTGGCCTGGTTGAAGCGCTCAAACTGCCGCTCCACAGCCTCCTGTTTGTTGGAGAAGACGTTCCCCTGCAGCGCTGACTCGTGCTGGCAGTACTCCGCTCGCACACGCAGCCGGATGTCTGCAAAAGAGACACACCATTAGAGCGAGAAAGTGCCGCAGAGATATGGGCGACCAACACATGTTGCACATCATATCTATTATATCTATAAGATTATCCATCTTCTCATGAGAAAACATTTATTTCTTAACAAACATTGAACACAGGACTTCCTAGTGTAATCAATAAAAAAATGATGGGAATAGCCTAAAAAATTTACTTGGAGGCAGTGCGATACATGACATGTTTCCCTTTAGTCATTAGACACTACTATTGTCACTAGTGATGTGCTGAGCGGGCCGAGTCTTCGAAGCGTGGACCGAGTAATCTGGGGGCGTTTCTTTTTAAGTGTAGGTCGAGGCGTGTATTGGTCACGTGTGTGATGGCCGTACCACGTGACTGATTCAGGAAATGATTCGTTGGTTTGGAGCGCGATTCGAAATAAAAGGGACGAGTGAACGCAATGGATACCCCTTCATCACTTTGTGTGTTTTTGGGTTATTGCGCTTCTCATTTGGCATCCTATTTGAGCTTCTTTTTTGCGATGGAACCGGCAAGAAAGAGAAGATTTTCTCCAGTTTGGGAGCACTTTGAGCAGATCTCACCTAATAAGGTAAGGCATATCAATAATTCTGTAATAATAGATTACACAAATATGACAACACATAATTTCTCTTGCTCACTTTTCTCTGTATTCAAAATACGTTTGAATAATAGTTTTTTCAATTGCAGGTGAAGTGTCTGTTATGCTCCAAACAACTGGGTTATAATAAAGACACCTCAGCTATGCTAAGGCACTATCGTGCCTTGCATAGCAATGTGGATTCCAACCCAGGTGAACCTGTCTCGGGTAGGCCATTTTATATCATGATAATAATTGATGATTGTCCTACAATTACACTAAATATATTTTATTTGAATGTATTTGTTCATTAGATAAATTTCTAACCCTAATGTGCATTTTCTTTCAGCTGAGACGGTTGACTTGACTGAGGCGTTGGTGGATATGGTTCCCATGGTATATATTCCCAGCCCTTTTCCATTGTGGAGGGAACTGGCTTCCAAAAGCTTGTGAAAGCTTTGGCACCATCTTATGTTCTTCCCACGCGGCAGGTATTTATGTGAACTATTAACAATTTATTATCCTCAGATCCACTATTTCAAGACTTTACTTTTTTCAGACTTTGAAAGCCATGGTGGAGAAGAGATACAGGGAAGCCAAAGCCAAAGTGGTGGTGTCTTCTGCATCTGCTGTTAGTTTAACAGCAGACATGTGGACCTCCATCAACACTGATGCCTATCTTGCAGTGACTGGTCATTTTATTGACGAGAGCACTTCTCTGCAGACTGTTGTCCTTGGGGTGCAGCATTTCCCTGAGGCACATACAGCAGCAAATCTAGCGAGAGTGATGACCTCTCTTATGTCAGAGTGGGGTTTAGCAGGAAAGGTGACATGTCTGGTGACTGATGGTGCTGCGAATATGGGAGCTTGTGCACGAGAGCTACATATGCGTCACACAATTTGTGTGGCACACACGCTAAACTTAATGATCAAAAAAGCTCTCAACCAAAGTTCTGAGTTGTGTGACATCAGGACAAACTGTCGTAAGATAGTAGGATACTTTAAGAGCAGCACTACTGCAAAGGTAAGGTCCTTACTTGTAATATGTCAATTATTATTTCTGCTCCTGCACTGTTTTAATTTGTTGACTGTTTTATAGGAGAGACTTACACAGATTCAATCACAAATGGGTCTCTCCGTGCTTAAACTTATTCAAGGAGGTGGATACAAGATGGAACAGCACGTACTTAATGCTTCAGCGTCTGTTCAACCTGAGAGAGCCTGTTGGAGCAGCTTTGGCTGGGCTCCGTACAGACATTACACAAATCTCAGCAGAACAATATAACATCATGGCAGACTGTCTGAAGGTGCTCGCTCCATTCTACTATGCCACAATTGAGGTGTCCGAGGAGAAAAGAGTCTCTGGGTCAAAAGTAGTTCCACTTTTGACCATTCTCCATAATGCTCTGGAAGAAGAGGAGATTGGCCATATCCAAACACCTGAGAGCAGAGACATGGCTGAGTATTTGCGAAGACAACTGAGGGACAAGCTCAGCCACCTCCAATCAATGAGCATCATGTCCCTCTCTACCTTGCTTGATCCCAGATTTAAAAAGATTGGATTCTTCAACCCCAATAAGGCAGCAGAAGCTGAAAAAAGATTGATTGGCGAATGTGCTCGAGTTATGAGACTTTCATTGTCCGCTTCTGCTTCATCATCATCATCATCATCATCATCTGTAGCTGAAGGTAATATGTATACTCTATTTGTGCTAATAAGTCACTTATAACCTGTTTATTCTGTTTTAGGGAGCAAACTGTGGCAACGTTTTGACACGACATGCCAGCAGACCAAAATCCCAAACATAACTGCCAACGCTACAGTGGAGGTCCAAACATACCTGTGGGAGCCAAATATTCCTTGACTCGAAAGTCCCCTTCAATATTTGGACAAACATAAGTTTACATTTCCAAATTTATATAAACTTGCCATTACATATTTATGTTCACCTGCATCCTCTGTGCCCTGTGAACGGGTTTTTTCAAAGGCAGGTGAAATACTGTGCAAAAAAAGAAATCACCGGAGTCCAAATACTCTTGAAAAATTATTATTTTTGAATAAAAATGAATAACTGTATTGTTTGTTTTTCAACTCCTGTCAATAGTTGCATAAGCACTTACATAAACAAAGTAACACAAGCACATTTTACATAACAACTGTCTCCACATCATTGGCTGTATTCTTTCAGCCCATGTTCAGACCCTACCATTTGTTATAGGCCCTTGGCATGTATTACATTTCTTTGTCCACATGATGGCGTAGTGGAGCATGATTCACCTCGAGCCTTCGACTCATGGGCCGAGTAATAGGCTGCGATCCCTCAAGGCTTCATGGGGCTTCATATTGCCATCACTAATTGTCACAAACCCAAACATTTAAATAAAGATTAAAGTTTGGGGCCGGCATCATGAACATAAGGTTGTTTTGGATATGTGAGCCGTGAAAACTGGGACCACAGGCCTGTGAACCTCAGACAGAGAGCTGAGCCTCAGACAGAACCTCAGAACCTCTAAACAGAAAGGTATCGAACCCAGAACCTTCTTGTTGTGAGGCACGAGCGCCAAAGTCCTTATCTTAGCGTCGATGAGATAAACACAACTATGTTTTTGAAGAATGTTGTGTGATGATCAAAAACATCCTCACCACAGGTCTGCTTCTCTTTGCAGTCAGACACGCAGTGGTTCCTTTTACGTTTATGTGTGGGGGAGGCCCGGGCCGGCTTACCCACCCCCACCTGTGGTCCTGCAGGGGGGCAGCAGATCAGCGGCTGGGGGGCTGAGAACACAAAAACATATGCCAATCTTCAGAGAGTACAAGTATGCAGAGGAGATTACACACAGGTTCTTATTCAATACATTTGTGCACGCCCTAAATCACGGCAGAGTAATAAACACATGGGAGGCATTGGTCCTGGATCCCTGTCCTCGAAAACTCAGTGGGAAATAATGTGAGAAACCACGGGAAGACCCAGCACTCGGGCTGTAGACCCAGGACTTGGGTTGTAGCACCAGGCTGTAGACCCAGGACTAATGCGCCAAGAGAATGTATGAATACTAGGGATTCACCGATGCGTCAGCTGAACATAGGTATTGGCCGCTGATGGTAGGCGCGTGCAAAGAGATACCGGTACAGGGCCTCCACGCACTTTCCTCAGTAGAAGAAAACAAAAGATGGCGGCAGCCGTCCGGCAATATTTCACAGTATCAGAAAAAGATCAACGTTTTGCAGTTTGCAATACGTGTTCCAGTGGGATTTCAAGAGGGGGACCCGGGGACTGCTAGAAAATCATTTAAAACACAACATTTGACATTTGAGAACCAAGCATGAAATCTGACTCACTCGGATTCAGACACCGCTTAAGTTATTTGACAGCTCCGTAAAGTCTCTAAATTACCTTGTTGCGCAAATAGCTGCCCTTCCGCCTGTCTGTTCACACATTTCTTTTGGTGACATACTTGTAATAATGTACTTTTGAACAAAAAATCATGAAGGTCCATTTTCAGTCGGAATTCCGCCAAGAAACGGCAAATTCCCGTCCCTGAATAAATTATAATAATATAATAATGATTCAGGGAGTATGATTCTTATTTTTTTTAAAGATCATACAAAGGGGCATGAACAGGTATTCATTAGGGATGCACCAATTGTGATATGTTGGGCCGATACCGATGTTTAACAACTTGGTCGATGTTATAAATATAATAATAATATATATTATGATATTTTTGTTTGAACATTTGCAATCCATTGTATGTGTACTATGATTTATCATCAGCCCCAAAACATAACATCTCTAGAGGAGATTTGCAGAGAAGAATGGGCCAAAATACCAGCAACCGAGTGTGAACCTGGTAACGACCTACAGTAATCGTTTGACCTCTGTAATTAACAAAAATCACATTACAAAAGCTTGAGTTTCACTCTTTTATGCATAATGAGTCAGCACATCCAATATCAAAACAAACAGACAATAAGAGTTTGTGAGACGATTTAAAGATAAAATATATTTCAGATTTGCAAAGGTAAACACTGACCTGCTTTCCTGTGACTGGACGGGCTGCGGCTCTGCACACTGCCTTTGGACGAATCCTCCAAATACTTGTCCACAGGGTCAGGGCGCACTGGTGAAGGATAGGGAGTGGGGTCAGAACAAGCAGACAATACAATACAATACAATAGGGATGTAGCCATATGGCCGTGGTCATGTTACAGTGATAAAACAGCTGTATCTGTAGAATAACAAGAAAAAGCAGCTCAAGCAGAACTGTAAACTACATGATCCTTTGTGCATGGTGGCCAAACAGAATCAGCGAGAGCAGGGGAGACGCTCTCTGCACACGAGAGACGTGGCACAAACGGTCAGCACAGTGCAATACAGGAAACACCATCAGAGTGACCGCAGTCGGACCTCCAGGCCCACTGCATCTGCTGCGATGCAAGGAGTCTCCAGAACTAGAGAGAGAGGGGCAGTGAAAGTCAAACTGCGGACTCCACAATGATGCTTCCGACCATAGGCTGAGAGGTCTCTCTGGTAGCCCTCAGTCCTGCTCGGTGTGGTGTCCTGAGAGGGAAGAGAGGCTCAGCCCCAACAGGGGGGAGAGGCTGTCAGCCCTGAGCATTAAGGCAGTGCTTCTCCTAGGGGCATGTGGTGCGATGCCAAGGGGGGCCTTGTGTACCCGTGGGCAAAATGCTTTTTTTTCCGTACTTGAACAAAGTTAAATTGCACATCCACTACAGTAGTTGACAGTGGTGCTCTCATTGTCTGAGTTAGTCTATATTAGGTATTCAGATAGGGCAGTCCTTCTCTAATAGTGGGCGGCCCCCTCAATATTATGTGGTTGGGGGGCGGGTAACTTGTTGTTTTTTTCTGTACGTCCTCGAACAGGATTCCACATCCTCACCGTTCTGATCCAGGAGCAATTGCAGCCGCTCTGTAGTGAATGACAGCGATTCCGGCATCCGGCGCCTGTGAAGCTGCTTTGCAAAGCAAGGTCATGTGATCCGCAAAAACAGGACAAGTGCGGATCTTTGCACAACCTGTGGACGTAATAAATACACTGCTGCAAGAAATACAGCTGGACCATGTGAGCCTCAGGAAGGGCCCATGTCTCCAGTGTCTCCTCCTGTAGCCTTGAAACTAAAACTCACTACCTTAAAGCTGGGGTATCTAAATGTTCCCTTCCTTTCATAATGCATGTTGATAAGCCCAAAAGTAAAATTAAAAACTCAAACAAAAACCACAACAGAAGTCTATGTTGTTTTTTGCATAATTAAGAAAGAACCCCGTGGGTCATTATTTGACTTTTTGGGCTGAGAGTGGATTTTATGAGCCGATCAACAGATGTAAGGAGGGGGGTATGTGTTGTTGCAATAGCAGGATTACCATTGCAACAACACATCATCAGTAGGGTAACTGACGGAAAATAATTGAGAAGCACAGAATTAAGGCAAGGCGTTCCTCGCCGCTGCTGCAGTGAAATATGACACAGGTTCTAGACTGCCATGGACTGGTCATGGAGTTGGGAGGAAATTAATAAAACAGGCTTAATCAAGCCTACAGATATAAGTTGTGTTCATGAGACAACAACTGTGTTACAATTATATTTATATATTTTCAAATAACAATTATCCAAATAAGCATATCAAGGAAAAGAAGATGAAATCCATTGACTCCATTATGAGTCAAAGTGGAGTTCCAGAAACTCAGGGTCTCTTGGTTACAACACGTAGACTGTAGATTTTATGCATTTTGTATAATAATGGTTCTCAGACTAAATATCTGTGAGACACACGTTTGTCCAAACTTTCTCATTCAATGATTTTTCCTTTCTTTTCAGGACTATTGACTGTAGATTCACACCCAGGCTGTGTAAGGGCTATTTGGCAATAAGGAGAGTGGTGGGGTGCTGGGCTAGATGTCACCGGACCACAGTTACCGGACCTGAACCGAATCCAGATGGTTTTGTGGTGAGCTGGACCACAGAGTGAAGATGAAAGGGCCAACAAGTGCTAAGCATCTCTGGGAGCTCCTTCAAGACTATTGGAAGACCATTTCAGGTCACTACCTCCTGAAGCTCATCAAGAGAACGCCAAGAGTGTGCAACACAGTAATCAGAGCAAAAGGTGCTACTTTGAAGAACTTAGAATATAAGACATAATTTGAGTTTTGTTTTGTATGTACATAATTCCACATGAGTTAATTCATAGTTTGAATGTGTGTGGATCTACAATTTTCATAATTATGAAAATAAAAAACTCTTTGAATGAGATGGTGTGTCCAAACTTTGTACACATAAAATCCGATATTTAGTGTATACAGCCCGACCAAAGCCATTCTGTAGTCTCACCGGCCTGCCGTTTCCTCAGGCTCACGTAGGGCAGCAGGTCATGGCGAGTGATGATTCTCAGCAGCTGCAGCACATGTCTGAAGTTAGACTCATCACAGCGGCCCTGGCGCTCCAGAGCAAGCAGGAAGTCCCGTCCACACCTGATGCCACCACGCTCATACTCGTCAATCACGTCCACAAACAGGAAGGAGAGCACGCGCACATCACGGTGCGTGAGTTGGGAGCCCACAATGTCAAACATGTGGTGCAGGGAGTATAGGCCAAACGAGTTATCCACAACCTCCTCTGGCCAGGGCTCGGAGCGGCGGGGACGTTTGGCAGAGGGCGGGGTGCAGGGTGGGCCAGCGGGCGAGCCGCTTTCTGGGGATGAAGGCATGTCTGCAACTTCAGCCCCAGCACTGGTGTGGGCGGTGACACGCACTGTGGATCTGCAGATACACATGCATGGAGTCAGAGAGCAGAAAAACAGCCACTCCTGTCTATATTTAAATAAGCACAAGATGAAATGAGCTTTAACATGCACACATACTACCTTCTACACGTGGGTAATATCAAATATGCTCTTGGCTAAACGAGCTGTGAAACTACGGTTCTACATTGGTCTGCTGGGACAGGAGGGCACAGGGGCTACGATATTCCGGATGGTCTGGATCAACTGGAGAAACATCTGGCCGCTAAATCAGCCTCAGAGTACCGCAACATCAGCATCTGTATCTGTCTCTGTAGTGATAAAGGCGGTGTTAAAGACGGCGGTAAAGGCGGTGGTATAGATATAGACAATAGTAAAGGCGGTGGAAAAGACCATGGTAAAGCCGGTGACACTGGGCTCTCTGGGATCAAGGCTGTGCTGTGCCTTGTCACTTCTGATCAGAGATGCTGTGTAAAAGCACACGTGAGCACAGCAGTTCTTACCTGTTTGCTGTGGCGGTGGGACCAGTGGGACAGACTGGAAGCTAAGCTCGAGCAGGCTAACAGCAGTGCGGCCCCTGGTGACTGCAGGTCCCTGGTCACCGCGTCGCTTTAGGCCTGTCCTTGTACACTGTGAGTCAGTCTCGTTACAAGTACGCGGTGTGTGGCTCGTCCAGGCTCAGGACACGGCTCAGATCAGCGCTCACTCCGCACACTTGCAGGAAAATAGCGTTTGGAGCATTTCCGTCCTCCTCGGCGCAAACATCCGGAGAGGAGAGCTGCTCTGGGGACCGGCAGCGCCCCGTGCGGTGGTCTGGGGTACTGCATCACAACAGTCTATTTTCCAACTACAACGAGTTTCTCCCATGGATTCCACGTTTGGTTTTATCTTCATAAACAAAAACGAGTCCTCCCACTCACATTCGGTAGAAGTCATGTGAGGGTGGCTTTAATAGTGTGTAATTACTATTATTATAAAAATAAATATAACAATAAAATAAAAAATGTCTGTAAAAATATCCACATTACATAGAACTGAGTTGTGCTTATAACCTGCCTATAATATTTAATATTTTACAGTCCATATTATAATTCAAGGCGAACTGCTAGAAGGCTCACAGCAAGTTGTCACTCACGGGGAGTGAGTGCGTAGGTTTACTCTGGGTGCTCCGGTTTACGCTATCACTAAAACATGTACAATAGGTTAAATATTATTTATATTTATGTATATTTTACGTATGTAGTTAATTTAGCTACATTTACAATTTTTGTCTTTTGGTAAATTACATATTTTTGTAGATTCGATTATATTGGGGTTAGTTCAGTTCAGTTTAGTTCAGTGGTACCTAAGGGATAAATGAGAGCATAGCCGGCCTTCATGCATCTGGGTGGGCTTATGGATTTTTTACCAGTTCAAGGAGATGCAAGATTTTTTGTTGTTTGCCTGCAAACTTGTTATATAAACCTTTTGAACTTTACATTTTTAATGGACATTCGTTTGTAGTTTTTTACTGCCTAAACCACATACCCATGGTGAATTCTAGTGATGATTGGAGTTTGTTTGGTTGTTAGGCAAGGCAAGTTTAGACAAGGCAAGTTTATTTATATAGCACAATTCATACACAAGGCAATTCAAAGTGCTGAACAAAACAAGCACTGTTTTGCTTGTTTTTAGTGTGGGTACATTTTGTTTGATAGTTTGTTTGACAAATAGTCACTACACAGGGTGTGTAGTGTGGCTAGGGAAGTCTGGGCGTCTCTATCATAATAGATCCATGGTCTTTATGTCCGTACAGCATGATCTGAGCTGCAGTTCAGTGTTTAGCCTCACGGGGGCGGTAAGTCCCGTGCGCACAGCTGGGGCTAAAGCTAATGCTAATGCTAGCTCAGCTGTCTGTGCTGTGAACATAGCGGTGAGGTGATCTGTGAGGACACCGGTGTGAGCTGCTCCTACAGCTGAGCGCAGTGATTGTACTGGAGCCGACTCCGTACCGTGACTCCCGGGAACAGAATTCTTCACCGGAGGCGGAGACCCTCTGCTCCTGGCTCCATCTCAGCGGGACTCTTCCACTCCACACCCAGGGACATGACCGCGCAGAGCCCGTGACGAGCGAGTACACTGCGGTGAGCCCATGTTGGTTATCCTTTATGCGTCATAAAGTTTGTATTATCAGTGTTCATAGATTGTGTGGCCTGTTAAAAAAAAAACGTTTAAAGGAAGTAATGCACCTGTTTCAGTTTAGATCTATATTGGGTTAAAGTCTCAATGTTCAAAAGTCTCCTGTTTTGCTTTGCCTCCACATCATGATCCTGACTCTCTGGCCACAGTATGTGTAGTGCCATGTCTGTGGCCTTTTCTCGAGCCAGTGCCAGTGCTGCCCACAGTAAGAAGGACAAGCGCCTGATGGCGGAGGTCAACGCGTCGCCCCTCAAGCACTTTGTCACCGCCAAGAAGAAGATCAACGGCATCTTCGAGCAGCTGGGGGCCTACATCAAAGAGAGCTCAGTGTTTTTAGAAGGTAATTGCAGCACACACATAACCATTAACTCTGTTACAGGACTGTTCTTAACCTCAATACCAAGAACGTCTGTCTCCTTTTTCAAATATGTTATACTATGGTGATACCTCTACATTTGATGTGATGCTAGAGCGCTTCTGCCATTAAAAACAAAAGTAATGCCTCTAAATTAGTTTTTGGATTTTGTCACAAAAATAAACTAATAACCACATCCAAGTAACACACATTGAAGCAAAGTTATACACAATTTAAAAGTGTGTGACTTGCACAAATGCCCATGTGGAATCCAAAGTCGCCTAAAGTTACCAAAATCACCAACACCGTCTCCTCCCTACCAAAGATTGTTAAATATTAATTTGTAAGATATTGGTCATTTTTTACCGTATCTTTTTAGCGCCTATCCACTGACAGCTGTCAAACCAAGGAGGCGCTTCGAAACAGACCAATGTGAAGCCAGGAAACTCATTGAGCCAATTAAATGCTGTGACACTGCCACAGTGGCAGTGTCCAAGACACTATTGTTTGTCCATTACAACTTTTATATTTATTCAAATATCCCTGATGGAAGGTAAACATCCACGACAACACTTCCCCATCACTGCTGACAGAGAAGCTGACCCACAACACAATGCTGCCACCCCCATATTTGACACGGTCCACTGAGGGAGATGAGAAGTGTTTGGCTTTTATCAAAACTATAAAAACGTATACATTGTTCACCCTGTATTTAAAACATACAATAAATTACCCGGTTTTGGAGTGGATGTACATGGAAAGTTCAGTAATGATGCATTTAGATAAGCCTCTACATGCTGTACATACAATTAGTTTTTCATGAGCTTTGGATCTTATTATTTTCATTATAGAGTTCCCAAAACCACAGACAAGGTAAATGTTGATATACACCAGCCTGAAAATGTGTGGAGGTGTTAGCGGGGGTTGGATAAATATATTGGTTTGGTGTGGTGTGTTCCGACGTGGTAGGGATTGCCATGTTGTGTTGTGATCTGTCGGGACACTTTAGGCAGCTGCCTTAACAACAAGTCATCTACAAAAACACACAGTTGCCAGAAGGGTGGGAGAATATGCCTACAAAGAGTGTCTCTTTCCCTTCTGATTGCCCTGTTTCTCTCCTTGCCACGTGCCTCCAAGGTACAGACTCAGCAGTTCTCATTGTACCGTCTGACAGCAACAGAAAGAAAGACCAGGAGAACCTCTCCTTTACACAGAGAGTGGATCAGTTAAATTGCTGTGTGTGTGTGTGTGTGTTTGTGTGTTTGTGTGTTTGTAGAGACTTACAAGAATGAGGAGTTGGACCCGGTTACCACAGAAGAGCAGGTGCAGGAGGTGTGTGCCTATCAGGGCAAGGCCGCGGGCATCGCAGAGGTCCTGGCTCGCAGACACATGAAGGTGGTCTTCTTCGGCAGGTACACACCTTACTGGACTTCAATAGTCCATTCCTATTGACCGCGTCTAGAATCTTTCATGATCCTTGAAATGGTCAAATCGTGGTCCCTTGTCACACGGTCATGTTCTAAAAATAATAATAATGAAGTAGCAGTTATGTTTTAAGGCTGTAAAACCCCTCACCACAACCTAAGTTGCAAGGTAACTAAAAGTCATTTCTGGGGCCACTAGAGCCAGTGGAGGGAGGCTAAAAAAAGTGATGTGTGTAATATCCAGTCTAAAGCCACAGTGATGCCTGTTACCAGTGTCTGAGCAGTGTGTGTGCTGTGTCTGCAGGACCAGTAACGGGAAGAGCTCAGTCATCAACGCCATGCTCTGTGACAAAGTGTTGCCCTCGGGGATCGGACACACCACCAACTGCTTCCTGAGAGTGGAGGGCACAGACGGAGCGGATGCCTTTATTCTGACTGAAGGATCCGAGGAGCGCAAGAGCATTAAGGTACTGCATGGTGAATACACATGGGTGCAGAGGGTCAAAGTTGACTATCTTCCAGAGTTATTGTCTTGATTCTAATACAAGATTGATTGTAATGCCTTGTATGTGTCATAAGTCTCCAACGGTGTGTGCAGACGGTGAACCAGCTGGCTCACGCTCTGCACCAAGAGGAGCAGCTGGACGCTGGCAGCCTGGTGTGTGTCATGTGGCCCAAAGCAAAGTGTACCCTGCTCCGTGATGACCTGGTGCTCCTGGACAGGTTCCCCCTCTACACACCACTGTCATTTCAAACACAACTATCTTTCTCCTTTCAAACAAGACCCACAGTATTGTGCTTCAGTCTACTTTACTGGAGTGATCATGACACATTTGGAACCTCAATAATGAGCTTAAAAACATTAATCAAAATTCATGTGTGTGTGTCAGAGGAACTGTGGTTCATCATCACAGTCCTTTCTCCAGTTGTGTATGCGGTAACCGCTACAAAACAAGCTGATGGTAACGGTAATCATTTCAATCTTAAATTGATGGATTACTTACGTACTGTTCTGTCTGTTTTGACCCATTAAGGCCTGCATCGCCTGGTAAAACAGACCTGCAAAAACTGAGGCCGACTTCAGAACCACCCTCCAAATCCTGAAGTTTTCCTGAAATTCAACGTCTACTAAATTATTGGTATCTCGGCCTCTGTAGCAGATAGAAACATAATTTCAAAAGAATTTGAGAGCTGACACTTGTGGCTTTCAATAAGAATTCAGTGTACTATTATAAAACTTCAGAAAAGAATATGCAACTTCCACACAGGAAAGGTAATAAAAAAAACAAAAACAATGTGAGACTAACACATGTTTATCAATGCAATAAGTCAAAAATAGTTTGGCAATTAAGTGGCACTAACTACGTAGAAAAATATATAAAAAGTACACTCTCAGCCCAAAAAGTCAAATAATGACTCACTGGGCTCTTTCTTAAGTAAGCAAAATAAACAAAACACGTCTGTTTTGGTTTGTTCTGTTTGATTTGGTCACAAAAAAACATGCATTGTCAATGCAAGCGAAAATTTAGGTAGCTGAGCTTTATTTTTCAGTGAGTCTTGGCTGCGCTTCGTCAGGAGACTTCGGAGCGACATGGGGGAGAGACAGGGAGAGGCGTGGGAGGGAGCTTGTTGCTCGTACGGGTCTTGCCCGTCTCTCCCTCGGTCCTGATCGCGCGTCTATGGTCCGTGCTCGGTACATGACCCCTGTGGCTGCGCTTTCGCTGAGCTGTCAAAGCAGCCACTGTTGCTCCCGGGGTCAGAGCGGAGGATGTTAATCCTGTTTGAGTACATAACGCAAACAACTGCCCGCGGTCACGCATTTCACCAAAATGAAATTTTCAGCGTGAAAAAGTCGGAATTCGCGGATCCGCAGATAATTCTCATCACAGGTATATCTTGATACATTTATAGAATATGTCAAAAAAAGAAAAAAAGACGTGTCCGCTTTCCCGGCCTTAAAGGTAGAAATGCACAACAGCGCGCCCGGCTTGAAAGGGAGAAACGCGGGAATGTGTTCCCGGCCTCAATGGGTTAAGGTAAAACCTCATGTTTTGTATACTGAAATGTCTTTATACTAAATGTCTATATTTGATTTTGTTCTTCAATAAAATTTAGTGCTGTCAAATAAAAACATATTTAATCATAATTAATTGCATTAATTTTATCATTAACTCGTGATTAATAGCATTTAATCGTTCTAAATGTCCTTTGATCTGGTTTGAAGCAAAAAGCTTAAAGATGCTATACCCGATTCTTTTTTTTTTTTATGAGTTCATAAAAATTCTTATTACTACTTATGAGTTGTATTATAATCCGTAATTTAATTAAAAACTTGAGCTCATTGATACAGCCTGTGTATGAATTCAGGCCGTAAAAAGTGCTGAGTAGAGACTTGAGCATGACCCTCGCCCTTCACTCACAGAACGAGGAGGCGTCCTCTAGCCTCTACAGCGCTGCTAAAAACGGTAGCATGTTAGCAGAATTGGCTTTAACTCCTCTTGCTGTAACTGCATACACAGCAAAACAGCCCAAACGACACAACAGTGAGGAAGAGAAGAGGGAACTAAAGCAAAAAAATTAAGCCCGGGTGAACATGGTATCCTCTGGAGAGACTTGTCTATGGGAGAGACCTGCGGGACCGCCTCGGACTATCTATGCTCGGACTACATTCGGACGCGAAACTAGCGGTTATCTTTCAGTTATATATTTGGTTAGCAGTGCGTTGCTTTTGTACCATTTGATCAGTGATTGTTGTACAGCTTAAGTTGCGCTAATGCTAATGTTAGCATCAGATTGCAAATACAACTAGATGGCTCCGTGGGATGAGAGCGTAGGGGAATTGAGAAGCCTGTGAGCGAGTTGGGGGGCGGTGCTAAACATTCAAACATTGCAGAAACGGGTATAGCGCCTTTTAATTAATCAATCCAATATTTGAACTCAATTCACTGCTTTTGTTGGTGCCCACACTAAGTAATGACCATGTTGTCTTAATTCACATTTCATTGGCAGGAAGGAAATAAATGCTTAAATGATCAGTTTTGTAGATGGTACAAAGTACACTAAACTCTGCCACGAAATGTACAGTATGTTCTTGTGTAGTAATGTCACTCATAACTGCCTAGTATCAGAAACTCTCACACCTTGTCACTGTCTTTGACCATGCCCGCTCGAGGGTGCTTTGCCTAAACGCCACAGAGGATGAAACCGGCTCGAGCACACAGTCGCGCACCGGCCAGGTGCTCGTCAGTCCAATCGACTACTTTTGCCACAGAGACCATGAGGACAGCTGTATAGCGCTTCTGTCTGTCCTCTACACCCTTCTATAGACTACAGGATAGTGATTTATTCCTCTAAATCAAACACATCTGACATTCAAAACTTTTCAACTGGACTTCCATTCAGTTCAACTCTGGCTGCAAACTAACAAACTGTTACTTGGCAAATCCAAATTTTATGTTGTTCCAGAAACGAGTCAGTCTTGTTTTTCTTGATGACAACAATATATTTTTAGACACTTCACCGCTCCCAGTTGTTGATCAATTCAATTATCACTGTCATTTAACAAGCACATACAAATACAAACAATATTTCTCAAATTACTATCATTCAATTAATTGCTTCAGTTCAGGATAATTTCAGTTGTTTCTTCCCATAGTAGATAACACTACTGCATCCAGCCTCTGAACATTACATTTAACTTCCTGTGCAGGTTCATTCTCTGCTGTCCCATGAGAACCCACCACTGACTGCTGTACGAGCAGTCATCATGGCTCTCTGTTATACAGATGAGGGTCTAATGCAACCGGTTTGGCAATAAAATGTATAAAATCAATGCCACGAGACTGTCCTACACATGCAGACTCTATATCGCCCCCTAGAAATTCCATATTTTCCAAGCCTATGATAGCCAGACATGCAAATTTTGGAGTCCAACGGGAAGTCAGCCATGATGGTCTAAAGTTTTGCCGTTAATTTGACTTTTCATTTTTGGATTTGTACTCGTTCTTGGTTTTTCCATCTCACATACTTCTACCATGTAATTTCCCGATCTGGATGGATTGGAGTTAAACGATTATCAATACATAGTTAGAAATTCCCACACCATGGTGAATAACACCTTAGTTTTGGCCGTTTTTGAGGACCCCTCAGGGCCACAGGCTCAGACCTACAGAGCTGAGACTCTCATCACATCAGGTTGTGGCCTGAACGTAATGGCATCAAAATCACACGCACCAATATGAACTTTATAGCGCAACCTGTCGCATAGTAATAGGGCACTAGTGCTCCGATCTGCCCAAAAATCTGAGTATAATCTCTGTTAAAGCAAAGTATTGTCTGTGAAAGGTGTAAACCCAACACTTGACCACTGGGGGTGCCCATGAATTGTTTGAGCTTTTTGTGCACAATTTTTGTCCAATGAAGCTAGATATTTAATTCATAAATACAGCCTATGACCCTGAACACAATATGCAACACAAAACTGAGTGCAACAGCGCCACCTACAGGCACTTCAAAGTTTTGTGTTTTTGAATTTGATCTCGTCCCAGGTTTTTTGTCAGACTTCTACCATGTCATTTCTCCATCTGGGCGGATTGAAGTTATACAATTTTTGTAAAAAACTTAGAATCACTACAGTTTTCAAGCGAGGTGGTCGTGAATTCCTTGTTTTTTTCTGCTCTCATGGCCACACTCTTAGAACTGAAACTCTTATCACAAATAGTTGATTATGGCCTCTACGTACAAACTCGAGAGCGCCACCTATGGTAGGCCTCGAACCTAAACATGCCTGATCTGCACCAAAGTCGCAGGATCAAATCTTTACATCCATACGAGCAAAACATTACAGTATGCAGAGGGTGCATGTCCCACGGTTCACCACTCGGGCTGCACGGAATCCTTCAAATGAGCTTTTTTGTGCACAATCCTGGTCCGATCAGGCTGCAATTTCTTCGGCAAGTACACTGCGTGCCGCATATCGGACCAGCGCTGCCCGGGAGGTGGTCGCGAGAGTGGCAAGGGCTTTCATTGCCGCTTGCGGCTTTTAATTAATAATGATACTACTACCCCAAGTTGGTCATTTATAATACACTATATAGTCACAACAGTCTGTGTGTGTGTGTGTGTTTTGTCTTATGTGTGCTGTATGAATTGTTGTCAGGTTTACAACTATAAATATAACGCTTTTGTTTAGACATTTCTTACTAAAATTTCAAACACAAATAACAAAATTATACATTTCTTAGAAAAGTGGAAAGTAGGGAGTGCACATGTATTCAGACAGCTTTTTTCTGAGCGCATTAAATTGCTTTTAAAACATTCCTAATGACTGCTGAATGTGTTCACACCTTGCCCTAATGATAAAATGGAGGCCATAATCTTTATGGCTTCCATGATTGTGAGTATGACAAAATGTGCAACAGTTTGCTATAATTACTGCAAGGCACTGAATATGTGTGTGATCCTTTGACTCACACGTGTTCTGTTCACAGCCCTGGAATCGATGTGACCACAGAACTGGACAGTTGGATCGATAAGTTCTGTCTGGACGCTGATGTCTTTGTGCTGGTGGCAAACTCTGAGTCCACGCTCATGCAGACGGTAACACGCCATCGACACCAAAACTGAACATATGACTATAACATGTTCCCGTCCTCCGAACACTGAGAGAATGTTAATTTAATGTGTACTGTCCCTATTCAAATAAACTAGTAAAAAAGCAAGCTTCTACCAGCTATGAGTCTTGAGAAAAGTGAAGACCTATATTCCACCCATTGACTTAGAGAATTAAAAAGGTGATTACCTCGCTCAAAGTTTAGATTATTGTCCCCCCCCCCCGGTGAACAGGGAGGTTGTCAAAAACAAACTTAAGTGATGTGCAAACATATGTCTAAAGCTATAGGCCGATTTCAGTTTGATCAATGCAAAAACATACGGCATCTGACTATTATGTGTGATTTTGCAGGAGAAGTCCTTCTTCCATAAGGTGAATGAGAGACTGTCCTGTCCAAACATCTTCATCCTCAACAACCGCTGGGATGCCTCTGCCTCTGAGCCCGAGTACATGGACGAGGTCAGTCCATTCAAGTCTCAGGGTTAGGAAACCAGTATTCTAGTGTACATGTACAGTATACACCTCAGGGTTAGGAATCGCTAAGGTAAGTTATTTTGCCAAATGTAAAACCTTTACATTTGGCAAAATTGAACATTTTATTATTTTCAAGATTGAGATTTTATACTTGTTATTGATTTCTAGAGTTAGAGATTTTGTTTTATTTTAATTAGTATAGCTATTGTTCACTTATCTTATGCTGTGTGCGCCCCTTTCCTACTGTTTCTATAACTTGTGATGCAACACTGAAATTTCTCCACTGTAGGACGAATAAAGGATCTCTTAATTTTAATCGTAAATTCATTTCCACTGTGTAGAAATACCAGAGTGAGTCTCATTTGTATTTGTTTCAGGCACATAGTTGATATTGCTTTCTACCTTCGGGTCAAAATGACCCTTTCACAGATGATTTAATGAAAAAAAGTACCCTAAAAAGGTCTTAAAGTTAAGAACAATAATCCAAATTCAACCCAACAATTATTTAATCACCTGTGGCTTGAATATGACCCGCGGATAACACAAGGGTAATAGACACACTTCTGCTGCCACCTGCATGTGCAGGATGCATTAAAGTGAAACCCCAGCTCGACTTTTCCCTTTTGGAGGTTTTCTACACACACATTGACCCTACTCATGCTATGAAGGCACAGTGCAACTTGTGTATGCATTTTAAAAACACCCCCTTGCAAAATGATCTATTAATAGTGCAGTTCTGTAGAAAGCATGTCTGCCTACATTGTCCATGCTGAATTTAAAATGTGTGTGACTCTACACTCTGCTCTGTCTCAGGTGCGACGGCAGCACATGGAGCGCTGCACAAACTTCCTTGTGGAGGAGCTGCACGTTCTGGAGCGAGCCCAGGCCGCTGACCGCATCTTCTTTGTGTCCGCTAAAGAAGTGCTGCAGGCGCGCGTGCAGAAGGCCCAGGGCATGCCTGAGACCGGTAACGACCACTCTATCCTTCACTCTGTTCCTTTTAATTTGTTCCTTAAAGGTCCCATATTTCGCTCTTATTTTTTCACAGTCCATACTATGCACATGTGTGATGATCATTTTGATGAAAAACCATACAATACTCAAAATTTGTGAAATTATTGTTATTGCATAGAGGTCATGTCCCCTCAATTGAAATGGCTGGATTACTGCTCCTCTGCCTGTAAGCCCGCCTCCCCCACCCGTGCATTGACGGAGCCTCACGCTAACGAAGAAGTAAATAATTCGGTGTGAAAGTAAACTGCTGCATTCCTCGTCTTCGGGCCAAATGGTGTTGATAAAAATTAACACCCAAAAACAAATTTTCTCCAAGTTGAGAAACACTTTTAGTTGCTGACAATAGCAGAAGTATAGATGCGAGCCAGACTGAGGGCCATACACTAGGAAAGGCTCAGGTGGTAGAGCATTGGCCTTTGAGTCTGAAGGTCGTGGGTTCGAGCCCACCACAAGACTATCTCCACCGACTCCCACTGATGTCTGCTGTTGTTGTGTCCTTGGGCAAGACACTTAACCTCTGGGAACACCAGGTGCCACAGTGGGGTGACTGTAAAGTGCCAAACTGCCAATGTGTCAGAATGAGTCTGGTGTGTGTGTGAATGGTGGTGGTGGTCAGAGGGGCTGATGGCACAGACTGGTTGCCTCGCTTCTGTCAGTGTGCCCCAGGGCAGCTGTGGCTACAGCAGTAGTTTATCAACACCGTGTGTGGAGTGAAAGAATGACATGTGAAGTGTCTTTGAGTGTCCATAAATTGCTATATAAAACCAATGCATTATTATTATTTTAAAGGCTGATTGTGTGCTGATTTACCGTTTACCGTCAATCACCTCCTTGAGGTGGCCTTCTGCAGCTTGTGACGCATAATAAAGTAACGCCACGAAGCTTTGCTGCCTCTCGAGAATGAAAGAGAAGGATTGCTCTCTAACTAAAGCTTGAATGTTAAGATAAGATATTCCTTTATTAATCTCACAGTGGAGAAATGTGTGTTATCGTTGCGCACATTACAGCAGAGAAAGAAGGAAATAAGAGCACTCCGATTGCACACATTAAATATTATTTCATTTAAGATGATAGACAATATAATTTAGAATAGATAAATAATAAAATAAACTCTGGAGCTATTACTTGTTTCAGGAGTATTTACAGATGTGAATATTGGGCCTCATTCACGAATAACTTCGTAAGAAACTTCTCAAATTTCTCCTCAAGTTGTCCTTAAGTAGATTTCTAAGAAGTCCCCACGTGGGATTCATCAACGCACTCGTAAGCCGCTGAATTGTTCGCAGCTGTTCTCTCAGATTGATGAATCCCATTTTGTCGTAAGTAGAGCGCGCGTGCCCGGTGCTTCATTAGCATAGGTACTTAGCATAGGTAACCGCCCACTACTGCAGGGCCGTGTGCAGACGGCAGAGGAAACAGCAACAGGCCTAAAGCAAAGAGTTACACGGAGCAAAAGAGTCACCCTTTTTTCTTCTTTTGCCAGACTGAGAATAAAGTTATAAAATGTTGACTTAAAAGTTGAAATATTATGATAATAAAGTCGAACTAGCAAAATTATGAGATTAATCTAAGAATATGATGAGATTAATCTCAAAATGTTATGAGCTTAATTTAAAAATATATTATGTATTATTTTAAAGATGAATCTCAAAATGTTTTGAGATTAATCTCAAAAGATTTTGGACCCTGGGAGGAGATCCAGCGCGGACCAGCGCTGAGACCAATGCAGACCCGAGGAGAGACTGGAGTGACCAGCACACAGAAACCAGTGCGGACCTATAGGAGAGACCGCATAGACTGGAGTGACCTGACTGGAGAGACCGGTGCGCAGAGACCAGCGCGGACCGAAGAGAGACCGCATAGACCAGACTTGAGAGACCAGCGCGGACCCGTATGGATCCAGGAGCATGCAGCACGGACCCGTATGGAGAGACCAGTGCAGACCCGTATAGATCCATGGGAGACACCAGTGCAGACCCGTATAGATCCATCGGAGACACCAGCGCAGACCCGTATAGATCCATAGGAGAGAACAGATTCGTGAATGCCACTTTCTTCGTAAAAACCTCGTAAGTAGGATTTACGTACAAATCTGTTCCTAAGAACCGTTCGTGAATGAGGCCCATTGTTCTTAAGCAGCGGAGAATATGAGCAGAATAAACATCAGTAATAATATCAACGGGTAAAGTAACTAGTGGCAAAGTAATTTAAGTTATATAAATTATCAATGACACTTGTACAGACACAGAAAAAACTACTTTGGGTATGTGTATCAAGGCCACATAGAACTGTAATTATATTTAAAGCGGCCGAAAAGTCATAAAGCGTGTTTATTTATTTTTTAAATAAATGCATTCTAGATGCACAGGGTCCATGAGTAGATGACACTTCGTACAGGATGCACTTGACCCTGGTTGCACCGTTCTCTTGTCAGTTTGTGAGAAACAGCTGAAGGAATGGGTTTCAATGGGATGTTTACTTACATTGCATACTCTGTACAAACAGGCTGCAGTGGTGATGTAATCAGTGCACACATATACTGTTATAATCAGTTTGTTTTATTCCAGGAGGAGCGCTCGCTGAGGGCTTTCAAGCACGCATGTTTGAGTTTCAAAACTTCGAGAGGAGATTTGAGGTGATATTTTCAAAACACTTTATTTGATTTATTTCTGTTTATATTTTTTCCGCGCCGGTCACGTGACTGGGTGGCAGGGGGGTTTTGCAAGTACTTTCACTGCACACTTGTTCACTGTGATGATGAATTTTAAACATTGCATTTTGGTTGCTCATACCCGCGGCTTCCTTTTCCACATTTACCGTAAGTAACAGCAACAAGGGGTCACCCGCTTTTAATGTGTGGACCCCTTTACCGCGACGGTGAAAAGCCGGGCCACTCTACCCCGGTGAACATGGCAAGAAATGGATTTTCACCACGGAGTCTGACCAATGTTTGTCATCCCAGGTCTTATATGGGCTTTGAATGTGTTCAGTTCAGTCTTGTCTTTATATCTCCTCTAATCTTCTTGCGTTAAAGTGGTTATACATAGTGCATTTCGCCCACTGAGTCTTTTAAAAGTACTTATCACATCCATGCTTTTGTATATGCCGCTCTGTCTTATTTGTTTTGTGGATTTTTCTGTGCATTGTGCTTTTTTCCAGCGTGCTTCTCATGTACTCAAACAACCCCATATAACCGCTAGAATAACAATGCCTTTATTTAGAGTCAAAAGGAAACCCTAACCGAATGTGTTGTTCTAATTTTAATGTAGTTTCTTTTGTTGTAGGAATGCATTTCACAGTCTGCTGTGAAGACAAAGTTTGAGCAGCACACAGTGAGGGCCAAGCAGATCAGCGAGGCCTTGAGGGGCATCATGGAGTCTGTACACGTCGCAGCGCAGGAGCAGAGGTGAGCCAATACATGTGAGAATTATGTGACAGTCCATTAGAAGTTTGCTGAAACCAGAGTCCGGCAATGGCGCGACAACGGGACCTCTGAACCGGCCCTCTGAACCGGCTCTCTGAACGGCCCTCTCCATCTACACCTGCGGACTGCCCTGCCCGACCTGCCTGGGAGCGCTTCAGTCCTGCACCAGACCTGCCCACATTCTGCGGCCGCTGCGTGGCATTGGTCCTCGTTCTGTAGCTTAGGTCCTGGATCTATAGCCCGTCCGTCCGTGTGGGGTGGATCCCCCTCTCAATATGTGGGTCTCCCCGATGTTTCTCACTTTTTTTCCCACTGGGTTTTTGTGAGTTTTACCTTGCTGATGCAGGATGGTGATCCAGGGATGATCCACGATACTTAAACATTCTACAACATATAGATGTTGGACGTTGGTCTCTCCCTATGGACCAATACATATGTGTATTTCTATTTTTTTGTGTCTTAACTGTTGATACTCTTATCGGTGTTGGTGATTTCAATGGTTTTGTTAAGTCCTCTGAGATGACTGCTGTTGTGATTTAGGGCTATACAAGAATAAGTTTTTGTAGTCAGAGTGTACCGATAGTGAGGCATCTCCAGTGGTAGCCTTAATGTGGAAGAAGCTCATTTGAACATAGCTGGAGCCAATTTTCTTATTTCCTCTGCATTTCTTCTGCCGGCTTTGCAGGTAATAGTCTAACAATCTCACCATGTAAAGTACAATCCTATGTTCCTCATTTTTTGTACATATTTTTAAGTATTTTAATTTCTGTTAATGATTTTACTAGTCCTCTATCTCTTATGAAGTTCCTTTCCTCTGATGCATAAAGGCTAACTCACTTCACTTTATCTTTGTATCACCATAAATCACAACAGCAGTTGTCTCTGAGGACTTCAGGAAGTTGTGGACTCACCCACAAAAGATCACCGAATCAATCAGTTTGAACACAGGATATGCAATAATGACAATCACATTGGTCCATAGGGAACGGAATGACCACTGTATAGAAATGTTAGTACATGTGCAGAAAATCTCCCGGATCATCACTGTCCTTTGACCATCCTGCATTGGCTAGAAAGCACATGAGTCAACATATTTACCTTTGTCAGTTTTTTTCCAATATTCGTAACGTCAATGTGGAAGAATAAAGCTGTGTTCACACCGGACTCGACTTTGACTTTTGACAGTGAAAATGAAGGGTGACGCGCGTCAGGTGGCGCCGAGAGTCCCTGCGGCACTTTGCACGCATCCAAAGCTTAAAAAGATGCGAGCATTATGCGCGGCAGTGACACTCGTAATACTTGCGTCTTTTTTGGTGTCAGAAGTTAAGAAAAGCTGAGCTTTTCGAGCTTGACGCCGGGCGTCAACCAATCAGGAGATGAGCAGGAGAAGCAGCAGCAGCACCAGCAGAAGGTCTGTCATGGAGAGAAGTCATGTTGCTGCTGCTTTTTTGTTGTCATTATTGTTATTATTAGCAATATTCTTTGTAAGAGAAGTTACGTTCTTAAGTAACAATCAATGTACACATGCTGTGAAGTAAAAGTAATTTATTTCATATAAGAACAAGCTGATGCGGAGTCTGGCTCAGACACAGAGCAGACTGCTGGACAGCAGTCTGAGAGACGGGTGCTCCTCCGCAGGAATCGAGTGCCTGTTGTTGGTGTCCAGGTGGGCGATGCGAGCTCCAGGCGGGCGATGCGAGCTCCAGGCGGGGTGCGGGTACTCAAGCTGGGCGAGTGACATGCGGAAGTACCGCTGAAAGTTGTACTCATTCGTACGTAGCTCCTGAAGTAAATGGTGAAACTCAGCAAACACTGCAGCCTCTCAAGTCTGTGGTGAACCCAGAACATGTGTAGAAGCTACAAAGACGTTATTTGGCTTTATTTAACAACTAAAGGCTGCTCTCTGGAAATCCACCATTGTCTCTGGACTATACCGGTAAGAGAGAAGCTCCTCCCAATGGGCGTCAGGCGCGTCAAGCACCAAAATTACAAAATTAAATCGGCGTCAAACAACGCGCGTCAAGGGCGTTTTGAAGCTTCTGGTGTGAACACAGCATTAGATTTTCAACGGACAGGATTGTGAATGACTCTCAAAACAGAGCACTGACCCTCCGCTTGTCTCCAGGATCTACTGCTTAGAAACCAAAGAAGAGCGCCAAGAGCGGCTGGAGTTTCTTGATAAACAGTTGGACCTGCTCACTCTGGACTGTAAGACGAGGATTAAGAAGATCACAGAAGAGGTGGAAAGACAGGTCAGTCCACGTCATCACAGCATGAAACTCGATTGAACATGTGCCTGTACCATCTTAATAGAAGTCATATTTATAAGTGAAATCCTTGAAGTAGCAGAGGGAGCGACAAGCCACAAGCCCTTCAATTTCCACAGAGCCAAATCATAGTGATTGCGTATATGTTGTTTTAAAAGTACCATGATGTTCTTTCCAGTGAATGTAACAAATGTGATGTATCAAAATGCTGAAAATCTGGAAGTGATGTGTTTGTTTTTAACTTTGAGTCTGTGTATAATGTGTGACCGTGTGAAGGTGTCCAACGCTATGGCTGAGGAGATCCGCAAGCTCAACCTTCTGGTGGATGACTTCCACCTGGACTTTCACCCTTCCCCGGTTGTGCTCAAGGTCTACAAGAATGTAAGTTAAATATGTGTTGTAACATGTGATTATCATCATTTTATGTACAGTATATTGCCTTCACTGTAGCCTGATGTTGACTCACTGGAGGGGAGGGGTTGTTGGGAGAGGGAGAGCGATTACACACTGGCAAAGCTAAAGATCTGAACTTATTATCATTATTATTATTGACCTTTCTTTCACCAAGAAAGTGTTGTTCATAAAGTTGTCCTGGTCTCTCTCCACAGGCAGGGGAGAACATACAAACTACTAGGGCTGGGCAATATGGCTGAAAACTATATCACAATATAATTTATTCATATCGGTCAATATTGATAATTATTTATTCTTATATTTAGAAAACCTAAATAAATTTGTGTCGGCAAACACGTTAGCAACATTTGTTTATAGTCACGGGGTATGAGAACTCGGGCTGGAGGCCTATGTTCACAAGCACTGTATCCCCCATTGTCAGACCTGGTTTAATTCCCGTTTAGTCCTGGTTTAGCTCCTGTTTTGGCCGGTTTCAAATGTCTTCATGCTCTGGCTGGGCCCTTGTGTCCCCGTGACCACGGCTCTTCGATTACCGCACGTGCTTCCGGAGGAAAAAGTTAATGTCTTGCTTTTGCCTCATGCATCGATTCGCCGTGCCCACTGCCTCTGCACATGCAATTTCTCTCACGAACATGCATCACCATTGACATGGCATTGCAACACGACTCATTGAAACACGATTCATGCGTTGTGTCCAAGATCCATGGACATAACGCATGGTCCGGTTGTTATTGCTGGTTTCCCAGAATGCCTTGCAGTTCATGTTCAGCCTTGATAAGTCGAGAAGCCTCTGCCCACGTCCCTCAGAAAGCTGTGCGCTTCTGACTTGGCTTTTCTTCCTGTTTTTTGATTGTTTATCGAACATTCAATTGACCCGATTTTCTTTTGATATCGAACACGTGTCTATCGCAAAATATATCTCTATTGTTTTATCGCCCAACCCTACAAACTACACATAGAAAGACCCGGAGGTGGAATCGGCACAGGGGTCTACCTGCATCTTTACTGTACCAATGTATTTCTGTATCATCCTAAATCACAACAGCAGTCGTCTCTGAAGACAGTAAATGCAATGATAACAAACTCAAAGGAGAGCCATTTGTTTATAGAGAGTAGGATGACCACTGTCCGAATATATGGTAATAAATGTGCAGAAACTAGAAACATGTCCTGACCCTGGAATCCCACCACCTGAACTGATACAATAAGTTACAACAGGGTCTCGGGTCCCAGATAATGTTAGTGTATCTTGGTGCGAGGAGCTGCTCTCTGGGTGATTCAGAAACATGTTCAAACATGGGTGAAGGTGTCTGCTTCCCCCCACCCCTTTTTCAAAACATGTGTGATTTTGTTTTGTTTGGTAGATTTGTGTGGCCTTTACGTATCCATGCATGTGTGTTTCAGGAACTTCATAGGCACATTGAAAGTGGCCTGGGGAAGAACATGTCCCATCGCTGCTCCACGTCCATCAACTCTGCTCTCCAGGCCACACAAACGGACATGATCGGTGAGCCCACTTTTACCTTACAGCCCTCACCAGCTCCTCTCTCACTGTCACCTTTGCATGCTCTTTATGTTTTATGTTACCGTCCTCCTTATTCATAAATAATCTCACAATAATGAAATATACTATTGTGTGTGTGTGTAGATGGACTGAAGCCGCTCCTGCCTATAGAAGTCCGGGAGCAGGTGGATAAGCTGGTTCCTCGTCACTGCTTCAGCCTCAGCTATGATCTGGCCTGTGACAAGCTGTGCAGTGACTTCCAGGAGGACATCGGCTTCCACTTCTCTCTGGGCTGGACCATGCTCGTCAAGCGCTTCCTGGGTCCGCAGAACACACGGCGGGCGCTGGTGGGCTACAGCGATCAGGTCAGTGTCTCTCATTCATGCCTAAAACAAACAAACAAAACATAAGGAATACATGTTTATCCCAATGGACAGATTCTTGTAAAACACCTTTGAATAAATCAGACCACAGAATTTCTCTAGAAAACCAATATCCTTTGCATCCTTGAGCAAAGAGTGGTGTCAGTCTCTGTAACTCTTTAGGCTGAAAGCTGATAGACTAGGAGTGTGTTTTACACAGTTGATGTATTTCCTGATGAGATCCATCCAGAACCCTCCTCATCTTCCCATGTGATATCCTTCATGTATAATGAAGCTGTTATCCTCTGCTACAGGTCCCTCGACCCCTGGCTTTGACCCCGGTCAACCCCAGCATGGCTCCGTTCCCCCAAAGTTCAGTCACTCAGGAGGAGCTGATGGTCTCCATGGTGACGGGCCTGGCCTCCCTCACCTCACGGACATCCATGGGTGTGCTGGTGGTGGGTGGAGTGGTAAGTATGTGTGGCTGCATGTGTTTGTCTGTACATTTGTGTGTGTGTGTGGGCTTGTGTGGGTTGCCCATCGTAGATGTTTATCCCTGTTGTATCCTGGCTGTAGGTCTGGAAGGCAGTAGGCTGGCGCCTCATCGCTCTCTCCGTGGGTCTGTACGGCCTGCTGTACGTGTATGAGCGTTTCACATGGACGACCAAGGCGAAAGAGCGTGCATTCAAGAGGCAGTTTGTGGACTACGCTAGTGAGAAGCTGCAACTCATCGTGAGCTACACGGGCTCCAACTGCAGCCACCAAGTGCAGCAGTGAGTGAGGCAACTCTGGCTGCCGATAATATTATGTTAGTGGTCAACGAGTCACATAGAACTTTAATGTGTTATTTAAACATTAATTGAAAAAAAGGTGTCTTATACAAAAGTGTAGGTTTAGTTTAGAAAAAATCTATTAAAATTGGGTTTTAATTAGTTAGGGAATCTAGAGGCCACATAGACCAAGGGGGAACAGCTCTGAGGCAAGGAGGCCAGTTCTGTGCCTACCTTGAAACTGGTCTTACTCAAAAGCTGATCTTGAAACCTGGTTTTATTCCCACAATAAAAGAAGCTAACAAGGAGCCTAGATCTGAGGGCGGCACAGTGGCTGAGTGGATAGCACTCTTGCTTCTCAGCAAGAAGGTCCTGGGTTTGAATCCCGGTCGGATTGGGGTCTTTCTGAGTGGAGTTTGCATGTTCTCCCTGCGCTTGCGTAGGTTTACTTCGGTGTTACCCCTTCCCCTAAAAACATGCACACTAGGTTAAATCCTCCTGCTCCGGTAGTCCTGACCAAGCCGAGAATCAACATCTGGAGATGGGTTCCCGGGCGCTGTACGGGGACCACTGCTCCTGACCTTAGTGGCATCAGGATGGGTCAAATGCAGAGGATGAATTGTCCTACGGGGATCAATAAAGTGCACCTTATGGCCCCGTCCACACGTAGCTGGATATCTGCTAAACCGCAGATATTTTTCTTTGTTTGCACCTGTCTTCCACATGAAAATGCATCATAAATGAATATATAAAGAATATATTAAAAAAAAATCAGTTTATGCTAGGGCTGGGCGATATGGCAAAAAAAAAAATCTCCGATTTTTTCACACCAAATCCGATTTTCGATTTTAATCGATTTATTTTTTTCTATTTAAAAACAAACTACAATTGACAAAGAAATAGATTTTCCTTTATGCAGTTTAATCTAAATCCCCATGGAGCATAAGTGTAACAGGAATTAAGCCTTAAAACATGCTTGTAAACGAGATGGCTCTGCCATTGTAAACAGTGAAAATGTAGCTTAACAGTTTTATAATAACTTCAGTTACAATGACACTATGCACCTTCAAAATAACTTAAATCACACAAACAAGGCCCATCGCAAATATATCAATCCTATTAAACACATGCATTATTTACATGAAATATCACATTTTTAAAACTGATTACTCAAAATAGAAATGTTGTAACAGACAGTCTTTTCCAAAAGCCTCCTCGGGTTTTCATGCTTGTTCTTTCAACTGTGCCTGAGTAACTGTGCTGTAGTACAACGCTCGGTCCAGCTGGTGGCGCTAATACTAACTTCAGTGACTCCCGCATTGTGCGAGCTTCCTGTTTACATTCTGATGACGTAGCTAACAGCTACTGTAGCAGCTACTGTAGCTAACAGACAGCGGGGAACACGTTGTTTGTATCAGAGCAATGAGAGTAATGTGTGAGACGTGTCTTTCCCCAAAGTGCAGCGGCTCAGTGGGACACGAGTGTGTGCGCGCCACGGACACGGGAGTGCGCTTTGGAATAACGAGCGTGAGAGAGCGTGAAAGATGTGGCGTACGAACATGGCGTACGAACATAGCGACCGGAGCCTGCGTGCGTGTGTGTGTGTGTTTTGGCGATTAAATAAAGTCTGATTCTTGAACGTTTGAAGTGTTATTGCAACAGCATCAACTGTGAGAGCGAGCATCAGGCCAGAGGGAGACTGTTAGCATTAGGTTAGCTTCAAAATGACTGCTCAACACCATAGACCCGCGGTTAGCGCGTTAGCGCTGTAGTTCTGCGCTGGAGAAAATAAAAATCGAATTTTAAAAAAAAGAAATCGCCCTAAACGTAAAACTCGAATTAATGATTAAAATCGATTAATCGCCCAGCCCTAGTTTATGCATTTGTGTGTAGACAGAGATAACCGGAGTTTTGCGTTTTCGCACGTCACAGTATGCCCCCAAAACAATAAACAAAACATGCAACCTCTGATCTTACTGCCTTAAAAACTGTTCGCAGCAGCAAACATCCTCCACTTGAGAGCACCTAAGTGATCACGGGGACTCACGCTCTAAAACAGGACTAAAACGGGACTAAAACGGGACTAAAACGGGACTAAAACGGGACTAAAACGGGACTAAAACGGGACTAAAACGGGACTAAAACGGGACTAAAACGGGACTAAAACGGGACTAAAACAGGGCTGAGGACGGGGTCAGTGCTTGTAAACATATGTCTTTACCCTGAGTCTCTTCTGTGACCGTGAAAGTGCTGCTACAGAAGTACCGCCGTCAGTATCAAAGCTCCGCCCACTTATGTGGTTTCCCCCCAACGCAGGACGTCAGAAGACGCACATGTTTGGAATGTTAAGAATGTGATTGAAAACGCGGATGTTCGGTTATGTGTGGATGCAAATTATTTTATAAACTGAGGGGGGGAAAATATTTGGTTTTTAAAATACCCGGCTACGTGTGGACATGGCCTAAATCTGCAAGTACAATGCAACTAACTTGGCAAGTCGCTGTATACTACTGTTAACTAATATAAGTAATTAGGGTCCGATTCGAGGATGAAGGCTCTTGTTGGAAAAAGTCTATTCTCAAGTCTGAAATGACTATGCAACGACAAAATCTGAACAGTCACGCCGCCTTTGTTACTGTCAGTCAGCGTGAGGTTGCGTCCCTGCGTGGGTGGGGGAAGGCTGGCTCTCGGGAAGATCCAGCCATTTCAATTGAGGTGACATCACCTCTTTGCAAGAAATGTCTATAATTTATAATTAGTGTTCTATGGTGGATCACTCAAATTATTATTATAGTGCGTAGGATGGGCCGTATTACACAATTCAGGCTTTGATAATTGAACCATGTAGTCATGTCATAGAATGTAGATTTGACATTTCAGAACACTACATCGTAATGGTATCCTACAAGATCATCTTAAGACTAATGTGATCCGTGAACATTTGTGGTTGAATGTGTGGTTGCAGAGAGCTGGCCAGCATGTTTGCTCAGCTCTGCCAGCAGGTGGATGTGACCAGGCAGAACCTGGAAGATGAAATGGCTGACATGAACCAGAAGATCGAGCAGCTGGACAGTCTGCAGAGCAAAGCTAAGCTCCTTCGGTGAGTCCCACGCAGCAGCACATAGGACAGGACTCGGATACAAAAACAAGTGGGGCACCAGAGTTCTAGAGAAAAACAGTGTGCATTGTTGCTCTAATTAAGGAACCATACAGTGGCGTGCATATGTATCCACATTGGGGATGGAGAGATTCACCGATTTGCATCAGTTGTCCGAATCAAGCACTCACGATGCGACTGCATCAATATACAAAATGCTAATTTTGTGATGCATCGGCTCTGGCCTTTCTCTATCGGTTAAATTCGGTATTCGATCACTAATATGCACCTGCTCAGCCCAGTGTCCGTTTGTTATTGCAACATGTTTTATCTTGGTTGTTTACATTTCACTGAGGGTCTATGCTGACATCTGATTGGCAGCCCTGGCTCTGTCGTATTCCCGGGGCGGGGCGAGAAGGGAACTTTCTATCAGTCAGTAGCACGAGCATAGACTAGCACCGGGGTCACCAGGACCACATAAGGTGCCTGCGAACTATCTTCTATAAATAGTTTCCTGGAACCTGTTGACCCAGTCTTTTGTCTCCGCCGTCTCAACAGAGACATACAGTCTATTCGACAGATGAGTCTAAGCTCTGTTTTCATCTTTAAAGCTTCCAAAAAGAGTCAGAGATATGAGCCGCTCAAGAGTCCTGTTTGTTAGTGAGGCAGACACTCATCAACGAGCATACAGAAAATATGTGTGCGATGAGCACACGTGTCGCGTTTGTTTGCACATTTCAATCCATGTTTTGAAAGAGCTGCAACAAGGATACTTCCCTCAAATTTAATAAATATAGCTGTAATCTGAACCAGGACTGAGCCTGCTGAGGCTTTTGACCTAACTTTACTTTTGGACACTAAAGAAAAGTTAATTACTGTAAACAAATTAGACAATACACCTTTTAGCTAATTAAAATACTGGCAGAGTCTGAAAAACTTGATCTAAGAATGTGACACAAACCAAAAAGACTGCACATGTGGAAAGTGACTATAGTGTTTTGGAGCATGGAACCAGTGTGATAAATTACTAATCGAACTGAACCCCTTTGTAAGGTCTATATTATATAGTTATTAAATCGTTTTAAATCGCATCGTATTGAGAATAGGAGTGAATTGTATTGCATCGTATTGGCAGGGGGCCTCGGTGTATTGTTACTGTATCGCATCTGAAAGACACTAAGAAACACATAATCATGAAGTGAAATGTATATGTAAATAAATATTCTTAGTGCCGTGACCCGGATTGTGGTGCTTTAAACGTTTTTTAGGACACAACAAAGAGGGCAGATAACGTGTTGTCGCCTCTTGATGTCTCCCACAGTGGACACAAAGGTCAAAATGAACTAATAGCGGCTGCCAACTAAAACTGAGTCAAAGTGCACCTCCTAGTGGCTATTCCCTTACATCTACAATGGTTTTAAACGTTTTTTTCATGACTAAAATGCTGAAAAGTGGGTTGTACCCAAGTAAAGGTAGCCTGGCCATAGCCATCCCTAAACCCCTGTCAATTATCATTCCCTACAATGATTATTTTAGGGAAGGGTTAGGGTTAGGGAACCCTAACCCTAACCCTACGCCTGGGTCTGATCCTAGTAGCTGCGGTTTCCTCAGTTGTATCCTATCCGACCTAGAAATTGAAGCCGGAGCAAGATGAATGTTGAACAAATTTCATTGCTGGCAAAGATGTGGCACTACTCCTCATGGGCTTCGTTGGTGGCAAAGGAGATGGCTAGGCTTAAGGCCTGACTCTCTCGAACGCATTACATACGGCGGCACGGTGGCTGAGTGGATGCACTCTCGCCTCTCAGCAAGAAGGTCCTGGGTTCGAATCCCGGTCGGACCAGGGCCTTTCTGAGTGGAGTTTGCATGTTCTCCCCGTGTCTGCGTAGGTTTCCTCCGGGTACTCCGGTTTCCCCTACCACTAAAAATATGTACAATAGGTCTGGCATGCGCCTCCTGTACTGGCGACCCCGCTCCCATCTCTGTGGAGTGAGAGGACAGATGCCCAAAAAAATAACCATTGTAAACCGCTTTGTGACTCTGGTCTGTGAAAGGCGGTATATAAATAAACATTACTTACTTACGTCAGGGTCAACTCGGTTCCTATCGTTTCAATCTCCAAAAGGATTAAACCTCTCCCCACCTGTTAACGGAGCTCAATGGAGCAAATCCAGACCTTAATACGAAATAAGATTAGTACGATGGTTTGGTAAGACCAGGCTAAAGTAAAGGGGGTGGCACTTTGGCTGAGTGGCAAGAAGGTCCTGGGTTCGAATCCCGGTCGGACCAGGGCCTTTCTGAGTGGAGTTTACATGTTCTCCCCGTGTCTGCGTAGGTTTCCTCCGGGTACTCCGGTTTCCCCTACCACTAAAAATATGTCCAATAGGCATGTCTGGCATGCGCCTCCTGTACTGGCGACCCCGCTCCCATCTCTGTGTGGAGTGAGAGATAAATGCCCATAATTAACAATTGTAAACCGCTTTGAGACTCAGATCTGCAGTGAAAAGGCGGTATATAAATAAAGATTACTTACTTACTTACTTACTTACTACTTACTTTCCTTTTTGGGAAACCAGGGGCCTTCAGAAGTTTCCTGATTTCTGAGTGACCACATGGCCTTTTGACTAAATAGAGCCCACCTGTGTGTGCGCTAAGAACAGCTCAAATACAGCTGCTCTGTGTTGGTCGCAGGTTTGTGAGGGGCTGGGTTAGGGCTATAACGATATCCAAAGCTTTGAACATCTCTCAGGGTAATGTTACGGTCAGCACTAGATCATATACGGAATCGGGACGGAAGCGGAAACCATCTTAACCATCTTACTCAGACGCCTAAAACTTAACCAGTCAGACTTATTAGTCTAAAACTCATTCGAAAGTAGGATCGTTACTTCCGCTTCCGTCCCGATTCCGTATATGATCTAGTGCCGACCATAATGTTACTTACACCTAGAGTCTAGACAAAGCAGTCCTTCTGAACAACTGGTTGAGTGTGTGTTCTCTCCTCAGGAACAAGGCGGGCTGGCTGGACAGCGAGCTCAACATGTTCATCCAGCAGTACCTCCACCACAGCACGTGAACCTGTTCCCACCCCCCTGCACCCACTATTTAACCCCAGATCCTTCTTCTAAAGCTTCACATAAACTATTTATTTATTACCATAAGCATGGACAGCACTTAGAGGAGTTGGAGTGAAGGCTTCAGATGTAGTCGCTGCTTCAGAGATGCTCTCTCACATCGGCCCCAGACTCCAATACTGTGGCTCCATCTGCTTAAAGGGGATACAAAATGAACTTTGGAGTTTATGGAACACCGGAATTCAACCAGAATTTCATGTTTTTGAATGTGAAAAAGTATGTGTGGGATCAGTTTCAGATGTTTTTTTTTTTTGCCATTTGCAATAAAAAAAACATTGAACACTGAAAAAACATAACAAGAACACCAAGATGGTTCCTCGGTCAAAACAGACCTGGAGTTGTATTTAGTTCCATCCATGCGCCTATTAGGAAAACTCGCTACGCTATTCCTCTTTTCAAATTAAGTTCTTTGCAACTTTTTCCATTCAAGTAGAATGGATTACTCGAATAGAAGAAAAAAAGTTCCTTTTCTACCTCTGGATTAAGGTGTTTTACTACTCAAGCAGAAACCATATGGATAGATGGAATGAACTTAAATGGTCAATATGCTGGCCCCTTTTTATCACAGGGGTCTGTGTTCTAAAATAAATCCCACAATAAGTGAAATGCTTAAAGTAGCAAATGTATTTTTTTAAGACTAAAAAAGGCCTGAGGAAGTTGTTTGTGGCAAATGTTCCTGATCATGGTTGAAGCTAAAAACAACTGCAGGTTATTTTATATTTAATGTTACGTTTAAATTTCAGAAGATGTTTTACAGAACAAGTGTTCTCTATATAAAACATATGAACTCACAAGTGAAACTCGTGAAAGAAAGAAAATTAGAATTATAAAACTCCAGAGAGGTCAAAGATCAGAGAGGAGGTCAGACAACACCAGAGTGGTCAGGAAGGAAGGCGAAATGATTCAACAGCCTTAAGCTCTCCTGCAGAGTTTGCATTCATCTTTCTTTTTGCAATACCCCATTAAGTGTCTGCTGGACCATCAAACACAGGAGCCCAATACGAGCACAGAGTTCTGCTGTGTGGGCAGGAGCCAGACCCTGCAGGGAAATGAGGTCATTACGTCCATAAGCTGGTCTGAAGGAAACGTCTCCTCAAAGCAGTTGTAATGACTCTGGACTTGATAAAGCAGAGTGGAAAAACATAAGACTGTGGACACCTTCTCTATTCTCCCTCCAGACTCTGGGACCTTGGTTTCCAAAGGAGATGCAACATTTTCTCTCATTAGAAAGGAAAACTTTGGACTACAGAAGCAGACCAGGTCTTCCACATTAGACACTTCTGACGGAGGAAGAGGCATTTGTTCCATGTCCACGATCAGTGTGGTGCTTCTGATGCACTGACTCAAACAGTCCCTCACACTTTGAAGGGCCACTTCATCATATTCTTCAAATTGTACAAGCTGTAATCCACCATGCTCTAAATTTAAACGGCTTCACAAATGTCACTTACCCATGAGTCCATCTCATATATTGGATTTGCATTTTGGTTTTATGTTGTTACACAAAAACTAAATGAATTCATGACATTCTTTTTCTGAGTGTCACTGGTATGTTGAAGTAGATGAAATAAAAAAGGGTGTAGAATCCTAAATGGACACAATCATATCCTCTGCAAGTCCTTGTACTCTGACCACACCGAATAAAAGTGATCTGTCCTGTCTGATGTATGGCTTTATTACACATATGCACGTGCACATACAAGCCTTCACTTGCAGGGACCACTCTGATGGTCCCTGATGTTTGCTGTAGGACCATCAGATAGTGCTACAACAGAATCTGTTCAAAAGTCAAAGTTTCCAAAATAGATCCAGAACCTCAAAGGCTACTATTATATTGAATTAAAAATAATTTAATGGGTCAAATGGGATTTGTACATGTGAGTTGGAAAGCAGCGACTCCTCGGCCATTTCACAAAATCGCTCTACAACACATGTACCATTATAATTTCATAGAATTTTGATCAGTGAAACGTTGCACGGGCAGCGGAGCGGCAAAATGTAACTTTTTATGCTATTTTTGACATTAGCAAATTTGCTCCCGTTTGCACAAAACTTGAATCAATTGTTCCACTCCAGGGTGGAATATTTAAAATTGGCCCATTAGCGCTCCCTACAGAGTATGTCAAAGTTTTACATGGGAATGATCACATTAAGTGTTTTCAAAATGTTTGAAATTTTGCACATCATTCTGTTTTGCCCTCTTGATTAAAAAAGTAAATGACACCATATTTTTTTTACCCTATTGCCGTGTCGACGTCTAACACGTGTGTTAATGGCAAATGTACACTTCGCACAAACCAGCCTCGGCCGTTTCACCGATTTGGCTGAAAATCGCTCCACATCTCAACACGTGCATCAAGAGTTGTTCGTACAATTTTGATTAGTCAAATGGTCATCCAATGGAGACTGTGTGTGTGTGTATGGACACTCAGATTATACATGTGCTCCAGTTTACACATACAAAGTCTGATTTGTACTAAACTTGACTCAGTTATACTCTTGGGCCTAGGTCACATGAAAATGTGATATATTACATTGGCTCTTTAGCGCCCCCTACAGAGTGAGCTAAAGTTTTTTCATGGGGAGCCAAACCAACTGATCATATTCATTATTTCACATTGTTCTATGGCTACGGGAGCAAATCACTGCATGGCGGCGCCACTTCCTTTGGGCAGTGCGGCGAGGGCAGTTTGTGGCTTTAATTTTCTATTCTCCACAGTGATGCCAAACCCCAAGCCCTCACACATCACCACCCATCCCTCACTGATTACATTCAGATGCATTGTACATATTTTTAGTGGTAGGTGAAACCAGAAAACCCAGCAGAAACATCCTAACTCAACACAGAAACAGGACCCTCTTGATGTGAGGCACAAGCACTGACCACTATATCACCATGTCATTCACAACTGATTTCTTATGGGTGAGTTGCTAGGATATGGTGTTAAGACACCAAACCGCAATGGAAACACAATCAGGGAGAGTAAAAACAGAGCCAGTGGAAACTGTTAAATGTCTTCATAAATGCTCGAATTAAGAAATGTTCATATTATACTTTGCAGAAGTGTTTCTTTGCAAAGACCTTAAGTGTAAATTGGGACTCCGACACAAAAGAGATGAAAAGCACACAAGCAGGGATGCCATCAGGCTCTTTATTCCAGTTCAGATGTTGAATGCCCTGTGTTCTCTAGTCTTAATAAACTGATCTGTTAGACTACACACTACAAAGGCAACACTACTGTTAGTTAGTCCGAGGCATCCGCAATTCCAAACCAATACAAGACCTAAATACTATCAGCTGTGTTCTAGTAGAAACAAGAGGCTCAAGTCAAGTGTAAATGTCTACTCTGCGTGGAGACAGCGCCCTCCTCAGGCTGAAGCAGAGCATCACAGCAGCTGTCTCTGGTGAGGTAGTCAAAGGTACAAATATCATGTCCATCACACTCGAGCATCTTCTACAATGGTCATGTTACATAGTTCAAAATCTATTCATCTGATACAATATGGAGGTAGAGGTAGAAAACATTTTTTCTAAAACATTTTTGCAGCTATAGAAAAGTACTGAAACCTACTCTGTAGTTCAATCTAAGAAGAACAACTATGTCCAAAGAGTAATAATACAAGTGTAATGGTAAAAAGAGAACAAGTGTTAAGTGCTTAAACCTGACTCTAGGCACAAGAGGCATGAGGCCTGCAGAGGCCCCAAGGCACCACTGGGACAGCGCCCCCTAGTGTCTAGTGAATAATACAGCTTCACACTGACACCAATGTGTCCAAAGTGAAGTTCAAATGAAAGAAACATGACAACTGGCTACCAGCCTGCCACTCAACAGTCCATTCACTGGGGACGAGACTCGAGAGACTTGGGAGACTTGGGGAAAGAACCAGAGTCCTGATCTTGAGGCCCAAGGACCAGGATCAAAGTCCTGTTCTTGGGCCCAAAGAATCAGGACCAGAGTCCTGATGCTAGGGTCCTAGGACCAGGACCAGAGTCCTGAGCTCAGGTCCAGAAGGGGAAGTGCTTCTCTGCTCATTTTGATTCAAACCAGCACAATCAGTTTGAATGTCTGTCACTTGTGTCTTAAAACGTGTTCCACTCTCCAGAGCAGGACGTGGAGTGGGTCAGTGGGGTGCTGGGGTAGAGGCGGGGTCTAAGTGCGTCACTCCAGTCTTGGTGGGAGGTAATACTGCTGAGGTGCTTGGTTGTGTGGAGCGGTCTTCCGCTCACTGAAAGGCCTGATAGTAGTGAGGTAGAGCGCCCGAGGGGCCTGAGCTCCCGTAGGCCTGAGGTAGCTGGTTGTGGGTGTGGCTTCCAGCAGCTGGGGGCACTTGGCTTTGAGAGGGCTGCAGGAAGAAGGATCCCGGGCCCTGTGAGGAGAGCCCGGCAGAGGACGACGGTGAGGAGCTGCTCGGGGGGTAGTTCATGACCAGCCCCCCCATCCCCATGTGGGCACTGTAGGGAGGCAGGCCAAAGGGCAGGAAGCCCAGCAGGTTAGTGGTACAGGACAGCTCTCCGTCACCCAGCACCTCCCTCTGAGGGGAGGAGCCTGGACCAGGACCAGGGCCCACAGTGTGGTGAGGAGGAGGGGCGCTCTGAAGCTCCAGGAGGAAGCTGTCCACATCAGGGCGCGAGTATGAGGTAGATGAGTGCTGGTAGCGGCCCACGCTGCTGTAGGCCTGCGGGGGCATGGGCGGGGGTGGGGTCATGTGACGACTCATCCCTGAGGCTTGTGTGAGGCTCGAGGGGGGCATGGGCGAGGCGTACGAGCTGTACATCTCCCTGCAGAAAGATTCAGGCTCCTTCAGCTCACATGGCTCCTCCTTCACTGAGCACTGGGCAGGGGAGGGCGTGGTCACACCAGAGGGTGGGCTGATAAGGGTGGGCTCCTGCGCGTGGCTTTTCTTCAGGTGTCTGGTGAGGTGGTCTCTGCGGCCAAATCGCTGGGCGCAGCGCGGGCACAGGAAGTCTCTGCGTCCCGTGTGGACAACGGCATGGCGCCGCACATCCTTTCGCGTGTAGAAGCGGCGGTCGCAGCGCTCACAGGAGTATTTCCTCTCTCTGATGGGGACCGCAGCTTCTGGGGGAGGGGGCCGGTCCGTGTGGCTGCCAAGCTGCTCCAGCAGAGAGGGGGGCGTCTGGGGGCACACCGGGGCCCCTGCAGTGCTGTGAGCAGCCACCAGGTGTCTCCTGAAGCCCAGCTGGGTGTTGTACTGTTTGCCACACTCCTGACAGTGGAAGCGCTGGCGGGCCTCCTCCACAGGCCCTTGTTCTGACGGTGCCCTCAGCTGGCTCTGGGCATTAAACATGCTGTATGTTCATATCAGTGCGCACGGGCACCGGACGGGCCAACGCCAGGGTGTTGGGGAAGCCTGAGTACCACTGTGTTCTCCGGAGCAGTGTTGCCATAACAACAGCACAGGGCTTGGGGGGGGGGGGGGGGGAGGGGTCCGGGGCAGGTCCACTATAGCGACCTAAAATAAAGATGGAGAGAATTAGAACAGCACTTTGACACACACACACACAAAACTGTTTTTTTGACCTGAGACAACAGTAAGAGCAGTTGGCCTGTTGTTTAGACCCATCTTTTACCGCTTTTCCATAGTAACGGTATGGCGCGGTTATTTTACATTTCCACTAGGGTTGGCCTTGGGATCAGGGTACTTTTTTCGTACCACCTCAACAGTGGTTCCAAGCGTGCCGAAGCTACGCCATAACGTGACGTCAGCCGACTGCCTTACACTGATTGGTCAACGAGTGTTGTCACTGGAAGCAACGTCCGACCCTTTGGTAAAAACCACTCAATCCCCGCCATCTTTAAAACTGGCTGCTCTGGCATGGATCTAAAATAATAGGCTATAATACGTCCTCTTTACTCGAGAGAAATGGAATCGCACAGAAAGCCCCCAAAGTCAACGTCCTGGTCGGTCGACGAGGTCCACACGTTACTCTCTTTAGGCCGAAGAAAGTATTCAAAGGCAGCTTGAACGCACAACAGGGAACAAGAAGGTTTTCAAGGAGATCGCCCAGCTCTTGATTTGTGACTAGTCTGTGGCCCAAAGCTTTGTATTGTTGTTGAGTGTGTAAATGTGTGGCGAAGGAAACAAATAGACAAAGGAAAACAGTATTAATAATTATTCTATAGCAAATACTACATTAAGCAATCAATAGCGTATGTGTCCAGGCTAGTAGAACTAAAAAAAGTCATAAAATTAATAACATAAAAATCCATCATAGGTCCTCTTTAAGGTCTATATAAAGTTGATCTAAAATATGTAAATAAGTGATGTAAACCACAAACAGAGGTAGTTCAAATGGAAACTAACATTACAGGGAAGTAAATATGACAAATAATAGCATAATTAGCTTAATGTAGCATAGTTAGCTTAAGTAGCTGCAGACAAACACAGATCGGAAAAAGTCTTTTGCAAATAATGACAAACTACACAATGTAAATCTTCCTTGCCAAACTCTTCTAAAGATCACAAGAACTACAGGAACTTCCTTCTTGGATCAAAAAAATGCACTGACAATGTACAAAGCCTTTCCTCTGTTTCGCGGTGTCCCTCCGCGTGTCAAAGCAGCTTCAATACAGCACCACGGGCTGTGTGTTGTGACCGCAAACCATTCACGTTGTGAGGCGTTCAGGTGCAGACGTAAAGGTAAGTGTTCATCGCGTAGGCTTTCAGTACAAATAAAGCAGTGATTGGACTTTAGGCACGCATTCGACGAATGGGCATCTTGCCTGCTCAAAGTGAAAGATGTATTAGAGATACGTAAAAAAAAGGATGATATTGCAAAAAAACATATCGTCAAATTCACTTACGCGATATTATCGTCTACGATATATATCGCCCACCCCTACTGAGTAAGTCACCTTACAATTCACCTTCGTGAAATGAATGGAAGCATTGCGAAGCTACTTGTGCTGCGAACTCGAAGAACAACACTAGTGCACCCGGACAACGTAAAGCCACAGCAAATGCTTATTTTCTGATGCTGCAAATGTAACCGATGACAAATGAAACAGGTTGGGAAGTGAAAAGGCAGAGATGATACTGTTCAGAAAACTACCACTGATCTGACCTGACCTTTTGGCATGCAAAACTGAGAAGTAGTAGCAGTTTGTTTGGCTCAATAATAATTCCACAGGGTTTAGTCAGCCTTGGATTTTATTTTTTGTAACAATGGACTTTTATTTGAACCCTGGTCTCTTTGTTTTATCATTCAATGTTGCCTCTTTATTTATTTTTAGATGCTGAGGCATTTGTTGCACTAATTAATTTGCTCATTTATTTTACTGTCAGGGGATTTTTTTTGTTTAAGTCATGTTACTCGTTGCTAATGTTAGACATGGAATGTTATGGACTTATTTCTATTGTTTTAATAAGTTGATCTGTTTAAGCTTTTGAAGCAATAATTAATACATTTTAACTTTTTGCTCTATAAAGTGATTGTTATACTTGCAGGAGATGGGTCATTGACTACTACTCAATAAGCCAAAGAATTATCGGCTGACATTACCGGCAGACATAAAATTATCGATTATCTATATCAGTTGAAAATTGCATCATTGTGCATCCCTAGTCATTAGTTTATCTATCATGCAAAAAAAATCAAATAAGATGGGAGGACTTAATCCTGCGATATGCTTGGAGCGCTTCAACAACGTGCCAAGGTGCTGTCTGCCCATGAAGTTAAGTGAAATCCAAATCCAGCACTGGGTCCTGATGTCAGATTGAAGCTGTGGTGTGAATCATGGCCTTTGCTACAGCTACCCCTACTCTCTGAAACTCAGGCTAGTTTCTTTTTTTTATTTGTCCTATAGAATTATGCACATATGCATAGTCATTGATCACAAACAAAGTCCACTACTCAAAGACCCTGAAGAGAACACTGGCAGCCGTCTGTGGGGGTCCACTCCACTTAACCCTTCTGCTACCCTCGGGTCAAAATGACCCGCCACCATGTATGATTACAAGTAGAAAAAATACAACAGTAGAGTATTTCTTAATCACTGTGGTGGGTCAATTTGACCCGAGGATAGCAGAAGGGTTAAGTGGAGTGGACCCCCACAGACGGCTGCCAGTGTTCTCTTCAGGGTCTTTGAGCAGTGGACTTTGTTTGTAAAACATAATTATTGTAAAATTGTGTTAATATGAGAGTTCCCAGTGGCGGCTGATCGACACGTCAGGGGCGTCTGAGGCTTTACACGCGCGTGTTTGTACAGATTCATCACATTCACGTTTTTCACAAAATAGAGAAGCCCATTTAGCCCCGCCCACATGGTCTGGTCTATGGTTACTCAGACAACCTTTCTGATGGGTAGACAACCACACATGTCCAAATTACACTTGGTCAGAGTGTTCACACTGAGGTTCTTGCTCAGTCAGAATGAGCTGCATTCTCTGATCTGGGGAGTATGTTACCATGGCAACGAGCCAGAAATGTTCCACATTACAATATGACAAGGCTAGTCAGTGACTAATCTATGACCAGACTAGTGAGTAAAATCCTTTAGGACTAGTCTGAATTCATACAATTAAAGGCTTACATCAACGCATGTTAAAACTATTGACAATATGCCAAATGCAACACTGCGCCACTTTCTGGAGGTTTCCATGGAAATGGAACATGAAAACACTCCATTGAAACAGAAGTAGAAGCCCCACACAATAACACCGCGCATCAAACAGTGCGGGGGGTCAGAGGGGGATATCCCAGTGACCGCACACGACCACGGGGGACAGGACTGCTGCAGCTGCGGAACACGCGTGAGGAGGGGCGCCTCCTGCCGGCTGCTCCCGGGACTGCACGTATTAAAGAGTTTGCAACACTTGATTTCGAGGGTGAAAAATAGAGAATAGCAGCGGAGAGTCGTCCTGTGTGGATCGATCTTACACGGGACAGGCACTGGACCGACCCGGAGGACTGGGCTGCACTTATGGCCGCATTGTGTGTGTATACGTGCGTACGTGTGTGTATGTGTGTGTACTTGTGTGTGTGTGTGTATTTCGCTCCAGTGTCGATGTCGAACTTTTCTCCCCTCTCGCGTGCACTCTTTCCCCGCTCTAAGATATTCCCCGTGTCCGGTCCGGGTTCCAGACCACGCTCGGGGACCTGCTCCACACGGGCCTCTCACACGGGCCTCTCCATGATCACTCTGGTACAAGTTTCGCAGGAGTTGAAGCTAACTCTACTCCACCACAAAGCCGCGTCTCTCTCCTCCGCTCGGCCGAGGCTCGCAGACGACACGGGGCTATTCACCGGACACGGGGCTACTCACCGGAGAGGGCCGAGCTCCGCAGGCCGTGCAGCCGTCCAGCCGTGCGCCCGCCTCCACGCTCGCATGTCCGGGTGAGGTCTGGTGGTTGTTCGTGGCTCGGGCTCGGGCCTGGGCTGGAGGACAGGGCAGGCTGCTGGGACAGGCTGGAGCTGCGAGGCGAGCGCGGGGCACAGGCGGTGCATTCTGGGTAGTCATGACGTCACTGGGAGAAAACTACCCCATGGATTTGTTGACCAAACAGTATTGACTATTGTAAGGTCAGGTTCAGGTGGAAGACCATTCACCTTTACAACAATTAGATCAGAGCAGGCAAAAGTACTTTTAGGTACGTAAGTAAGTTAGGATGATTCCCTTACTAAAAGGACAAGATTTTGTGTGCACTTAAGTCAAAAAAGTTAAAAGTTAACTGCCTTTTTGTTGAATAATTGACGAATGACACAGAGTGACTCCTGCTTCTCAGCAAGAAGATCCTGGGTTCTATTCCACCTCCAGACAGGGCCCATCTGAGTGGAGTTTGCATGTTCTCCCCATGTCTGTGTAGGTTTCCTCTGGGTGCTCCGGTTTCCAACCTCCAAACTCAAACCCAAACCTAAGGGAGCAGTAGCTCTACACTGAGGTCCTCCTGTGTGACTGATCTCCTCACCTTATCTCTAATGGAACAGCGACTCTACATTGAGCTCCTCTCCTGTGACTGAACTTCTCACTCCTTCTCTAATGAAGCACCCAGCCACTCTGCAGAGGAAGCTCATGTGGACTGCTTATATCTGCGATCTCATCCTTTCAGTCATTACACAAAGCTCAGGCCTATAGGTGAGGGAAGGGACATATATTGACCGGTAATTGAAAGTTTAGCTCTGAGAGACCTTCTGTGCTGCCGGGACAAGGGGCAGTATTACCAAAACGTTTACCCTTTTGAATGCGCTGGATAACGGCTGCAAGTCCTAAGTAGCTCTGAAACAGATGTTGTTTTGTGCTTTACAATTGTTATATTTTTCTAGCTTTTTTCTACCTGAGATGTCGCTGCAGTACAGTGTTCATGGTTTTGCACTGGTCCAGACCGAAGCAGAGAGAATTTATGGTCCGAACCAAGCGGCTACTTCACCTTGTGACCTGTACTGCTCCATCCAGAGGCTACTCCATCTCTGCTACTGTGACCTGAAGTTTCTATTGCTGATTATTACTATTGTTAGCTTTTGAGAATGATCCATTTTTATTTTATATTTTTGCTGCTACTGGACACCTGAATTTCTCCTACGGGGATCAATAAACTATCTATCGATCTACCGCAGGCACAAAGAGGCCATGGATACAGACACCGGCTCTGTAGGTGACGCAGTGGTAACACTTGACTCAGGGACTTGGCAAACTTACTTTGTAAAGGTTTTCATATATAATAAAGGACATAAATATTCTTGCAAATTTTGTTTCTTGAAAAAGCAATAAACTATTATTCTAAAAAGCACACCTGATCAAAAGGCACGTATTGGAGAATGTAGATGTGCTGCATTTGTTTTTAAAGGCCGAAAAAATAGGTCATGATGTAGTGTTGACAACAGAGTAGTCAGACAGAAGGAGTAGTCGGACGCGTTTGTGCCAGAATGTTCTTGATATTAGCACGGATGGGGCAAGCACCAACCCTGTGTTTTGATATGGGACATTCTACGATGTTCACACAGAACTCCCAGGCCAGTCAATTTTAAGGATTTTAGATTCGAATGTGGAATTACTGCTTATTAATAGATGGATAGATAGATAAATCCATATCTGCATGTGAAAGCCAGATCAAACCTCTGAAGCTAAGCAGGGAAGTGCCTGGCAACTGTGATGGGAAACCTCTGGGACCCTAACCCTAACCCGGCTGTAAAGTGCCAAATTGTTGTGTCCTTAAGCAAGACACTTCACCCACATTGCCTAGAATGAGTGTGGTGTGTGTGTGAATGGTTGGTGGTGGTCAGAGACATGTGAAGCATCTTTGAGTGTCAAAAATGTGCTGTATAAAACCAATGCACTATAGATAATAAAGTATCCATACTCCATAGGAGGCTACCTATAGACCCGTACTATCCCTTCCTGAGAAATGTGGATGTCCCGCAGCAGAAACACATCCAACATTTACAAACAAATAGATACATAATTAGTTACTAACAATAGTAACAAAGTACAACATCACTTGAGGTCACAGCAGCAGAGGTGGTGTAGCCGCTGGGTGGAGTAAGAGTAGGGCAACAGAAGAGGAGCAGCCGCTGGTGATGAGCTGCTTCTCTGGTTGATGTCTACAGAGACAGAGTGAAATTCTGAATGCTTTATAAGCACTTTAAAAGAAAAAAGCTTACCTCCAGTGGATTTGGACCGTGAATTCTCTCTGCTCTGGTTTGAGTCAGTGTAAAACCATTAACACTGTACTGTTTACATCTAGAAAATGGTAAGAAAATATCAATTGTAAAGTACAAAACAACCACTGTTTCAGAGCTCATTCATTCATTCATTCATTTTCAACCCCTTTATTAGTCCATTTCTGGGTCGGTGGGGTGGCAATGAGAGCTGCCACCCAATGCTCAAAGCACTGTTTCAGATCTACCTGAGACATTTCTGGGTCGGGGGCGGGAGGCTCATAGCACCAGTCCCTCACTGATCCTCCTGCAGGTGGTGGGTCCATGGTGTTGTAGAATTATAATGTTGTATACTAATGATTTCCAGTAGGTGTTTGCAAACATGTCTTTGTGCAATATTAAAGCCTGGATTTAATGGAATTCAGACAAGCACCAAGGACAAAGGCGTCTGTGATAAAAGTATCATTTTCAGGAACAGCGTGTCTCTAGCGGCCTGAGACAAAACCAGACTGGGACCAGCCTGAGACCATATGACGTCATCGGGGATTCTGATAAAACCGTTGGGAGGACACATTGGGAAAGTTAGAGCACAGGGATAGAGATTTAGGGAGTAGCTCCGGGAGTTCTGTAACAACATTTAATTGTAAAGAGAAATAAATGTACTATTGGAACTCTTGAATCTTGGCCTTATTTCTGTACCAAATTCTGAACACGTCGGTCAAATCATTTTTGACAACAATGGGAAGATGGCTGCTCCGTTGGTCTTTCAGCGGGGCTGTCGGGCAATGTGGGGTCAGTGTCTTGCCCAAGGACACAACAACAGCAGACATGAGTGGGAGCAGCTGCAATAGGTCTCGTGGAGGGATTGAACCTACAACCTTCATATTTTTTAAATCCTCCTTTTGCAGAAATAACAGCCTCTAAACGCTTCCTATAACTTACAATTAGAGTGAATGTATTTTGGACCATTTGCAAATCATCTCTAGTTCAGTCAGATTTCAGACACATCACAAATGTTCAAGTCTAGGATCTGAGATGCCCATTCCAGATCCTCTGCACGAATGCCTCAGTAGATTATGAGCACTGCTAAGGTTGTTATCTTGTTCAAAGATCCAGCCCCAATTCAACTTCAATTTTGTCGCTGATTGCTGACATTGTTCTCTGCTGACATTGAGTAGAATCCATGCGTCCCTCAACTTTAACAAGATTCCCAGTGGCTGCACTGGACACACAGCCCCACAGCATGAAGGAACCACCACCAAATGTTACTGTAGTGTGCGTTTTTGGAATGCTGTGTTCTTTTTAAAAATAATAATCTTGCTTTATTTATGTACTTGTCTTGTACACACACTTTTGCAAATGTATTCCAATGTGGTTTTACTGCAAATGGCATCCCTTTGTGTAAAGTGCTGAATAGTCGAACGATGCACATCATCTGCAGCTGATGTTGTAGGTCTTTGGAGCTGGTCTGGATGTTCTCACCATCCTGCGCCTCTGCTTATCTGAGATCTGTCATGGTCTGCCACTCGGAGCCTAGAACTGTGCCTGTGGTCATTTGAGAGTTGTTTTGAGGCTCCCATATTGTCACTCTTCAGAGAAGATGCAAAGACGGGAAACACTTAGGCCCAGTCCCAATAAATACTCGCACTTCCACCCTCGCGCCCCTCATTTGCGCGTTCCCGATGATGGGTGCGAGTCCGTAGGGTGTCCCAATTCTCCAGGGAGGTCTTTGGCCCCGCCCCCTTTGCGCCCCTGATCCACACTTCGCCGTAGCCTGCATCTATGAGCACTCTGGCGAAGGATATTGCCCATAATTCTTTGCGGTACACACCAAAACATCGGGAAAATGCATTTAAGTGTACGTTTTGAAATATATATGCTGTATGTGTGTAAATAAGTTTTGCTATGTTACATAAATGTCTGATGAAGAATTACGGACATTGTATTTAAACAATTTAATAACTTTAAAGCAAGCATTCATATAGCATTCCATTTAAACTTTACACTTAGTACAATAAAGTTAGGATGTATAAAAACTGACCAGATAGTTAGTTACCCACAATTAACATACAATTATACAGCCATCTCAAATTACGAATAACCAATATACATGTATTTCAACGTGTGTGGAGTAACTCATTTTGTTTCCCACAGGGTCAGACAAAATTACCTTTAATTTTTATAAAGTTTAGGTCAGATTTTGTTTTCAGAATTCCATTGAGGGAATGGGAGTCGTTTCAGAACTCTGGAAGTCTCGGCGTTACAAAGGTAATACAGATGTTTTGAGTGGCTCCCTCCTCAGGTCTGCTGTCAAATCAGAAGGATCATGTTTTACACACAGCTCTTTTCTCTCGTCCTCTGGGCTTGTGGCGTGACCTTTGACCTGCTCGCGTTGCGTTGCGCTCGCGAACGGCGCACGGCCAGTGCGTTATTATAATAAATCCATGGGTCATGGATGCATTGTGGGCATACCTGTATCATATTGTGCTCACGGATAATCCCGCGAGAGCAGCGCAGATGAACGAGAGCAGCGGCGTTAGCCTTGAGAGCGCAGTCCAGTGCAGCAGCAGCAGAGGTATCAGAGACATCCCCGAGGTTTGGACTGAGACACAACAGCAAAGATATGAAGGACAAACAGAAGCGAAAGAAGGAACGCACCTGGGCCGAGGCTGCACGACTGGTAAACGACCACTCATCTGAGAAACATGCACAAGATGTATCACGTAAACAATAGTTGGATTGATATTTCCTTACGGAGCGAATCTAAGGGTTCCTCACAGAACATGGAGGAGGTCGCTGGTGTTCACAGAGTCTGTGTGGACCTGTGTGGACCAGTGTGCAGACTGACCGCACACGTCCACAATCCCCACATAGGAAGCAGTCACTCACTGTGGCGTGTTGGTGCCTTTAGCTTTGTTAGCAGGTTAGCATGTCACTCCCCTGCTGCAGCTCAATGTCTTTGTTTGCTACTGGTCCCATTTGGACCAGTGTTTCCCTTGGAGAACAGGTCATATCTGGGACTGTACTCCTGTTCACAACATGAGATGGTGCTGCCTTTATCCCTCCAGAAACAGAGCTGTGTACGGTTGCAGCTGCCCTGGATGTGTACTGTTAGCATTAGCATTAGCCCCAGCCCCCCTCCGCGGAGATCAGCCATAACATGATCCACAACAGAACAACACAGTCGGCCTGGGCTTAGGACAGTCTGGCCTCATACTTCACGTGTGGTCTCTATAAACACAACAGAAGTAGAGCACTGCAGATCCGTGTGTGTTTGAGTGTGCGTGTTTCTGTGTGCAGAGAGCCCCTGCTGTATGCTGCGTTATGATCATGCCATTTCAAATTCCTTTGTACAGCGACTTACTGAGGGGGAGGTCTGCTGCACAATGCTGCTTCAAAGCAGGATGTGCGTTTGGATATAAATATTACAAACAACCTTCGGTTCATGACCATTTAAGGTGGACACGAAGGATACATGTTTGCTATACTTTCATGAATCATGTAGTATGTGTAGCATTATGACTATTAGGGACAGAAGGCCGCCTGTGTTTCTAGCACATGACTCAATTACAGACTTTGAAAACTTCAATCAATTATTAATTAATTAATTGATACGGATATAACCTTTGGGCAGACCAGATGAACTGCCTTTACTTAAGTAGTTTACAGAAACTGTAAAACTCTGTTCTAACCTAAAAAAATAAATAAATGGTACAACATTGGAGCTGAAGTTGGCTGATTGGCAAGTTTTTACCAGCTACATAAGAGCCATAGACAGTTTTGTGACACAAACACAAATGTTAGTACAAACAAAGAAAATTGTTGGATTCCAGAGGTTCTGAACTCTACAACGAGGTACAACATGTTGATATTTGCATTGAATCGTTGATTCACGTCTACAATTGCAAATGTGATTATCACATTTGGATGGGTCTGGTGGGTCGTCACCTCTACCATATCTGGCATTAAACTCCACATATTTGTTTGGGCTAAGGTGTGAAACTTCAGGCCAGCTGTGCCCAATCACGTTTCCCATCATTGTTATTCATTTAAAAAAGTCATATAAAAAGATCTGGTACTTTACCAAGCGGTCAGCTCTATGAGGAGACAATCCTGTTGATATCTATTGTTGAATATCCTTTGAAATGGCAGTGATTACTTGGTTTGTGTGTATAACTCCTGGCAAAAACATTCAACAGTCTGATAATTTTTAGGACTGTGTGGCATGTAACAAAGCCTGAGCTCCTCAGATTTCAGAAGCTAATCATGACAAGGCCTGGTTAGTGCTATGATGGGAGCCATGGTATGGCTGCAAAGTACCAAACCGTTGTGTCCTTAGACAAGACACTTGACCACATTGCGGTATAGAGGTTTCAACTGAATTCTCGGCATTGATGGATTTTCGTTGTTGGTTTGGCGTAAAATGTTTAAGCTATTATTTTGAAGGATGAAATTCAATGTGAAATAATGCATTTTACATTGAGTCACAGTTGGCCGTCCCCTCTACTGGATGTACTGTTTTGTCATTAGCAAAAATGTCAAAGCAGTTAGGCTTTCTTCAGTTAAAATGACAGCAAAGGACATTCTGGGAGGATGGCTTGGATGGGTCTCCTTGCTGACTTCAATAGCACATTCCCAAATACAGTGATCTACCTGATTTTAATTCAATTCAATGTATTTGTGTCTAGCCCTAAATCACAAAAGCAGTCGTCTCTGAGGACCTAACTAAGTTGTGGATTCACTAACAACAGATCAAAGAATTAAATACTTCCGACTCAGGAATGCATTAATAACAAACACATAGGAGCAAAGTGAGAAACCTACCCTCTCTCGATGTGGCGGTATCTGCTCCACCGAATGGACTGGCTATAGATCCCGGGCTGACGCTGATGGTAATATGCTGTTTTAGTTGCTTTGGTTTTATGTGCTCTGAAGGAGACTTCTTGGTCAATAATGATTTCAAGATTCCTTAGTGTCGCTAGGGGCCACGTGAGATGATATACAGGTGTTATACAGGTGTTATACAGGTGTTATACAGGTGTTATACAGTTGAATAGGAGCAGTTAGTGTTGCTGAGTTTTTCATGGACTTGTGAACTGTGTATTGTTTATCTATGTTTAGTGTCACTAAATGTCCACTTTTAAATGTCTATCTTTTATATGTTTGGTGTATGCCTAATCTCTTGAATTTCAATTAATGCCTGGGTAAAGGTAAATAGATGTAGATACTTTATTGATCCCGCAGGAGAAATTCAGGTGTCCAGTATCAGCAAAAAAAAAGAAAAAGTGGTATGCCTCTGTATTGGTTGTACCTTGAGTTTTTGCTGTTTCCTCAGGTCCTGGAGAACTTCTCTGATGCCCCCATGACACCGAAACAGATCCTCCACGTGATCCAGACCAAAGGGCTCAAGGAGATGAGGTCAGAGGTCACTAAGATTACGTGTGAGACCACATGCACCATCACAGATGATGTGGGAGACCTGTAGAACCAAGACTGAGGCTGTAGATCCAGGATTGATGGCAATGTTTTTACCTGCACTGGGTTTACTATGAAATTCGTTTGGGCACTCAAAGTGCTTCAAGGAACCACTCGCACACATACCAGTGTGCACAGACACAGGGGGCAAGGGGCTCTCTAACCCTAACCAAACCTGTGGATGAGTGAATCCTACTGCTCAACCAATGTCAATGTCGGGAGCAGGATTTGATTCAGCTCAAAGGACACCACTACCAACTGAGCTTGGGAGGCTGGAGCTGGAGGCCCCCAGGGGCAGAGACGGGGGCAGTTGAAACATTTGGCTCTAAAACGATCACATCGCCGTTGCAGCTCACACACAAACATCACACTGATCTGTCAGTTTGGGTACACATTATTATTCAGGGCTGGGCAATCTGACCAAAACTTACATCCCGATATGAGAAGGAAATATCACAATAACAGTATAATTCATAATATAAGTAGCACTGGGAAAATTCTTCAAAACCACACAACTGTATTAAAAAAATATTATCTTATCAATAAGTTTTCCTCCACCAGTTTCACATGTATTTTTGGCTGAAAAGAGACAGAAAAAAGAGAGGACCACCCTCAGCCAATCAGCTCTCAGTTTGTAAAAGATAACATGGTTTCTTTTAAGAGAAATACAGCATGTTGTGGTCTGATTTGTTCATAAAATGTTATTATTTTACAAGTCTCTGTTGGACAAACAAATGTATTCATGAAGCCAAAAAATGTTACTCCAGCTTTCATGTATCTGGCCACAGCGGCTGTCATCATTGACCAAAGGGAGTCGGCCGGTGACTTCATGCCTCCCGTCTCATAAAGTCTTTGGTAAGGGGTTTTTCCCTAAAACGGTTTCAGCAGACTCTAACGGGTAGATGGCCCATGTTGACAGAGTGGTTTCTATCAACTCTTTTGCGGAGGTTGCCGCTTACACCGGTTACCGTGACAACAACTGGGTAAAGGACTTTCTGCACACTCTCAGACCCCTAACCCTACACACACTTATATTGCCCAGCCCTACTGCAGTGTGCGTCACACATTTATTTTGAAAACAATTATTTTTGCTTGTATTGAGATTGTGATCATCGTATTAAATCGATATTCTTTTTTGTGTATTGCCCTCAATCACAACAGCAGTCATCTCCTGAGGACGTTAAAGGATTTCAATTGTTAATAAGCTGGAGAAATGTCCCCGATCATCTCTGTCCTTAGACCCTCCTGCATCGGCAAGGAACTACTTAGAAACCCAGATTGTTTTGTGAAGGCGCTTTTGCATTGGACCTTTTTGAGCACAGAGGAGCTGCTGAGTCAGATGAGTAACTTTGCTCTTCTCTTTTCTTTTGTCTTCTCGTCTTTTGGTGGGACTGGTTTGCTGCTCGTCTAACTCAGAAGGTAGGACACATACACACACACTTGCAGCATTGATCCCCATCAGAAACAGATCGGGCCCCACGTCATATTTAAATAGCGTCAAATCTGACCGCTTAATTTGCAATTAGTGCTGGGCGATATAACATCGTTGGCGGTATGAAAGTGGAATACGGCGATAGCATTTGTGTATATGTGCAATTGTGTATATACACCCCTTTCGTCTGTGTGGGGCGGAGGAACAACAAGCTTCATCCTCAGTCCTTTCTCCAGTTGTGCTAAACTTCTGACTCGGGGCGTCATGGTTACCGGTGTAGGCAGTAACCTCTTCAAAACGTGCTTATTGTACAGGACCGTTTTAAATGAAAAAAATACTGTTTTCTCCGTGGGTTACAGTGCCCGCAGAGACCACACCGTTTTAGAATCTGTTCCAGGTCTGAAGCTGTTTTAAGGTAAAACCCCTCACCACACTTGATGCTCGAGTCACAAAACTGACGCCAAAACCGCCAAAGACCGGCTCCCTCAGGTTAATGATTACTGCCGCTGTGTCCAGATGCATAAAGCTGGAGTACCTAACATTTTTCCAGTTTCATTATTACATTTGTATATGCAACAGAAAGTCTTTCTCTTATCAGAAAACATGTTATCTTGGCTGAGTGAGGGTGGTCTTTTCACTTTTCTGTAAAAGCTGATCTAAAGATGTGACACAAGCCGAAAACACATAAACTCGAAGCAAGCTATTTTGGGAGCCAAAAAAAAATGGAAATAAGTTGTGAAGTTTTAGATTTCTTTCCAACGTATCTATATCATGAATTATTATATTGTTTTTGTAATATTTCCTTCTCATCATGATCATCATGATATTTTTTGGCCATATTCCCAGCCCTATTTGCAAATGTCATAGGGTGCATTCCCACCGACGATGCAGAGTCTGTGGGTATTGGACGCTCACTAAAATTCAGCCACATGAGTTCAATGAACCTGATGTACTGCCTTGCGATGGTGGAAAAGGCAAGGTCGGTTGTGGTGGACAGGCTTTGATGCAGATTTTAAACTAGCAGCTTTTCGTAGAACGCCAACTCAGGGTGAAGGCACAAGCACTCTTTCTTTCCCCCCATTGTTAGTCCTGGTTTAATCCTGGTTTAGCTCCTGTTTGGTTGTTTTCGTCATCCTGTTTTGACCGGCTTGTATCCTGTGACCACTTTGCTGCTCTCTGATTGGTTGCAGCAAATGCGTTGAGCGAGGAAGTAACCGCATCTCCCGCATTCACCCGCATGCGTCTTTTACCAATGTATGTCACATTGACTTTGCATGTAAATTCTCTGCAACGCCCCATGTAAACGCCAAAACTAGACTGTATTTAGATGGACAATGCTAACCTGCCTGACGCCAAATAGGGAAGTGCTCATGGTGAAGTTTGGCTCAAACTCTCTCTGGCTCCTATGGACTTTCATGTAAAAGTAACCACCTCTGGCTCAGTAACCGTTTGTGTCACATTCACCATTTTGGTCTTAAAAATCAGTGTGACGCTCTCTATGGTCCTGGTATTTATATTGTGGTGTTGTCTTTGTAAATCCATATAAGGATTGACCAATCAAGGGGGATACTTCCTCAGGAAATGCCACTAAACTTCTAGCTGACACTGAAATGGCCATTGTTATACATTGTGACAGCTGTCGGTATTGGGACTGTATGTAGCCTTGTGTTACAGTAGCTCTAGTTCACTGTGGCTCTTTCTGGTGTTACAGTAGCTCTCTTGTGTTATAGTGGCACCGCTCCTCTGGCCTGCCTCGTCACTATGCTGCACTCGCAGGTGAGAGGGGACCGCGTGAAGAACAGCATCTTCTTCAAGCTGCCTGGACGTATGAGCCTGTTCACACTGAAGGTGCTGCGCACACGCACACGTACACACACAGTACACACACACATACTACACTTTGAACCTAAGAGAAGCCTTCTTCATCAGTACTGTCAGTGAAAGCTGAAATGCATAATTAACTTGCATTTCTGTAATGTGAGCATATCTTTGACCAACTCAATCAATACTACATATTTCAACAATATCACTTAATTTAGGTATACTTTAGCTTATCCTAAACTAAATGACAGAGCTTGAGTAGATCTGGAAATAATGGTTTGCGTAATCGTTGACATTGTTGTCATTGTGTATGGAAGTGACTGACCTCTTCCCGTAGGCTCCTCTCTTACGCAGCCTTGTTTTCTGCAGAAAAACGCGGTGCAGTGGACCAAGATGGTGGAGGAGGCAGAGGTGCAGGCTGAGGGGGGCAGCTCCAGCAGCAGCCCCCATGAAGCGAGTTCCACCGTGAGCCCCTCAGATGCCACAGAGCAGGAGAGCTGTGACTCCACTGAGACCACTGCAGCGGCAAGCGGAGACAATGATGGTAAAGGCCGTTCGTCATTCGTTCTGGAGAATTCATGGAAAGAAAGGGGCGAGATTTTTAGTGAAACATCTCACACGAGAGTGCACTATAGAAGACTTAGCTTTATTACATTCTGACTATGAACAGTTGTAGTTGCGTCTTTAAATAGTGCTTTTGTAAAAGAGGTGTTTGTGAAGCTGTGGAAGGGCACTGTAACGTAGGGCTGTCACTAATGATCTCCGCAGTCCATTTGACAATGATTGTTTTTTGCAAGTATTCCATAATGTATGTACATAATATACGTTTTTGTGTATCACCCTGAATCAAAGCAGCAGTTGTCTCGCAGGACAAAGTTATTGATTCACCAACAACACATCTGAGAATCAAACTATTCTAACTCTGTGAATTCAATAATATCAAACACGTAGGAGCCATTGATCCATAGGGAGAGTGAGGATTGTCCAGAAATCAGCAGAAATGTCCCGGATCATCTCTGTCCTTAGACCCTCCTGCATCAGCAAGAAAACCCAGTGGGGAAAAAAGTGAGAAGCCTCAGGGAGGCCTGTATTGAGAGAGCTCTGCGACAAACGCTGATTAAAGTTTTGTGGTTAGAAAAGGGTTTGAAAGTTATTTTTCTGTTGTTTCAGCACAATGTGAGACTCAAACCCTATTCTCACAGTATTAGTATTACCTGTGGACCTCTTGTAATTTGTGATAATCCCGGAGAACGTCTGAGATCTCCAGTGCAAATGTGCCATGTAATTTGTAAAGTAATAATTTAGCCGCAAATTACCTCCTGAATTTGTCCAAACAGACGTCCAGTGATAACGCTAATCCTGTGCGAATTTGCATGTCAGTTTTTTTTGTCAATATCTTGCGCAGTTTAAGTTTTTTAGCAGAGTGACGAGCGCCTCTTTTCGGGAGAGCCTCGTCTCGCAGGTCTCCTTTTTAAAGTTTAAATACATGTGATTTGTGTGTGGAGCTGATCTAATGCCAAGGACCATCAGCACAACATGTTTACCATGTGTTTTGACTGGAGCCGCGTCACTGCAAGGATCCTTTGTGGTCCGTAATACTAATCCAGTGCAAATAGGGCTTATTACAGTGCCTTGCGAAAGTATTCGGCCCCCTTGAACCTTTCAACATTTCGCCACATTTCAGGCTTCAAACATAAAGATATAAAAATTACATTTTTTGTCAAGAATCAACAAGTGGGACACAATCGTGAAGTGGAACGAAATTTATTGGATAATTTAAAAAAAATTAACAAATAAAAAACTGAAAAGTGGGGCGTGCAATATTATTCGGCCCCCTTGCGCTAATACTTTGTAGCGCCACCTTTTGCTGCAATTACAGCTGCAAGTCGCTTGGGGTATGTATCAGTTTTGCACATCGAGAGACTGGAATTCTTGCCCATTCTTCCTTGCAAAACAGCTCGAGCTCAGTGAGGTTGGATGGACAGCAGTCTTCAGCTCTTTCCACAGATTCTCGATTGGATTCAGGTCTGGACTTTGACTTGGCCATTCTAACACCTGGATGCGTCTATTTGTGAACCATTCCATTGTAGATTTGGCTTTATGTTTTGGATCATTGTCCTGTTGGAAGATACATCTCCGTCCCAGTCTCAGGTCTTTTGCTGACTCCAACAGGTTTTCTTCCAGAATGGTCCTGTATTTGGCTCCATCCATCTTCCCATCAATTTTAGCCATCTTCTGGAGTGAGTTTGCTGCACTAAAAGTAAAGGGGCCGAATAATATTGCACGCCCCACTTTTCAGTTTTTTATTTGTAAAAAAAGTTTAAATTATCCAATACATTTTGTTCCACTTCACGATTGTGTCCCACTTGTTGTTGATTCTTGACAAAAAATAAAATGTTTGTATCTTTATGTTTGAAGCCTGAAATGTGGCAAAATGTTGAAAGCTTCAAGGGGGGCGGATACTTTCGCAAGGCACTGCATGTGAGACTCATTACAGCATCTGTTATAATGTTGATCATTGGCGGTGCGACAGTGACTCAGTTGATAGAGCATTGGCCTTTGGGTCTGAAGGTCGTGGTTTCCTGCCCACCATGAGACCTGCTTCACAGCTCCCACTGAGGTCTGCTGTCATTGTGTCCTTGGGCAAAACACTTAACCCCCCTTTTCCTGAAGCCCCTGTAGAAAGTTCAAGGCTCCTGTGGACTTACCACTTGCAGGAGGACCAGTGAGGGGCTCGTGCTATGTGTACTGGGTGCAGCACTGGCTGCCATCCCCCTGACCCAGAAATGGATTTAGGGGAAGAAAATGGATGGATGGATGTTGATCATTGGCTCACAGTGAAATCTTCAAATAAAACATCAGAAAATAGACAGTATGAATGGAACGTAGACTGTGAGCCACAATCATAACAGAGACATATGTCACTTTGAAAAGAGTGTCATGTGTTGGTTTCACACCTGTATAATCTTTTAAAATTGATGTTAAACTTTACTGTTGTGTTGCAGCGTCTGTGGACGAGAGCTCCTCCAGTCCCCTTTGCTCTACTGAGACCCCAGCCCCAGTCACTCCTCCGGTTAGTCACCCCCAAACCCGCCTAAGCAGAGCATCTCAGAGACCAGAGGCTCAGCGCCAGCCTACCCCCCACGCACAAACTAGGCTGAGCCGTTCCAGACAGGTACGTGTCTGTGTGAGTGTGTATGTTCAATTTCAATGAGAGCACCACTTACGTTTTATGATTGTGCTGTGTGCAGTCAGGTCGGCAGAGAAAGAAGGCCGTCATGATGCCCCGGGTGGTCCTCACACCGCTCAAGGTCAACGGAGAGCATGTGTCCTCAGGTAAGGCCACGAGTGAGGGTCCTCACCCCCAGGCATGTACATACAACATATAACCACTAGTATAACATGACGGTTGTGGCCTGTGTACACCTCAGTGGTTAGACTCTGGTCTTCCTGTTAGACCTCAGTCCTCCTCCTGCCCCTCAACATGGTGTCCTCTGCCACTCTATTTTGCAGTGTGTTAAGTGAGTCTCAAGGTTGTTGAAGTTTATAGATAAGTAAATCTTGTAGAGTTGTACCCCAAAATAATTCATTCAGATTTATTTATTGATTTATCTCGAGGGTGAATTTTGTCTTGGAGCAGCGAGGTCAGTAGCGCCACAACAGAACAACACGAGGCAAAACAAAAGCTCACAGGTTTTCTGCTGTGATTGCAGTGGTTTCTACAGTATTCTAAGTCTTTACTCGTGCTGTATGAAATGAACCTCATGTTTCCGTTTTGGCCACTATGCGCAGCGATGGACTTTACTCTACTTATGAGGGAGTAAGTCCATTGCAGGTCTGTGAAACTCCATCTGTGTCCAGGCCCCATGAAGAGCCGCCGAGGAGGCGTGGATGTGGACTTTGAGACTCCAGGCTCCATCTTGGTCAACACCAACATCAGAGCTCTGATCAACGTCAGGACTTTCTCTGCCTTCCCCGCACACTCCCAGCAACAGCTGCTACAGCTGCTGCCCGAGGTGGACCGGCAGGTACGGCTCCAGTGTTAAACATGGCTCACATGTTAAACATGACTCCTGTTTTAAATCAGGACTTGTGTGAGAAAGATAGATACTTTATTAATCCATGTAGGAGAAATTAAGGTGTTGAGTAGCAGAAAAAAAAAAAAAAAAATTGATCTTTCTTAAAAGCTAACAATAGTAATAATAAGGAACAGCCCTTCAGGTCACAGCAGCAGAGATGGAGTGGCCTCTGGGTCGAACAGGACAGGTCACAAGGTGGAGTAGCTGCTTGGTTCTGACCATTTTCTCTGCTCTAGTCCAAAGTAAAATGTTGAATGCTTCATTAGCATTTTTCAAAAAGTTTGCATTCTTCCAGTGGATTTTTGGCTAATGTGCTTGGTTCGGAGTCGGACCATGAATCCTCTCTGCTCCGGTCTGGACCAGTGCAAAACCATGAACTCTGTACTGCAACAATATCTCAGGTAGAAAAAGCAATAAAAGTACTGCACAGGTGCCTGAGGCTAACCTGTACCAGAGGTGCAGGTGCAGTTTTTCAGGTTGTTGACCTGTGGAATGCTGGTCCACTTTTCTTCAAGGAGTTGGCAAACTTCATTAAATTGCCGGATACTAACAGGAACTGGAGCACATTTGAAAATGGCGATCCAGAGCATCCCAAACCTGATGTACAAATCTGAGTACAAGGCCAAGCCTGAAGTGGGATGTTTCTAGAGGAATAGTGTGAAAAATGTGGCTGTGTTCTGCTGCATCCGAGAGGCCTTTCAGAAGCACCTGTGCAGCATCTCCATGTGCCACATCTGTCAGGCCAGCTGTGGGAACCATGTGCTTTACAGGCTTTTCAAGCACTAGACACCATAGCCACAGAAATATACATTGGTATTCAACAAGGACGCAGGCTCATCCCAGCAAGTGAGCTCTATGGGGGATGTCACACAGTATGTTCACTACTTCTTTTGTGTGCTAGTTGGCAATTAAGACATTTTTCAGAGATGACATAAAGTCATGATGGATATTGATCCATGGAAGAGGGTAAAATAACTACACATATGTATTACAGAAATATACAAATCACAGAACTAGTGTTTTTCAAAAATACCTATTGTTCTGAAGGCTGAAGGACACAGAGGTTCTGTCCTCCAGGTTCATGATCGTGTGTGTGTGTGTGTGTGTGTGTGTGTGTGTGACATCAATCCTCGACATGTCTCCCTAAAGCTGTTTGTTGTGCATTAATCAGATGGGTGCTGATGGAATGACCAGGCTGAGTAGTTCTGCTCTGAACAATGAGTTCTTCACCCATGCCTCACAGAGCTGGAAGGAGCGCTTGGCTGAAGGTATCTCCAATTCAATTAAATTCAATGTATTTATGTGTTGTCTCTAAATCACGTCGTCTCTGAGGCCTTCACAAAGTTGTGGATTCATCAACAACAGATCCGAGAATCAAACTGTTTTAACACATTAAACACAAAGGAGTCATTGGTCCATAGGGAGCAGGATAACCACTTACCAGAAATGTTGATAAATGTGTACAAATGTCCCGGAACATCACTGAGACTGTCCTGCATCAGCCAGGAACCACACAAACACCCAGATCTAGGTCTGAGGCTGTGCGGGGCAGGTCTGAGGTGCATGAGAAGGAACAGACTACAGTTGAAGTCATAATGATGACGGATAACGTTGGAGTGGATTGTGCTGTTACCATTAGTCTCCAACAGGGGTCTTCATATCTCTGCTCTGTCTTTTGTTATACATAGTGCTAACCCTAACTGACATTTGTCCTGTAGGGGAGTTTACTCATGAGATGCAGGCACGCTTCCGGCAAGAAATGGAAAAGGAGAAAAAAGTGGAGGCCTGGAAAGAGAAGTTTTTTGAAGAATACCATGGACAAAAGTAAGTCATGTCATTTTATAATTCAATAACCTGTATTTTTGGATAACCCAAAATCACAGAAGCAGTCGTCTCAGAGGGCAAGCACTTTGTTCAACCGGTGTTGGTGGCTATTGCTAAATTTGTTTCAAATCCTATTAACATTGAGCCGCTCTGGGAGATCTCGAATGTGCAATTAATGCAGTTCTGGTGCACACTGGGGTAGTCTTGCACAGTTTTTCCAATGTTGTTTTACTGCAAATGGCAAATAAACGAATCTGAATCTGTTCAGGGATCAGAGATGTTAAAGTCCAATCGCTTGGATCTTCAGACGCACTCCGAGTCAGCACCGTGTGGAGAAAAACACAAGTTGTGAACTGTTGCTAACAAGTTGAAGGGCAGTAACTCTGCTATTTTAAGCGAGGAATGAGCATATAGGAAATTAGGAATAAATCGCACTAAAACCATAAAGTGTACACTATGGCTACAATTGAGGGCCACCTTAGCATAACAGTTCACAACTTGTGTTTTTCTCCACACGGTGCTGACTCGGAGTGCGTCTGAAGATCCAAGTGTGCCCACTGTAGTTAGAAGATATGCCATGTCACTGTTTGAATCGGCTTCACATTAACTGTGACTGGTGACCGACCAAGAGCAGCCCGTTTTTAACAGAGACTCGTCTCTGATTGGCCGAGAGCGGACCAGGGCCCGCCTTCCCAGGGGTCAAGAACTGCATAGCATATTGAATTAAGTTGCACTCAAACCATGTGGCAATGCAATATGCAATATGCAATGCAATCCAGAGGGAGGTGCTGTTTCACAACACATTAAGAAACTTAACATACTCAAATGTGGAATACAAGTCAAAATAGGATATAACATGCAATTTTGCCAAATACAACTTTAAACTAAATGCCATGTTAAGAATGAATAGAACAATGAATAAAGAGGCCAAATTTCCATGTCAATATGCTATTCATTTCAAAATCTTGTAATTTGCAATATATAAAGACATTGTATCGACACTTTACATATTGAATTGCCATTAGAACTTTTGGAATAGAACATTAAATGTCAAAATTGGATATAACATTACACTTTGACAAATACAAATACAAAATAAATACTAAAATAACATAATGCATAGCCATTTGACAAATGAATAGACAATTGAATTAAGGTGCCAATAGTCTTCCATAGTGAGTAAAAGTAATGTGTCAAATGTACTCACAAATATAAGATTGAGGCCCACAGGGACAGGGTCTGCTACGTCTAACAACCAAGGATGAGTATAGCACGGAGGTGTTGTTCATATTACTCGGGGTCAGTAACAGCGCGAACTATGAATAATCTGGAGGGTTGGGGCTGGTATCAACACAGTAACCACATTGATTCGGGGCAAAGGCTTCATAAAATGTAACTGCTAAGAATGTAAAAAATGTTGGTTTTAAAATAATATGGTAAGCTGTAAAACTAGCCTTGAAGCTAGTGTTAACTAAACACTGCCTAAAAAAACGTTTCTAGAGAGGGACAAGAAACATCTTATGAACACATTTTATGGAATTAATATTTTGAACACATTTATTTACGACCAAAATGATCAAATATAGTTATTTACCTGATTTTGAGCCAAATTGTTAATGTTGTTGCCCTCTGCCATGATCAACTCTGCGCAGGCTCGATTGTTAATGTCTGTGAGCAGTGACGTATTATTGACAGTTTGCTCACTGCTGAAATTCGTATTCTCAAAAAGAAAATGCAAGCACACAAAATAAAATCGTATTCACAAGTACGAAATCACACATAGTTTTATATTTTTTTATTCTTAATTACGAAATTCCATGTCTTTTTAGTTTGTATTATCTTAATCATGAATTAATAAAAATAAATTATGCACAAATACCAATAAATATGCACGCATTTTTTTTTAGACATGCACGTCTTTATTGACAATAACCTTACCCCATACAGCCCCAGTCAGCTAAGTCCTTAGCCCCCTGACCCTAAGTATTAGGGATACGAGATGTGTTAATAAGCTAAATAATGGTCATTTTCTCTTTGTCCTTGTGCCTTTTGTCCCCGTCTTCCTCTGTCCCTCAACAGACTGGGCCTGACGCACGAGGAGTCGCTGCAGCTCACCAGAGCAGACAGCACTGAGGTGACTGCTGCAGTGCTGGACGAGGGTGTTACCGTTGCAACCGCCCCTCAGAAGAGGCGCAGCGTGGGCAGGAGGCGGCGAGACGGGCGCATGAGGAGACGTGCCCGAGCAGACCTGAGGCGGCGTGCCCGTAGGCCCCTCTGCAAGACCACCTCTGCCCCGCCCCCCACAGATACTCCGGCTGCTCCCGAGGTGCGTTCATCATATGGCCTGCTCATGACCCAGAAAAAATGTCATTGTACAATAGTTTTTATTTCAGTTTAATTTATGTTAACAGCAGTCGTCTCGCAGGAAATTCTAATGTCAATTCACCAACAACAAAATTAGACAAAACAGGAAATGCAATAACAAGCACATAGGAACCATGGGTCCATAAGGAGCGGGAAGGCTTCTACCCAGAAATATTAATAATGTGTAGAAATGTCCCGTATAATCCTTTAGGCTGTAGACCCAGGGACTGAGGCTGTAGACCCAGGGACTGAGGCTGTAGACCCAGGGACTGAGGCTGTAGACCCAGGGACTGAGGCTGTAGACCCAGGGACTGAGGCTGTAGACCAGGGGTGCTCACACTTTTTCAGCATGCGAGCTACTTATAAAATGATCAAGTCAAAATGATCTACCTACTACAAAAATGCAAAACATATATTTATTTCTAAATATTTTTTCTTCTTTATATCTACAATGTATGTTGATGTACATGCAAAACCGCATGACTTTTCCGCATGATTCATAGAACCGTAGTTACATTTGTAACTTTCGTTCTGTAGCGGCACTTACAGTCATAGTAGAAACTGAGGGTGAAGATGTTATTATAAATCCATGGTGAAGACATATGTTTACAAGCAATGACCCCAGTCCTCAGCCCTGGTTCGATCCTGGTTTAGCTCCTGTTTTATTTGTTTTGGAGCCTGAGTCCCTGTGATCACTTTGCTGCTCTCTGATGTGGAGCGAGGATCGCTGCTGTGAACCGTTGCAGTAGTGAACAGTTTTTAAGGCAGTATGACCCATGCTTCAGTGATCAGAGGTCGCACGTTTTGTTTGTTGTTGTTGTTTTGGGAGCATACTGTGGCGTGCAAAAACGCAAAACTCCGGTTATCTCTGTCCACACGCAAATGCATAGACGGATTTTTTTTTTTTTTATGTAATGCAATCTTCCAATACTACTTTTGCGATCGACTGGTAGATCGCGATCGACGTATTGAGCACCCCTGCTGTAGACCCAGGGACTGAGGCTTTGAGGTGCCGGACATAAACTTAAAATACATAGATTTGAGCCAAGTTTGTCTCCCACTTTTATACTATCCTATAAATATATTACATGCAGTGCTTCCTTGATTATTATTGAAGTACAGGAAAGTATATGTTGTCCACATACTTGATGTTTAATGTAGCACTAAACCAACAGCGGATTGAAACAAAGCCTACAGAAAGACTATTATTACACATTGCTTGCCTTGGTTTTGGCGTTTGGAGACAAAAGGTCCAACCACAGTATTATCCACTGTGGCCCTCTGTGTAAGGCAAGTTTATTTGTATTGCAAAGTTCATACAAGGTGCTTAACAAAACAAGATACATTAAAATCATAAATCATCACAGTGCATTAAAAAGAAGAAAGTTACAATCCTTTAGTAGTTGCTGTATAACAGATCTGTTTTTAACCCGGATTTGAAGATGATCAGTTTCAGGAAGAAGGAATTGTATTCCTTAAATCCAAGTGTTTGTGAAATAAATATTGTTATTGGTAAAAAAAATGTGAGAAGTGGTGTTTATGCTAAAGTTTTCTAATGCTGAGCGTTGTTGCAGGCCTGTCTGGAGGAGTCACAGCCGGTGCCAGTCCCAGACAGTGTGGTGCTGACCGAGCCCGTCACAGAGCAGCCCACAGAAACTACTCCTGTGGAAGCGGAGCCAGAGCAGCCAGCAGAGCCCCTGGAGGCCTTGGAGCCCCTGGAGAAAGAGACAAAGGAACCAGAAGAGCCCGAGTGCCCAGAGGAGTCTGAGGAACCAGAAGAGTCCGAGGAACCAGAGGAGTGTGAGGAACCCGAGGAGTCTGCCCTGCCAGAGCCCCAGCCTCCCTCCAGTCCCAGCCCCAGCCCCAGCCCTGCCTCTACAAGTGCCAACGAGGAGGCCGAGGTGCCCCCCAGCCTGTGTGTGGAGGAACCCACCGCAGCTTCCACCTCGTCTTTGTCCTCCTCCTCGTCCTCATCCTCGTCATCCTCCTCTTCCCCGTCCTCCCCCTGCTCCCCCTCAGAGCCCCAGGCCTTCAGGGCAGGCCTGGACTCTTCCTCCTCAGCCTCCAGTGGGGCAGTGGTGGCCGATCCCCTGGACGACACAGCTTCTATCGTCACCTCTGTCACTGGCACGGCCACCAGCAGTCGAGAGAGCAGCCCGTCAGCCAGCCCCACCCCCACCCCCACCCCCACCTCCCATGGCAAGGAGCAGAAGAGGAGGCCGGACAGCCAGGACCACCGCAGCTTCCCCGAGAAGAGACCCCGGCTCAATGACCAGCAGTCCTTTCGTACCACAATCCCCAGTGTGTGCACCGAGAAACCACAGCCAACTACAGAGGAGCCCAGGGTGCCGCCTATCCGGGTGAGCTGCTCTCCCTTTGGGCTTGTGTGGAACCAGTTGCTTTCAGAACGTTCCTTTCGGCTGCAGTGCACAAACCAAACATGTTGTATTGGGGAGAACACTTTGTGTTTAGTTACAAAATACTGAACTTCTGTTTTAAAATTTATTGAACATATACATTCAGTGCTTAATTTATAATGTCGGAGGTCGCGGAACGGGGATTGTAGGCAGTGTTGGGGTTAACGGAATATATTCAGAATACACTTTTTGAGTAAATGTATTCCATTACATTTCTACCGCAAAATTTTTTGAAAAATTACACATTTGAGCGTTAAAGGTATAAAGGAAGATTTTCACAAATTTGAGGAAAGAGCTGCCCTCTCCTAGCCTGGCCTTAGCCATCCGTACACTCCATTCAATCATCATTTCACTGCATGTAACGTCTGGGTCTGGTCCCCATGTTAGTGATTACAATCGGTTGAACTCAGATCCGATCGTTTCAATCTGCAAAAGGAGTTAACCCCTCCCACCTGTAAACGGAGCTCAATGGAACACGTCCAGACTTTAGTACAAAATGTTATTTGTACTATGGTGTGGTACAACCAGGCTAGTCCTCTCCACTCTTTGAACAAAAATCTCAGACCAATAGCCTTGATGATCCACCCAGAAGTAGAAAATACTCCTTATTCACTCTCAAAATTAAAGGTATATAGAAGCAAGTCGTCCTAATGCTAAATACTTAAGCAACATTTTGATTAAACTCATTAGACCAAATGAATTATAGATCATTTCATTTATTTTTACTAACCGTGATTTGAGGAGGATATGCCAAAGAAGGGCTATTTAACCTACCTGGGTCATTTTTTTCAATTGCTCGCTTGCAATTGACGTCACGTCCGCCTCATTACATATGCGTATCACAAAGTGGTGGTCAGCCGAGCTAGTTGTTCACTAGAGCAGTGTGTCTTAATATGCCCTTTGCATGTGTTGTTGTTTTTAAGTTTTCTTACTGATCGAATCGCGAAACCTTTAATGGATACTTTAGGATTCGTCGTGAAGAGATTAGTAAAGAGCCGCAGAGAAAAGTGGCTCGCAAACATTTCACTAGCAAACGCTTTTACCTCGAAGGATTATTTATTTACCCAGCCATGCAGTCACAATGCACAGTTAGTTGATTAATTGTCAGGTATGAGTCTGCGTTTTAGATGAACACTGTGAATGTTTGACCTGAAAAGAACACAGCCACAGACGCATTGTTTTGTTGAGAATGACAAGTTCATACCAATCGTTACTTACACGGCTCTGTACGATGCAGGATTTGTTCTTCAGGACCTTAACTCTGAGTTCCTTAACCCACAGACAGACGGAAAAGTTGCAGCATCCATGTTTTTCTAAACCTTCATTTGTTTAGCAGTGCAAAAGCTTGATTGTAGCACTAGCTGTGGATTAGAATCTAAAGTGAAGAACATGACAGTCTAGGATTGTGTATTTAATTCAAACAGAAGACATGTTTTATTGTCGATGGTAGAGGCATAAACAAAGATGTTACAGAATGTAAGTGATGGACACTTATTAGCATTATTAGCATATTAGCATTAGCCGCAGTGCCAGTAGCTTCAACCTTGATATTACCAAAACATGTAGTGGAAAAATTCTGCCTTGTGCATTGTTAGAATGATGAGTTAGAACGTTCACCACAGTAGCTTCAAAGTGTCATGAAATGTCCAAAAAAGCAAAATAATACTCTGAAGAGTCGCATTTTCTCCACATATCAGCAGCAACTCTTGCTGGCCTGACCACCACTTCGTCAACCGGAAGTTTATGCGTCACGTGATTGCAAGCCAAGAATTGTTTGAATACTAGTCAAGGGTCAAAGCGTTAACTGTTACATATTATTTTCAATAGAAATATTGTATTTTGATCTTGCATGCCTGCAGAGGTGCCGGATCCAATTTCAGAGTTGCCAGCCCGTGTCGAGGACAGGCCCGTGTGATATTTTGTGTAGTGTTTAATGTGACCAGGTCCAGGCTGACCTCTTTGTGTCTGTGTTACAGATTCAACTGTCCAGGATCAAACCTCCCTGGGTCAAAGGCCATCCCACCTATCAGATCTGCCCCCGGATCGTGCCCCCCGGCCAGGGCTCGCAGCGGTCGGGGACGGGGGGCGCGAGAACACTGGCAGACATCAAGGCCCGTGCCCAGCAGGCACGTGCCCAGCGCGAGGCCGCTGCTGCTGTTGCGGCCTCTGCCGAAGGACCCTCAGCGGGCACGCTCGGGCTGCAACATAGCCCTGGGCTACACAATAGTAACAGCAGAGACTCAGAAGGACTCACAGCTACAGGCTCTGATCCACCTGGAACACAACTACAGCCTACCCCTGTAGAAGCCCCTCAGCCCTCCCCCACGACCTCCACATCCACATCAGTGTCCACAGAGCCCTCCCTCACCCCCAGCCCCCCCCAGCATTCAGCAGAGGACCTAGTGTCCACTGTGGATAAGCCAGCCAGCACTGAGGAACATGCCAGCAAGCCCCCAGCTCAGCACGGTGTCCCCCTCCACACAGACATGCCCCCAGAGAGCCGGAGGACTCTCACTCCCACATGCATCCCCGACACACTGCCCAGGTTTGGGGCTCAGGGTGTGGACGTGAGCCAGCTCCCCTGTGGGCGCTCAGAGGAGCCTGCTTCAGGGGTGATCCAGCACAGCTCCGATGTGAGCCCTGTCCCCAGTCTGCTGCTCCGGGTGAAGGAAGAGGACGAGGGCCACAGCGACTCCACAGAGACCGCGTCTGATGGAGAGACGGAGGGGCATCAGCCGGAGCGGGGCTGGCACATGGGCCACAGTCCTCGTCACAACCACAAAGCTGTGATCCACACCCGCTGTGGGCCCACGGTCATCCAGCACTGCTTCATGAACGGCTTGTCTCACACGCAGGACTCTGGGGACGAGGTGAAGCAGGAGCCTGTGGACACGAGTCCTGCCTCGGACAATGTGAAACAGAGGCGGGCCATGAGCTCCAGGCTGGTGTCCAGTGTGGAGGCCAACAACCCCCTTGTGACTCAGCTGCTTCAGGGCAGTCTGCCTCTGGAGAAGGTGCTGCCCTCTCATGGGGCCACCAGGCTGGAGATCAGAGCCCCTGCTCAAGCTGTGTCCCCCTGTGCGGACATCCCAGGCCCGGGGGCTCAGCTGTTGCAGCAGCAGGTGCCTGTCATCACATCTGGCCCCTCCAGGTGCAAAGTTGAGCTCTCAGACTTCAGTGTCAAAGACCATGTTTGTATTCAGCCCTCACAGGGGGCCACACTGGACCGGTCACTGCAGGCCACTAGAACCATGGTAAATGACCCGTCCCCCCCACACGCGGACCCCTGTCCCACTGAGACTGTGCACCACATGAAGCCTGGCTCTTGGGCGCCTATGACGCCTCAGAGCCCTGCTGTGAAGAGCGAGGGGGGCTTCCGGCCCTCTTGTCAAGATGGGGCAAGCCCTTCTCCTCTCCTCCCTGTTAGTTTTACCAAAAAAGAGATTCTGAACTCTGTGGATGGATATTTGAGTGGGGGGGCCATGGAGGGGCTGCTCAACATGGAGCTGGCTTTGGCGCGGATGGCAAAGAAGGATCAGAACAAAGGCTGTGGCTCCTCAGGGCCCCTGCCCTTCCACCTGTATGGGAAGTTGCCCAAGCAGGGCCCAGGCCTGAGCTACACAGCTAACGTCTCGGTCATGGAGGGAGGTCTGTCCCGCAGTGTGGCCGAGGGGGTCCTCCTGCACCCCTTGCAGGCCTTCAGTGACAGCTCCGAGGAGGTGGCCCTCAAGTGTTCCTGCCGCCTCAAAGCCATGATCATGTGTCAAGGCTGTGGAGCCTTCTGCCATGATGACTGCATCGGCCCCTCCAAACTGTGTGTGTCCTGCCTGGTGGTCAGATAGTGTGGCCCCTGCTGGTTCGTTTTTGGCCCCCTGGTGGTCAGACACTGGGGGCCACTGCCTTGTACAGTTCAAGTGTTCTGCTTTATTGATACTGTTTAATATAATTGTACATTTTGGGCATGATGGATCTGTAAATTGTGCCTTTTGTGTTTACTTGGAAACATTACCTCATCTTCGGTTGCCATGTCTTGCTTTGGTTGCCTTGTCTTGTTATGGTTGCCATGTCTGGTTTTGGTTGCCATGTCTTGCTTCCTTCGTTGCATAACAGGAGCTTGTTATTTTTTTGTGCAAATAAATATTTTTTTAACCATGATTCACTTTGTGTTGGCGTCGGGCTCCAGACATGTTTTGTTTTGTTTGTTTTTGATGCACAAACTTCAGGTGCTGGTTCCTGTTCAGGCACCTTTTCATATCATGTGACATCATTAAGACTTTTGTAGAAAAAGTGTCTTTATTTGAAAAGTAGAATTTGTGTTTGCATCAGAACAGTGTGGTCCTTGTGTGGGTCACTTTTGAATCTAAAGGACGAGGAGGTTTGCTCTACATTCATAAACTCTGGCGACAGCACCATGAGACTGCACTCACTCGAGCCGGCGCAGGAGAGTGACATCACAAAGACCTTTGTCCCGGGAGTTTATTTCAACATGATTCAATCAGAAACACTGTTGAATATTTGGTTTACATGTGGCTGAAACTCGGAACATTAAAAAGTCGTGAAAAAGTGTATTTATTTCTGTGACACTGCTTATAATGTGAAACTAATATTCAATGCCTGCAAAAGTATGAATACAGTTTGAACTTTTGATTATTTCGTCATGTTTAAAACCATAAACAAAGATTTGATATTGACAGCCAACTGAAGTGAAAGCAAAATGATTTTTAGTGGTAGGGGAAACCGGAACACTTGGAAGAAACTCTAAAATGCCCTGATTCAAACCCAGGACCTTCTTGCTGAGAGGCAAGAGTGCTATCCACTCAGCCACCGTGCTGCCACAGTTGCATGTTTTCCGTCCACCTTCCCAGCTATTATAATCTTCGCAGCTCCTCGCTGAAAAACAGCACTGGAGATGCACTCAGCATAATGATCAGTGTTGGATTTGCATCATTCATAATGTTTTGTTTAGCCCAAAACGTTTAATCTGACCAAAGCACCTTCGTTCACATGGTAGCTAACTTCTGGAAAACTTCTTACAGGATCTCTTATGGCCCCCTTTTCAATAATGTGTTTCCTGTTGCCACTTTTGTGCCAGATTTGTGCAGAGTATGAATGAATGTTTCAGATTCCACCAGGGGTCTGACCCCACAGACACAAATACAAGACTTTTCCTTGTTCAAACTTGAGCTGTATAACATTTCTAAAGGATGATAATGGATAAATTATGCTTCAGTAAAGTATGTTTGGACGCAAAAAGCCAGATCCCTCAGACCTAAAGGCAGGGCCTGGTTAGTAGTGATGGGAGACCTCTGGGAACATATATATACATTATATTATAATTAATAATAATAAATTAATTATAATTAATACATTTAATATATACAGTCTATGCTGGGAACAGCAGGTGCCACAGTGGGGAGGCTGCAGCTGTAAAGTACCAAACTTTTCTTTTGTCCTTCGGCACTTAACCCACATTAGAACGAGTGTGTGTTATTGGTTGTTGTTTATGGGAGGGTCTGATGGCACATACTAGTGTGCCCCAGGGCAGCTGTGGCTACGGTTTGGTATGTCACCACTGTCTATGGAGAGTCTCTTGCTTTATTCTCGACCTGTGCCTTCTGAAAACGTATCAAATTTAGTTTTGATAATTGAAGAAACACAGCTGATTTGTTTGGCACTGAAGCTGACTGTGTGGGTTATTCTTCGTGCTCTTGTTTGAACCCAGGACACAGATTTAGGTATATATAGAGCAAGGCAGTTTGTTGCGAGCAGGGCGACGCCCACGTCTGCCCTCTTCTTTATTTAAACATTATAATCCATAAATAACACGTCATCAAAATATTCCAAACACAGTCACTTTCCACAAATATATGCATCATTTCCATATTGCAGAGTTTTCAAAAGAGACATAAATAAATAAGACATAAAACACAGCAGGTTTTAGAAAATTATTTCAAAAAAGTTAGAAAATATTTGCACTTAAAAAAGATCCCAGCGATTCAATAAATAAACTTATACAAAATAATTAATAGTCGATATCTGAAAATATGTCCTCTGTGTTGACTGTCAGCACTTTCAGACGAAGGAGTGGCATATACTGTCATAAATATGTGAACATAAATATTAAATAGGAGAATAATAATTCACATTTTACAGAACAGTAAGAGGTGGATCTACTTCACTATTGGTGAAACAGGATAGAAAACTAGTCACAGTAGAATCAGTAGGGAGCACTTCTCACACACACACACACACACGCACACACACACACACACACACGCACACGCATGTCCACTTCGCATTAAAATTATATATGCACCAACATCTTGATTCTCAATGCAGAATGGGGTTTTTCTACAGGATTTCATGTTTCCTGCATCTGTTGGGATTCAGAAGTGTGACATGTGTCAACCTGGTTTGTGGTTAATATCGTTGAAATAACAAAACCAAAATACACTTCATTTGCATGTGAATGTATTAACAACTAGATTAGAACCAATTCAGTCTGGTCTAGAACTACGGTCAATCCGTAAGATTGGCCTCAGTTCTAGTAGGTTCTCATCCGCGCCGAGGTCCTCGTCCTCTGAGGGAGCACAGGTATTTCAGGCATGTCTCATCAGGAGGAGGCCTTATGGAAGAGTTATGTCTCTCAGCTGGCCTGGGAATGCCTCGGGATTCACCGATGAGCTGGAGCAAGTGTGAGTAAAAAGGGTAGTCTGGGCGTCTCCACCACACAGTAACGGATAAAACTGAAGAACATGGAATATCATAATTTAATCTGATGCCATTTAATAGAAGTGTTTCACCTTTTATCTTAATTTGGTTGATAAATGTTGATTAGATCCTGATTGGTCTGGTGTGGATCTCTTCACCAGCTGCTGAGATGTTTCTGTACTTTTATGAACATTTCTGGACAGTGGTCATACCGCTCCCCATGGACCAATGGCTGCTATGTGTTTATCATCACATTACCTGTGTTTGAACTTTTTGTGTCGATCTGATCTGTTGTTGGTGAAATCCACAACTTTGTAAAGTGACGACTGCTGCTGTGATTTAGATCGATACACAAATACATTGAAGTGAATGTTTTCTTAAGAAAAGAAAAAGGGGCTGGATGAATTTCATGAGGAATGCCCTATGTCCCACGTCTGGAAATGTCTACTAACATTGTTTCTATCATTTTGGATGTTGAATTTCCAAAAGTATGTGTCTGCTACACCGCAGACATGACGATGGGACGTCTTCTTTGACGACACTTGAGCTTCATTCAGGTGTGTGGGATTATTATTCATAATTTCTGGAGCGGCCTAAGGATTAGTTTTCAGTGGAAATGCGTCACCACACACATTCTAAAGGAACATGCAATCAAGTTCAAAACACATGAAAACAGTTTTAAATGGAATTAACAAGAAAGAGGAAAGATAGAAACGATGAAGACAGTGGTGGAAAGTCACAAATGACATTCCTCACGAGCTGTTTTCGAGCATGTCAGCCCGGGCCCCGTGTTCCCGAGGCCCTATTACTTGTATTTGAGTAGATAAAGTTTGAGTACCCTCGTATCGTGGTCCCTCACTGTGACCCGTTTCACAGATTTTTGTGTGTGCTTTTTTACATTTCACATACCCGCTAGTATAACATGATTACAATTTAAACTCAGACCAAAACTTTTGTGTGCACCACAGTGATTAGTTCAGATGACTTTCTCTGGTCTCTCTCTCTTTCGTCTTCCCATAGCCCTCTGTCCTGCTCCTGCCTCTCAGCACAGTGTCCTCTGCAGCTCTCTTTTATGCACGGCTTTTGACAACTGCAGCAGCACTCAGACCTACAACCAACAGGTTTGATATCTCCGTGATCGCACTTCAGCAGTCGTGAGTTCAGGTGGTCAGAAAACTGTATAAATGTGTTGTGAGGGGTTTTACAGCCTTAAAACTGCTGATACTCAAGGATTTCACTTATTGTGGGTTATTTTAGAACACATTCCCCCTGCACACATATTTAACAGAGGTACCATCAAACTTCAAATTGGGTAAATCAACAATTCTTTTGAAACAGCTGCTCTTGTGCTTTTGAGCTTGACAAATGTTCAGTGCTCTTTCCACCACTCTCCAAAAGAGAAAGGCAGGGCAAGAAGAGAGACCGTTGCTGCATCCAAATCCAAAATAATGACAGTTATTGTTCTAAAAGAGCATTTATAAATAATCCATAAATGGTATGTGAAGTTCTTAATATTCTTTTCTGGGGGACTCACTCTGTGTTTTTGTCACATGTGCTTTGGGATTGAGAATTATCATAATAATCTTAAAAAATGTCTTTCACCTTTTCAGGGGATCAGTCCTGGGGTTACGGTAGCGTGAGCAAAGGGAAACCAGAGCAGACACAGGAAGAACATGCAAATTCCAGTGCTATTTGACCCAATATATCTATGATAATAGTGTTTAGTAATTAATTAATTGGCTAAATAGAATACTTTAGAAATCACATGGCATCAACAACACCCAGTCTAAGTCCCGTAGCCCCCACTTTGAGAAGCAGTGGTCTTTAGGGATTTGGTTCATTTTTGCAATGAAAATTGTTGAGTTTTAACAGCAGGTGCCTCTTGGAGATCCTGCTGCTCACATGTCACACATTTTACCGTTTATCAGTAAGTGCAGGTCTTTTCTCCAGACCTCAGAGCGGTAAAGGATGTCATTTTTTGAATTGGGAAGCAGCCCCAGTTCAATGAGAGGGTTGGGACAGGGGTAAAATAAGGGAACATTGTATGGACAGAAGCTCGACAGACAGAAAGCTCCTGGGTCACACTGTGATGCCCTTCACAGCTTGGTTGATGGACTCCAGCAGGGCGCGGTTCTCTGGGTTCTGGTAGCAGTCTCTGTTGGAGAACATGTCCGTGAGCGTGTCCACGTACCGGTCAAAGTTCTCCTCCGACAGAGTCTCCTGCAACAGTCAAGAAAGGACTGTGGTCAGCTCAAGACCTCGGGTCAAACAGGCTTCAGGAAACTCCACTTCATTTATGCTAATGCGATGTTATTTCAGATCTATTCATTCTGAATTAAAGGACACATGATTTTAGAATGGGTTAAACTTGTGAAACACAATGGAAGCAACTCAAAGTAAATCGTGCATTGATAGATATTTGAGTATGTTTTTCTGTTGAAAAAAATAATCAGTTGAAGATTTCACTTTAGTTGACACAGCGTTAAAAAAAAAACAATGGAGAGGGTTGCCACAATGTTTCTTGTTATTTTAAATTGTTACTTTTTAGAGTGCAGAAAAACCCTGGAACTCAAGGCCTTCTGTCTGTGAAACCGGAGCACTAAACCCTAAAAGCAAAGTAGTGACGGCAGTGTCCAAGTCGCTTCCCAGAATAAACTGCAAAAATATAAACGATCCCTTTGAACAATTCAACCTTTGACCGTTAATTTTGAGACTGAATATGAACCAAGTCGGTCAAATGCAAAATACTTTTGAGCCAGAGCAGGCCTATTTAAACTACTGTCCAAACACTAGGCCAGGCTAAAGGCTCTAGCTCATATGCAGTGTTTTTGAGAGAGTTTGTGCATTATAATCTTGCAGACGCTTAGCGCTGGATTCAAGTGTAGAGGGGCCGGATCCATGCATCTCCTATTCTGGCGGTGTTCCATGTTCCGACAGGTTACAACTCAAATGAAGCACTGATTTTGTCCATAAATGTGATCTTATCTTATAGATGCAGTCAGTGATTTTTTACAAACGCATTTTTTTAAACATTGTGGAAAAACGTCCCTAAACCCTAAAAGTAGTCAAGTTATTATGTGTTTTCAAATAGTGATGGAATTGACCAGATGTCTATAGTCTTCAAAAATTAATAAAAAATATTTTGGAGGGGGCCGATAAAATGCGTTTACCCCTGTTCACCCTCTTCCTGTTTCTCGCAAGTGCACCTGAGTTATCGGATTCGTTTTTTAAGATAGCTGAACAGAAATGCCAATTTCACATTTGCCACCCACTTTCCCTATTGTGACAAAGAAAATAAAATGCTGGAGATAACAAAATCGCTTACTGCATCTCTAAATGTGATCTTAAACGAGATATTATACTTGGTCTCAAATATTTGAGTGCTCGAAGTGGGAAATGATAATTAACTTCTTTAAATAACGTATCAAGGTCTAAGTACTTAGACCCAAACAAACTTAGATGCAAAACTGTTTTAATAAAGAGAAAAGGCAGAAAGCATGACATTACAGTCTGAGGATTTGTCAAAGCTTGTTAACAGAGCACTTGGACAGAAGGAGTGAGGGAAAGTGTTTGTAGAGGACTGACCAGAGAAGGCAGCCGGATGTTGGCCAGGCTGTGGATGAGGGCCCGGCTCAGGCCTGACAGCTCCAGGAACAGGGCCTCGTTTGTCTCCTCAATCTGCTTGTTCTCGTCCTCCATGTTCTTCAGGCTCATCTCCATGGATGAGATCTGTGTGCACACATGTGAGAGATGGACTGTGGTTCAATTCTCTCTCTTTGTGTGTGTGTGTGTGTGTGTGTGTGTTTGTGTATGCATGCGCATCTTTATGTGTGCATGTGTGGTCTGCATTAGCAGTAACACAGCGGTGGCAATAGTAGCCATAGCAGTAGCCGTAGCAGCAGTTTTGCAGCCATACCTGGGTGTGCAGGTTCACCATGTCGGCCTCCATCTCACAGTTGGACTCGTTGAGTTCAGTGATCTCTTTGTTCAGCTGCTTGATGTCCTCATCGTTGTCCAGCACTGAAACAAGCAGCTCTGTCAGACACAGACCTCAGAGAAATTCACTAAACACATATTTTAGTCATTTAAAACAACTGCAGATCTGAATTTGGTGAAACCCTAACCCTTGATTCTACTGAAATCTGTGGTGTTGTAGATATTTATGCACATTTCTTAAAGAAGCTAAAATGCTTATTACTACATACAAGTTGAATTATAATCCGTAATTTAATTGAAAACTTGAGCTCATTGATTTAGCTTGTGTATGAATTCAGGCCGTAAAAAAGTGCTGAGTAGGAACTAACAGGGAATTTCCACAGTAGGCGTTAACAGCGCGTACGCGTTGACTGCGCGCATCTGCACCTAACATTATTTGGGAGTATCTACACAGGCCTTGCGCGCAGGTCCGCAGCTTCTGATGCTTTCCCTGTGTAGTCTATGGAGCAGTGTAGAGGACAGTACGGGCCAGAGGACTGATGTAGAGCAACACAAACATCATGCATGTGTTTGTCTTCATGGGCTCTGTGCGCTGGTTTGGCCAGACCTGAGACTTTATAAAAGAAAAAAAAACGATGTCTAGAATCACTGTAAAACCTGCCAGTCCTCCTGTTGATGTTTAGATACAGTACAAGTGCTGTGTGTGTAGATGCGATCTAAAGCCAAGGGTCAAGTTTCACATGTGTTTTCAATGGGAGACGCGTTGTTGCACGCACAAACTTAGAAATCCATCCTAAATTAGGCGCAGCCTTGCGTCAATACGTCCGTCAGACGCACGTATAACACTAGTAGTGTAAATATCTCCATTGGTTAATATGTAAAAAATGTTACGCGCGTCTGCTGTGCGTATAACGCGTCCTGTGTAAATTAGCAGTTAGTGTGACACTCGTTCTCCTCCACTCACAGAACCAGCCTGAGTTCTCTAGCCTCTACAGAGCTGGTAAACACTAGGGCTTTGACTTTGAAATTCGAATATAATTCTAAAATTAATATATAATATATATATATATATATATATATATATATGAATATATATAATTCAAACAAATATTAGACAGCCCTTATAATTCGAAATGTATTTAATGACTGCAAATAAAATAGTTAGCTCCCAAAGGTTTCACGTTCTAAGCTAGCTAGATCAAAAACTCTCTGGAACTACATAAAAACTGAACAAAGAATTCTGAACATCAGCGGTGAGTGACCCATTTATATACTGAACCTAAATCCATCAGATCCTCTTCAAATGTGTCCTAAAATGTTTGTTTCATGTTAATGTTTACTTCCGGGTTTATCGTGATCGCTTTTTGTCACATTAAAATAGTATTTTTGTCATGAAAACGTTAACAACAAATTCTGAAAACTTCTGTGCATGTGTATTAAGGATTTATATGTATACTGTACTGTCTGATTAACATTTAATAGTGTTGATTGACTGACAGAAGTAGTTATTGACAGGCGCTGAAAGCTAGTACTTGCGGAGTAATGTTTTTACACACCTGAATTACAAACAGAGGTTGCGTTGCCAAAGGGCAGCGGTCATTATTGATTTGAGAGTTCTGTTATCAAGAAAAAATTATCGGTAGAACGTTTTGAAATTACATTCAAGTCAATGGAGTGTTCTACTGCTGCTGTGAGGAGCTGTATAATAAATTGTAATTCCATATTCTAATATATTCTAATGTTTAAATTAATACATTCGGATGCGAAACTAGCGGTATTCTTTTACTTATAAATTGTGTTAGCAGTGCATTGCATTTGTACCATTTCATCAGTGATTGTTGTACAGCTCACAAATCGTCACACTAATGTTGATGTTAGCATACATATCAGATCGCAAATTAAACTAGATGGCTCCGCGGGATGAGAGCGTAGGGGAAAAGAGAAGCGAGTTGGGGGGCGGTGCTAAACATTCAAACCTTGCAGAAACGGGTATTGCTCCTTTAACATTTTTGGACAGGGTCAAATCCCTTCCATGTGGACCAATGGCTCCTGTTTGCATTTCCTGTGTTCAAACAGTTTGATTCTCTGATGTGTTGACCACAACTTTGGGATTTTGGCTTGTGCAAAAATAAATGGGATTGAATTGTGGTTGTTTGCTCACCGTCACTGGCTCTGAACTTGGCCGTCATGAACTCATCTCCTGCCAGCTTGGCTCTCTTCTTATTGGCTGAGGCTCGAGGACATCCCGACAGACTGATGCACAAACACCAGAAATGTTACATCACATTCCACAGTTAATCAAAGAAATACATTTAATCAGAGACATAGAGCCAGGGAAGTAAGAAGGAACTATGTAGTGCTCATGACAAAACTCAGCCGAGGATTCTAGAAATGATGACAGATTAGAGCGGATGTGGGGAATGTGCCGGGATCGGATTCTTCCGAAAGAGTCAAAAAAATCTAATTTCTGTATAATTGCTATTGGTTAGGGCGTAGTTTTGCGTTAAAAAAAAATGTTTTGTGTCCCGACCAAAGCTGAAGCCAAACCTACACCACTCGCTTTTGGGGTTCTGTGTTCTTAAGTGAAATCCTTGAAGTAGCGGTGATATGTTTTAAGGCTACAAACCCCTTAGAACTCGCTCTGGTTGGTCTCGCAGCAGACTCCTCCTCAGTGTAAAGGTTTCAATACATTTGAATGCCGTCCTCTTCAGATTTCACTTTGAGGACACCGTTTGCAGTACGTTGTCATGTGTGGCAATAATAAACTCTTCAAATCAGTGGTTGTCACCGGCAGACAGAAGTCCGAGAGGCATAGCAGGATGGGCCAAATGCAGAGACCAACAAAGTGTACCTTAACCTTGACGCTCACATTCAGGAGAACATTCGGTACCTGCGGTGCGTGAGGAAGCTGCCATTGGCATGTCCCGAGCCGTCACAGCCCGGAGTGGGGCAGGTGGGCCCCTCGCTCTTAAAGGCCTTCCAGGAGAAAGGCATTCCGTTCAGCATTCCCTCCTTCTGCCTGCGAGCGGCCAGCGGGCAGCCGTACGCACTGCGGTGGGTCGCATACTTCCCACTGATGTGACCCATGCTGTCACAGCCGGGCACGGGGCACCTGTGGAGACCAGAGTCATGGCTTTGGTCAGTAAGTAAGATCATGTAACCCATGAGGGAGGGATGTGGTGGTAGATCATGTGACTGTGAGGGTGGGAAGTGGTGACCCTGGGTAGGTGCTATGTACCATCATACACGTGAAATAACAACAAATATTACTGTAACCGGGTCCTGTCCTTATATGTGTTCATAGTAGCACTTTACATGTAGATAGTGTGCAAAGTGCTCCCCTTTACTATACATAATATGTAGCACTTACAATTTATAGTCAGGTACTGAAGACTGTTGGCAGTGGCACTTATGGTGTAAGTGCATTTTAGGATCCTTTGTATTGTCATTTTCATTGAGAATGTTCTAATGTGTTTTGACACTTTACAGGGTTGGTCTGTGGGACCATCGTCCTGAGTCAATAGCACTTCGGAGACATGCGTGTGTGTCTTACGTGCTGATCACATGGACATTTCAACGACTCTGTGACTGTGACAGATGAAGCCTTTTGGGGGGGGGGGCTTACCTGATGAGCTCAGAGTCCTCCTTCTCGTCCCGGGTCGGGGTTGACTTGATGCCTCCTTTCTTGGCCCGTGGGCACCCTGACAGGCTGCGGACAGAACATGAGATAAGACGTGAGATTATAGTCTGCAGCTGTTCCCCCCAACACCAACACAGAAGTGTGTCGGTGCGAACAGTGAGGACTGTGTTTTTAAAGTGATGTCAGGAGCACAGAGCTTCTGTTGTCAAACACATAGAGCGTAGGAAGCACCCTGAGGCAGAGCTACTGAACAGAGCGTACCTTCGATGGGAGGCGTAGTTCCCTGTGATGTGTCCGGATCCGTCACAGCCGGGCGTGGGGCACCTGCACACACGTGCACACACAATCGTGCACTGTTAGCCTAACAGAGCACCGCTGGACTGTTCAGAGCGGAGAAACAGAGGAGTCAGAAAAGTTCCAAAAGACAACGTACTTCAGCTCGACCGTGTGCGCCGCCATGAGGGTCCGCAGGGACTTATCAGCCAGAGGACACCCAGAAAGACTGAGGCATGGAGAGGAGAGCAGAGACGAGAGAGGAGAGCAGAGAGGAAAAAGGAGAGAGACGGAGAAGAGAAGAGAGCAAAGCGTTAGTGATAGTCACAAGTGGAAAGTATATTATCACGCCGAACATAATAACTAACATGAGTCAGCGACACATTAGCCCTTTACAAGCGCACAAGGGCAGGAGACTGTGGGCTTCCAGAACTTCTCCGACTCCGTGCTGTACACACAGTCGAGTCGGGATTACAGCAGGATTTCATGTTTGAACGCAGCAGGGTTATCTCCAGAGCAGGTGGGGGAGGGGGATGTGGAGACATCGAACATAGAGAAGCTTTTCTACATCATGCAGTAGCATAAACACTGATGTTCTCAGCACGTGTTTAAAACCTTATGTAAATAAGAACAAGTGAAAGAAAAACACATGGAGAGCGTCTGCATCAGAGCGTCTGCATCATCTTAGTTGGAATCAACACTCTGAAAACCTCCTCTCTGGATCGGAGAAGCATGGGGCTGTGCACAAACAGCACCAGGAGTTGACAAAAAACATCTGGTTAAACTTATTGGGAAACAAAACATTAAAATATTCTGAGGTAAATTGCATTTGCATATATCTCAGATTGTATAAGCGTTTTCATTCTCCGGCTATAATCAGGAAAACCTGATGTTGTTACCAGTCAGTTATATGTGGACTAAAACTGAAGACCATCAGCTACATTTGCTTCGATTGAAACAGAATGTTTTATGAACAGAAGGAAAAGAAAGGGCTGAAAAATGACAAAGAAGAAAAAAGGAGGGATTTTGGTTCACCTGACACATTCATTAGAAAATGTGTCGGAATGTGTCTATAAACTGTATTTTCTTACCTTCGGTGTGACGCGTAGTTTCCAGTGATGTGTCCGCTGCCATCACAGCCCGGTGTGGGACATCTGCACACACACACACACACACACACACACACACACTTAGACTCAGACTGAGAGAGGCCTGCATGTATACTGAGACAGAGAGGTCTGTATGTATACTGAGACAGAGAGGCCTGCATGTATACTGAGACAGAGAGGCCTGCATGTATACTGAGACAAGAGAGGCCTGCATGTATACTGAGACAAGAGAGGCCTGCATGTATACTGAGACAGAGAGGCCTGCATGTATACTGAGACAGAGAGGCCTGCATGTATACTGAGACAGAGAGGCCTGCATGTATACTGAGACAGAGAGGCCTGCATGTATACTGAGACAGAGAGGCCTGCATGTATACTGAGACAAGAGAGGCCTGCATGTATACTGAGACAAGAGAGGCCTGCATGTATACTGAGACAGAGAGGTCTGCATGTATACTGAGACAAGAGAGGCCTGCATGTATACTGAGACAGAGAGGTCTGCATGTATACTGAGACAAGAGAGGCCTGCATGTATACTGAGACAGAGAGGTCTGCATGTATACTGAGACAAGAGAGGCCTGCATGTATACTGAGACAGAGAGGTCTGCATGTATACTGAGACAAGAGAGGCCTGCATGTATACTGAGACAGAGAGGTCTGCATGTATACTGAGACAGAGAGGCCTGCATGTATACTGAGACAGAGAGGCCTGCATGTATACTGAGACAGAGAGGCCTGCATGTATACTGAGACAGAGAGGCCTGCATGTATACTGAGACAAGAGAGGCCTGCATGTATACTGAGACAAGAGAGGCCTGCATGTATACTGAGACAGAGAGGTCTGCATGTATACTGAGACAAGAGAGGCCTGCATGTATACTGAGACAGAGAGGTCTGCATGTATACTGAGACAGAGAGGTCTGCATGTATACTGAGACAAGAGAGGCCTGCATGTATACTGAGACAGAGAGGTCTGCATGTATACTGAGACAGAGAGGTCTGCATGTATACTGAGACAGAGAGGCCTGAATGTATACTGAGACAGAGAGGCCTGCATGTATACTGAGACAGAGAGGCCTGCATGTATACTGAGACAAGAGAACAAGAGACAATGTATACTGAGTACAGCAACAACACTCACACCAGTGTCTCCTTGCGACTCTCCTTGTTCTGAAGTTTGATCTTGAAGCAGCTGCTGGTCACCTCGCCTGGATACCTCCTGTCCTCCAGTGCGTCCTGGTCCTCCTCATCAGCCTCGGAGGAGCTGTAGGAGCGCACCACATACTCGTCCTGACACAGAGGGGAGGGGAGAGAGGGAGAGGGTTGTTGCATATTGACTATGGGAGAAACATGATGCAAGAACAGGGCAGACATCCCCCGGGTGGGCATCCCATGTCCTGAAACCCAGTAGCTGTAGAATGTGTGTTGGGGCTCACCTCGTAGCAGACCTCCTCGCTCCCCTCCTCCTCTTCCTCCTCTTCTTTCATAGGACCTGCTGTGGTGGTGCAGTCCAGCGGCTCAGACCAGTCCTGCTCCGTGGCGGGGGGATGCGGGGATGGCGGGACGGAGGAGGGGACGTAGGGGCTCTCTGGGACGGCCTGCTCCTCTTTCTTCCTTTTCATGCTCAAGTCTAGCGTTCCATTCTCGTCAACTTCTATGTCGGTGTCCTGAGAGTTGATCAGAAATATGTAGCTGTCAGGCTTTACAACGAACACAGCTGAATTGGCATGTGTCATTCAACTGTCAGACTGTACAACGATCACAAGCGCCGTACCTTGGCGTTGGGGGAGGATGGCTGGGGAGGGGGCTGAGGCTGGAGAGGGGGTGGCTGCCCACTCTCCCAGCAGCGCGTGGACAGGTTGAGGATGGCGGTGGCTGCCATGTGGGCGGCCTCTGCGTCCTGACTGTAGTCGTACTCAGAGGCGGGGTTACTGGCAGACGTGTACCCGCCTGTAGAGGGGATGACCGCAGAGGTGTACCCGACAGAGGCTGGAGTCCCTGCTGAGGTGTACCCCACAGACGAGGGGCTGACCACTGTGGTGTACCCGCCTGTAGCAGAGGGGCTGGGAGACGGAGGCTTAGGGAACACTTTACCTGTGGGATAAACAACACAGTCAAGCAACCTTGTGAAAACAGCTCTTCTATCAGCCTTCCGTCAGTCGTGTCCAGTTAAAACAGCTCTTCTATCTGCTTTCTATCAGACGGGCATGCAGTGTGGCACTTACTCTTAAAGGCTTTGGGGGGGCTGTCTATGCTGAGGCCGGGGGGTTTTGGGATGAGGGTCCTCTTGCCGAACACTTGGACGTCAAAACTTGCATAGTCGAAGGAGACCTTGGAGTACTTCTCCAGCTCCTTGGCCAGGTTGGCTCTGGGTGTGGTGGTCGCAGTGCTGGGCCGGTAGCTGCCGAACTGAGGGATCTCCAGCTGCTTTACAAAACACATGGGCCTGAAACACACAGAGTGAGGTTGGAGGTTGGTCCCTGTTACTACAGCAACCACTGCCCCTGACAGAGGCCCGAGCAGCACTGAAGGCTGGGTCAAATGCAGTGGACACTATTTGGGAACAAAATAAAGTAAAAAAATAAAGTATAACAGAGTGGGCCATTGCTGTGTCTTTCTTTTGACATTTAAAACTGAAACGTTATGTACACAGACACCTCTACATTTCTGGGATGACCACAACACTACAGTACATTTGACAGGTCTCTGTCCCATAGATATTCAAGCAGTGGACAGATGTAAGGGCAGGTCCAGACCTGAGCACACGGTCAGAGTTGGCCAGGTCGCTGGAGGAGGCCACAGGCTTGTTGTCCAGGCTCACAGTGCGGTTGAGTTTCTTGGCCGCAGCGATGGGGCAACCGGACAGACTGGAACACAAAACACTTCAGACACACGTGGCTGAGTGAGGAAGACTGTGGCTGTGTGAGGAAGACTCTGAGAAGGTGAAGCTAACAGGCCCCTGGTCGGCCCTCATCTTGGGCCATGTTTGTTTAGGACAAAGTGTGTGTACTTGTGCAGAGGACCCGGGAGGGGCCTGAAAAAGTATCTAAGTAAGTCTTTGTAATTTCTGCATAAATGTGATCTGATCTTTTTCAAAATCACGCATATGAACGCTGTCTGCTTTCACTAAAACACCCAAAGATTTAAGATTTAGGTTGTCAAATTTGTAATGAGGATTATGTGCAAACAATATATTGTGCATGACATTGCCTGCTGTGCACCTTGCCTCTCTCAGAAGAGCTCTCTGAAGACCTGTGATCAATGATTGTTGATATGTATTAAGCTATGAAAGGTTCCAGAACCATCCCTAAAAGTCTGGATGTTCATCCATCCACAGTTAGAGAAGTTGTCGACAATTGGGAGTTTCAGTGTATCTTCTTTCCCAAGGAGTGGCTGTCGACTTCCACCTTCTCTTGGAAGTGACACTGTGATTTTAACCATATTTGGTTTTACTCTAACCAAATATGTGCGCCTCGATGGAGCATGTAGGCAGCTTGTGTCTCTCACAGTTTTCCCAGTGTTTACTAAAGATTTACAGAAATCACTGGCACAGTCCAATGTCTCTGTCCACACATCGTAAAACACTGGCCCAGAATGATGCTCATGGGAGGACTGCTTGGAGGAATCCACTAATAAGGAGAAATAATAATCTACGTTTAATGTTCACCAAGGCACTCGGACATGTTTAGTGACTGATGAAACCAAAGAAGAACTATTTGGAGGTGCACACAATGGACAATGTATGGAGGAGAAATTTAACACCTCCCCAACATCAAAACCTCATCCCACTGTGAGGCATGGGGAAGGGAGCATCATGCTTTCGGGCTTTGTCTCTGCCAGGGCCTGGTCAATAAGCATTATTGGAAACGTGAATTCAAAAGTTCATCAGGAAAACTGTTGGTGACCTGTCAGACAGTTGGAGCTACAGAGGATGGAGGCTGTACCAGGACACTGACACAAAACACACAGTCAAAGCCCTGACTTGCACCTCATTAAGATTCAAACTGGATCCTGGTGGATGTGCCCAACTGATCTGCAACTACAGGAAGTGTCTGGTTGAAGTTGTTGCGGGCAAAGGGGCAGGCTGATAGTTCAGTTACTTCATCACACCCCCCACCATCAACCACATCACCCCTGTCCTCTAACAGCTACACTGGCCCCCATCACTCACAGCATCAAATACAAAATCCTGCTCCTCACATTCAAAGCCGTCCACAACCTCGCACCTCCATACCTGACTGACCTCCTCCAGATCTGCACACTTGCCCATTCCCCCCGCTCCTGCTCCTCTCTCCAGCTCCTGGTCCCTCCTGGAGGCTGAAGGCTCTGCTCCCAGCTCTCCCCCCTATGTTATTATTATTATTATTATCATAAATGTTAAGCAAGTGTTTTTAGTTAAAGAAGACACTGTTTTTTGAAAAAAAATAAAAAATAATAATAATAATAAAACAGATCACATTTGTTGGCCATTTTATGCAGAAATGCGAGCAATTGCAAAAGCTTCAGATACTTTTTCAGGCCCCTTTGTCTTTAACCCACTTGGAACATCTTACAATAAATTAAACAGAAAAAGTTTACTTTGGGAAATAAAAATCTCTCTTCCACCTCTAACCTACAAATGGATGGATCCTTTGTAATGTTTAAAGAATCTAAATAATTTCTCATCATTGTTTTGGCAAGATCAAAAAGAGTTAAAGAAGTCATAACGTGTTTCTGGCTGCTGTAGAGTTATTATCGATCACAGAACTTCAATACTGATGTAAAATAGCTCTTCTATCAGATGTCCTTCAGTTGTGCCCAATTACACAACTCCTCTATCTGCTCTCAGTAATGTCCAGTAAAAACAGCTCTTCTATCTGCATCCCTTCAGTCGTTTGAGGGACCAGGAGCTGAAGTTTAACAACAATCAAACACATTGTAAAAGATACTGCACAAGCTGCTTCAAAGGCTTTAAAGAGCTGGGCCTCAATTTCGCACGTTCTGTCCCCTTTAAATTACGCCTAAGATTTAGATGAAAATAAGACAGTTAGTTAAGTTAATTTTAGGGTTAGATAATCAGTACTACTGGTGAAAGTTAGGAAGTCAGGTGAGGTGTGTGCGTTTGTTGTGTTCAGCGAGTGAGGTTAACCTGCGGTGAGTATTGCGGTTACTGTTGACATGTCCCTGTCCTGTGCATCCAGGGGTGGGACACTTCAGGACGTTTTCATGCATGGCCAGAACTGAAGAAGAGCCAGCACACAGAGCTGTTAGTGTTAGTATTGGGTGTTAAAAAGAGGTCGACAGTAGGAAGAAAGATGACCGAGCGGTGACGTAATCATTACTCACTCTCTGGGGGGATCCTGTCTTTGTGCGGACACCCCGACAAGCTCCGGTGGTGCGGGTACAGGCCTGTCACATGACCTGTCCCGTCACAACCCGGCGTCGGACACTTCACTTCTTTCTTATCTAAGACATAATCAGAGCATCAGCAAACAAGTCTTCATAATGATAGTTTAGGGTCAGGGCTGACGTTCTTCTTTATAAACCATGAGTGAACACTTTTTATATCTTATAGTTATGTTGGAAGCATTCAATATCAGAGAGCTTAATGTGTGGGATATGGTGAGTAACAAACCTCTGCTGCTGTGGGGGATCCGCCGGGGCCCCTGGGGGACAGTGATGCCGCCATGTCCCTGTGCTCCCTTCACCTCCTCAGCCTTCAGAGCGATGGCTTGCTCCAGTAGCAGCAGGTTTCCTCGGGCCATGTCCCAGTCGTCTGAGTCATCTGTGACCCCTGAACCATCGCTGCCCCCTGAGCCCTCGGTGATCCCGGAGCCCTCTGTGGCCCCTGAGCCCTCAGAGCCCACATCCTCATCGTCTGAGCGCACCTCGATGACCACAGTGGCTGGGGAGCTCTTGTTGGAGTCGCGCAGCAGGTCCGGGCCCTCGTCCTGCTCATGCTGCTGGAGATGTGGAGAGAGCTTCTTCCTGAGGAGCACCTCTGTGTGGGAGTCCTGGCTGCACATGCTGAGGGAGGTGGGGCTGTCCTGATAGAAGGCCTCCTCATCCTCTTCGTCCTCTTTGTGCCTCATGCTACTGTCTTTAGGGCCATAGTCTCCACTGGAGTACTGATGGTCCAGAGGAGTGCACTGCACCTGATGCTGAACCTCCTTCCACTGCTGGGGTTCCTCCTCTGTGTCTTCAGAACACTGGCCCTCAGAGGGGGTCTTCAGCTGAGGCACATCTGCTCTTGGCACAGAGAGCTCCTCTTCATAGTGATCTTCTGGAGCTGCTGGAACAGCCTCTAGGGACACAGCCTCTTCAGGTCCCACGGTGACGTCCTGTGACTCGGATGCTTCTAATTCCTTAGCCTGCTCCAGTTGCACCGCGACCTCTACAGACTCGGCTTCTACGGACTCTACTCCAACCTCTTCTTCTTCGGGCTCCACTGGTACCTCGGGTTCTTCAGCTTCAATTGTTACCTCTGGAGACACTGCAGTGGTCAGATTCCCTGGTTCGTCTGCTGTGTTTGGTTCTTCTGGTTCCTGAGAGGTCTGTGGGGCCTCTGGTTCCTGAGAGGTCTGTGGTGCCTCTGGTTCCTGAGAGGTCTGTGGGGCCTCTGGTTCCTGAGAGGTCTGTGGGTCCTCTAGTTCCTGAGAGGTCTGTGGGGCCTCTGGTTCCTGAGAGGTCAGTGGGGCCTCTGGTTCCTGAGAGGTTGGTGGTGCCTCTGGTTCCTGAGAGGTCTGTAGTACCTCTGGTTCCTGAGAAATCTCTGGAGAGACTGGAGAGACAGGTTCCTCAGGTTCCTCGGGTGCTTCTGCTCGCTCTAATGTCTTTGAAGCTTTTGATGATTCTGGTGGCTCCGGAATATCTGTAACGATTCAATGAATAAGACATTATGCACAAAGTATAAAGTGACTTTCACTCCAATGTGACATCAGTGTCAGAGGATCAGCCATCAGCTGCTTTACATCCTACACATCTGACAAATGCCACAGGGATCCATTCTGGGTCTCATTTAGTTCCTACACACAATACGCTGCCCTCAGGAACATTATTAGAAAGTTTCTGCTTCACAGCTAACACACAGCTTTATCCGATAAACTTAATCAGTCTTATCAGACACAATTGTGGAGTGTTCTATTAGCAGTGTTATCAGTGTTAGCAGTGTTAGCGATGTAGAGCTGCTGGTCCGGCCTCACACGGTACTTAAGACAATGTTCTCAATGGAAAAAATATAAATGGTTGAGGTCGATTCAAATACATTTAAAATTAGACTTCTGATGGAACAGATCATCTTCAATAGGACTCACTTTGAGTGTCCGCTCCAGGCTCCGCCCCCTTCACCTGTGGGCTCTTCTTCTTTGGAGTGGATTGGTCCTCTTCCTCATCCAGCTTCCTCTTCTTCACAAGAGGGCAGCCCAGCACACTGAGGCGCACACACAAACAAGAGCAGGACATTTGATCGATAGAACAGATGACTCTGACGTTCAAAGAATGCTCACACCAAGATCACGTTTATCCAATTGTACTTTAACTGTATTCTATGTTTACACATAATAATAATGCATCGGTTTTATATAGCGCTTTTTTGGACACTCAAAGACGCTTCACATGTGTCATTATTCATTCACTCCATACACGGTGGTGATAAACTACTAATGTAGCCACAGCTGCCCTGGGGCACACTGACAGAAGCGAGGCAACCAGTATGTGCCATCGGCCCCTCCGACCACCACCAACCATTCACACACACACCAGACTCATTCTAGGCAATGGGGGTGAAGTGTCTTGCCTAAGGACACAACGGCAGTTTGGCACTTTACAGCCGCAGCCGCCCCACTGTGGCTGGTGTTCCCAGAGGTTAAGTGTCTTGCCAAGGACACAACGACAGTAGTCAGTGGGAGTCGATGGTGAAAGTCTTGAGCGGGGCTTGAACCCACGACCTTCTGGCTCAAAGGCCAACGCTCTACCAACTGAGCTACTGCCGCCCTACACATCTTATTGAAGCCCATGAACTCTAGTGAAATGAGTAAAGATCATATTCTGGGTTAGGGTTAGGGTTAGGTAAGTTACTTCCTTATTAGACATGGGCTGCACTGCACAAAACACAGATGAGGAGGGAGTCATCTTTTGGAACTGTAGCCCTACAGAAATCCATCCATGTTTGCTTTATTCAGTTAAGGCAGAGATGCTCGGACTTCACATGCACTTTCTGCAGCTCATCAAGGTGATACAGAGGTGTTTTCAGATCATGTCCCCTGGTCTCCTCCCCTTGGGACATGCCCTGAGTACCTCCCCAGATCAGGAGTCTAGGAGGCATCCCAAAGAGATGCCCGAGCCACCTCAACTGGTTCATCTCTACACGGAGAAGCAGCAGCTCTACTTTAGACTTAGATAAACTTTATTGATCCAAAAGGGAAATTACATTTTCACAGTAGCTTGCATAGTGTTTCATAATAAAAGATAAAAAATAACGTAACAGTTTTTCTCAGTCGCTTTGGTGCATTTCTCAGATCAGACTTAAAGTTCTCAAAACTATTAGTTTAACCTCCACAACAGTGAGTCATGTGTGACATCATCGCAGCAGTTTCTCCTTTGAACAGATTACAAATGCTTTTGTTCATGTATCAGTGACTTTCATACAATTCTCTGCTGTTTTATATCATTATCATTTGCTTCTGTCCTGTCAGTCAAAATGAAACATACTTATCACTTCTGATCAGTCTTTCACTATAAAACCAATAGTCCTCATTTCATCAAAACTAGTTCAAAATCAGAATCAATATTTGTCAGGCTAATTTCATACATTCCTGGATTATTTTTTCCTGTAAATCTCTCTCTAAATTGAACAATTGTTCTCAGGTGAATTTCAGCTTCACTCAGGAGGAGGTGAGTGTTTTATTGTTTACATTTGTCACAGTTCTTCCATAATGCTCTTTCTTGGATGTTTGTTCTACGTAAAGACATGTATGTGACTGTATTTTTGTTGCACAATGCTGTAGAAATACAAAGAGCCTGCAGTAAATATGTGAAACACATGCAGTACACATACATACATACATACACATACACACATACATACAGTACACATACATACATACATACATACACATACACACATACATACAGTACACATAGATACATACATACATACAGTACACACACATACATACATACAGTACACACACACACATACATACAGTACACACACATACATACATACAGTACACATACACACATACATACAGTACACACACATACATACATACAGTACACATACACACATACATACAGTACACACACATACATACATACATACACATACACACATACATACAGTACACACACATACATACATACAGTACACATACACACATACATACAGTACACACACATACATACATACAGTACACATACACACATACATACAGTACACATACACACATACATACAGTACACATACATACATACATACACATACACACATACATACAGTACACATACATACATACATACATACATACATACACATACACACATACATACAGTACACATACATACATACATACATACAGTACACACACATACATACATACAGTACACATACATACATACATACATACATGCAGTACACATACACATACATACAGTACACATACACACATACATACATACAGTACACATACACATACATACAGTACACATACACACATACATACATACATACAGTACACACATACATACATACATACAGTACACATACATACATACATACATACATACAGTACACATACACATACATACAGTACACATACATACATACATACAGTACACATACATACATACAGTACACATACATACATACAGTACACATACACACATACATACATACAGTACACATACTCACACATACATACATACAGTACACACACATACATACATACAGTACACATACATAAATGAAATACAGTACACATACACATACATACAGTACACATACACACATACATACATACAGTACACATACACATACATACAGTACACATACACACATACATACATACAGTACACATACATACATACATACAGTACACATACACATACATACAGTACACATACACACATACATACATACAGTACACACACATACATACATACAGTCCACATACACACATACATACATACATACATACAGTACATACAGTACACATACACACATACATACAGTACACATACACACATACATACAGTACACATACACACATACATACAGTACACATACACACATAGATACAATACACATACACACATACAGTACATATAGAGGTCGTGTATAGTGTGTTTAAATGTCACCAAGATCTGACATTTTTGAAAACACAAAGAGAGTAAAGTGTCACAATGAAAACATGACTAAGTCATGTGACTGTTGTTCATACTCAATTTTGATAGGACATATTATTTTGATGACACAGTTTCATTGACGTGAAGACTTGCTTTTGAGGAATTCACTTTTCATTTTGTGAAAGTGACGCACTTTTGCAGGTTATCCACCCGGTTCTGCAGTTTGCACTAATTGTTCTGAAAAATGCACTAACTGTTGTGCAAATGTGAAGAATGATGAGAGAAATGCACCAAAGCCACTGAGAAAGACTGTAAGGTAACAATCTAAAAGTAAGATTATAAGATAATAATAAGATAATATTTGTGAGAATAGAATAATCTGGATAGAAGAACTCAGGAATATACATATTTGTGAATATGTACACATTTACAGTATAAAACACAGAGAAATAGGATGGTACACATCTGTTAATATACAATATATACAAGGACAAAGCATATTATCAGTCACAGAGCAGTGACGTGTTGAATAGAGCTCCTCCCGTGTGACTGAGCTCCACACCTAATCTCTAAGGCAACAGCGGCTCTACTCTGAGCTCCTCCCATGTACCTGAACTCAACCTTTAGGTCATTACCCTAAGCTCATGACCAGAGGTGAGCGAAGGGACGTAGAGCTCTGACTACAGATGCTGCTCCTGTGTAGACTAGTGACTAGTGATGTAGACTGACCTTCGGTGACGAGAGTATCGACCGCTGACGTGGCCTTTCCCGTCGCATCCTGGGGTGGGACAGCTGCTGCTGAGGACAGCAAAGTGTGAGACAACAGGGGACAGGGAATATAGGAGAGAGAGAGAGGTCTGAGGAGAGAGGACAAGAGAGAGAGGAAAGGGGACAGTGGACAGAGGAAACAGATTGTAACAGACCTGTCCTGTTTGAGCTCCGTGGCCCCAGGGTCAGTGCTGCCTACAGGGGCTGAAATGGAGACACACATCACAAATTAAAAAAGAAATGTACAGCCTCAGTCCTAATTAAACAGTGTCAGTCCTGGATCTACAGCCTCAGTCCTGGATCTACAGCATCAGTCCTGGATCTACAGCATCAGTCCTGGATCTACAGCATCAGTCCTGGTTCTACAGCATCAGTCCTGGATCTACAGCATCAGTCCTGGATCTACAGCATCAGTCCTGGATCTACAGCATCAGTCCTGGTTCTACAGCATCAGTCCTGGATCTACAGCCTCAGTCCTGGATCTACAGAATCAGTCCTGGATCTACAGCATCAGTCCTGGATCTACAGCATCAGTCCTGGATCTACAGCATCAGTCCTGGATCTACAGCCTCAGTCCTGGATCTACAGCCTCAGTCCTGGATCTACAGCATCAGTCCTGGGTCTACAGCCTCAGTCCTGGATCTACAGCATCAGTCCTGGATCTACAGCATCAGTCCTGGATCTACAGCATCAGTCCTGGATCTACAGCATCAGTCCTGGATCTACAGCATCAGTCCTGGATCTACAGCATCAGTCCTGTGGTTCCTGTGTTTGAATCCTCCTGTGTGTGAAGTGTTTGATTCTCTGATCTATGTTGGCAAATCAACAACTGTTATGCGACATAACAACTGTTTGATTCTCTGAACAGTTTTGGTGAATCCACAACTTAGTAAAGTCCTCAGAGATGAAAACTGTTGTGATTTTGAGCGAGACACAAATGCATTGATTTGAAATGAATTGAACTGATTCTACTTCAAATAAGGGCGACAGTAGCTCAGTTGGTAAAGCATTGATCTCTGAACCCAATGGTTGTGGGTTCGATTCTACCACAACCCATGTTATCTGCTCCCAATGATGTCTGCTGTCATTGTGTCCCTGCACTGAAAAAAATCATGTTTAACATTTACTTAAAAAAATCCTCGTAAGAATTTGCACAAAGATATATTAATTATTAAAGATAACTACTATATATCAAGCAAAAATCTTTTTCTTTTATCAAGTAAAACCTTACAAATGGTATTTTTACACTTGATTACACAAGAGAATCAGGTAAGGTTTGTGTGATTTTTTTAAGTATTAGTATGTGTGTAATAGAAATATTGAGTAACAGATCATTTACAATAACGGATAACTAGAATAAATGTTTATATTTTATCAGTATATTTGATCTCATAGCAGTAACACTAAAACAGGTAGACGTAATAGGTTATTTTGTGGAAGTTTTGATTCTTTTAGCTCAAAGACGAAAAGGCAACACTGCTTAGTACTCTATTAGAACTCAGACAACACCAAGTTCGATCAGCAAGCGCCAAAACTTCAAATGTAACACTTTAACTTGACAAGTAGAAGATCCAGGAAGTATAGGGATACTTTGGCTTGGCCCTGTCGATTATGGTTGGTAAAAAAATATTTAAAATTATTTATTGTGCCAAATTAGTTTATTCAAAATGTTGCTCACATATTTTGCTTTAGGACTTGCTTCATATTCACTCTCAAAACTAATGCTCAAATTTAGACTTTTTCAGAAGTTTATATTTTTCTCTGCAATGCATTCTGGGTAGTGTCACTACTTTGCCCAATACATTGTGTTTTCAATCAAAACTACTTGATTTTTTCAGGTGTTGGTGCTATCACAATAAAGCATGTAAATGGTATGAGCAAATCTGTAATAAGATGTGCTCTTCCCACTCCATTCATTGATGTGCTGTAGAGCTGCAACTAACGATTATTTTGTAATCGATTAATCTATCGATTATTTTTACGATTAATCGAGTAATCGCTTGGCTGTGAAATGTGTAGAAAAAAATGATTTTTTCATCACAAAAAGCTAAAGTGGCAACACTCGAGGACGTATTGATGGCGTAAACTTAAAGTAAATGTTTGTAACAGGCTGTGCTAATTCTGCTCTGATTGGATGAGACAGACAGATATTCATGAAATTATAAAAACAAAGTCGGTTTTAATCAAAAAATACTACATTTTCATGTCATTTTTGCTCTTTTTGAGTCCGTGTGAACCAGAAAACAATAAATCGATTACTAAAATAGTTTTCGACTATTTCAATAATCGATTAGTCGTTGATTAATCGATTAGTTGTTTCAGCCCTAATGTGCTGATTCAAACAGGAGCTTCAATTTTTTAAATCCCTTTTACTCGCGTCTTTACAATTCTATAATTGAAGTAACTGTTACAGTTACTATTCAATACCCCCTTTTTAAATGATTAAACACTTAAACCCGCTTTGCCTGAAACTCCCGCTGGAACACCAAGGCCATATCTGCATTGAAAGAGCAGCCATCTTCCTAAGGACCCACCACCTGTAGGAGGATCAGCAAGGGACTGGTGCTTTGTGAATTGGGTGGCAACTCTGATTACCACTGCCCTGACCCAAAAATTGATTAATAAAGGGATGAAAAACTGTAATGTATTCAATTGAATTGAATTGATAAAAATGGGAGACTTCTAGTCTAAGGATTTGAAACTTTAAAAGTTTGAAAAGGGAGCACTTGGGAAGAAGGAGTGAGGGGACACTTCAATGTGTGGCAGAAGTTCTTGACAAACAGCAGGTCTGTGACTGATGAGAGAGGGCTATGACTTACCGCGCATGGCTTTGGAGCGAGTGCGTGTCCCTGTGGTGTCCTGGCTCATCTGGGAAAGAGACACAGACACAGTCAAGCAGGACTAGGACAGGTCTAAAGCTGGACTAAAGCAGGACTAAAACTAAACTATCACAGGACAAAAGCAGGTCTAGAACTCGACTCTCACATGACCAAAGCATTTCTAAAGCAGAACTAAAGCAGGTCTAAAGCAGATCTAAAGAAGATCTAAAGCAGGTCTATAGGGTATAACTAAAGCAGGACTAAAGCAGGCGTAAAACCAGTCTAAAGCATGACTAAAATAGGTCTAAAGCAGACCAACACACAGGACTAAAGCAGTCTTGCACTAGTTTAACTGGTCCAGAACTAGACTCTCACTATTGAAGCAGTTCTAAAGCAGTTCTAAAGCAGGTCTAAAGCAGATCTAAAGCAGATCCAAAGCAGGACTAAAGCAGGCGTAAAACAAGTCTAAAGAAGGACTAAAGTAGGTCTAAAACAGGACGTAAGTCTAAAGCAGACCAACACACAGGACTAATGCAGGTCTAAAGAAGGACTAAAGCAAGTCTAAAGCAAAAGCAGGAGTAGAGCCGAGCTAAAGACTAAGACTGTACTAAATCAGAACTAAAACAGGGTAAAAAAAAAAAACACAGCTTAAACAGGGCTAAAAGAGGACCTCAGCAGGACTAGAGGCGCTCTAGTATTTCAGACGCGGCTCTTGGCAGGCACACATTGATGTTGTGTGAAGTGCAGTGTACAGTGGGTGAGGGGGGAGGGGCGCTGTACCTCGAAGCCTGGCCTTGTCCTGGTCCCCGTTAGAAGCCGGTGCACAGTCCTCGTCCCCGTTAGAAGCCGATGTCGTGCGGTGGCTCATTCCCTGTGGACACAAATCCGTCAAACGCTGCGATGTACACCGAATATCACGCACCGGGGAACGGACCGGGCGCTGCTCCCTTCCCGTGTTTACATGGTGCGGTGTCAGAACCCGGAGAAAGCTGCTCCAGTTCCACGGCTGAAGGATGAGGGATGGATGTGGCGGTTTATTATGTGCGCGCATGTATTATTGAGGCGAAGGAGTACTGAAGCAGGCCGACACACACACAATACACACACACACACACACACACATTGCGCTGATCCCCGCGGCCCACACAGGCTCTTTGTTGGCCGCTCAGCATAGTTCTTACCCGGGTGTGTCTGCCCTCTGGCCGCCCCTTGGTGCTCCTCGGTGCTTCTCGGTGCTTCTCTCCCCGAGCAGAGGCAATGTTTTTCGGGTGCGTGGAGATCTCAGCGCACTCGGCCCAGCTCCGGGACACTTCAGCACCATGGACAGAACCCACTGCTACAGCGCTCCCAGTGGCACCGGCCAGAATCGCATCACGGGGACGGGACCAATGAGCGAGGGGCTACGTGAGGAAGGGGGAGGAGCAGTCAGACCATGAGACTCTACTGCACAATGTTTACGTCTTTGGGAGTCGGGACCACGGACCTTTTGGGGTCGGGATCAGTGGTAAACATGAATCACCATTAAAAGCACAATTAAAATCATGCAGGTAATGTAAAACATTAAAACACTAAAATCACACAAGGGACTAAAATAAATAACTACAGGGCATTAAAAAGAGTAGACATAAAATCCTTCAGTTGTATGGACAGGCAAAAAGAACCGTCTTTGACCTGGATTTGTATATCGCCAGAGAGGAAACCAGTCTCACATCCTCAGGAAGACTGTTCCAGACCTCAGCTGCATAAATCTGAAACGCTGCCTCCCCATGCCTCTGGGCACCAGCGGAAGGCTAGTCCCTGTGCTCTTCAGAGTCCGGGCCGGTTCATATGGCACCAACATAACATGTCACGGATGTACTTCGGTGCGAGGCCATGGACAGACTTGTGACAAACAGAGCTTCTTTAAAGTCTTTTCTCTGAGTCACAGGAAGCCAGTGCAGAGACCTGAGGACGCAACCATCATTGGTCTCATCAGTGATGATGACAAGTGTGACTGTGGCCCTACACTGTGACTGTGGCCCTACACTGTGTCTGTGGCCCCACACTGTGACTGTGGCCCTACACTGTGACTGTCCTACACTGTGACTGTGGCCCCACACTGTGACTGTGGCCCTACACAATGACCTTACAGTTGTGACCCCAGTGTGACATAGTGGTCCTACACTGTCCATATTAACTGTTTTGTTTTGCGTTAAACTTGTAGTTTTAAGGTGACCCAGAAAGTGGTCCGTGCGGCTGCATGATGTTTCCGACTTGGCAGAGCTCTACTACAGCGTCTGCAGTCGCTCACATCACCATCATGTATTTTTTTTGTCATGTACAATAAATGTATTATTGTAATTATAACATAGGGCTTTTCAAAAGTGTTATTACAGCTCGAACATCGTCAAATGTTGTTGTGATGACATAAAGATTTTATTCAGAATTTTCAACTGAAAGACCACGACAAAGTAATACTTCAACAGAGCTTATTATTCATGGGAGGCGCTATGACAATAAATTCGTAATACTTCGACTTTCAAGTCATATTATTTAGAGAATAAAGTTGAAAAAAAAAAAATGTGAATAAAGTTATAATTTAATACGACTTTATTCCCGTTATGTTTTTTTCCCCTCAGTACAGTCGGAAGCACAGGTTTTTATGTTTTATTGTAGCATAGTTTTAACTTACTTTTATATATTTATTGCATGTTTCAATGAGGGTTTTATTTTTGCATTTTAATGTTTTAAAACTTGCTGCATGACTTTCCTCCCTTCTCTGCGGACTTCGAAGGCAGCATGGCCTCGACAGTGCACCTGCGGTCCAGGACGTAAATCTATATGGATTTACGCTGTCATAAACTAATTTTTGTCATTCATTACATTATTGTCTCAACTTAGTAGGGTTATATTCAATGTAATATGATGAAAAATAATCAATAAAACAATAAATCAATGCCGCAACCGGGTCTGCGCACGTGCGTGCGTTGTCCCTCTCGGTTGAAGGAGATGCTTGAGGTCAATCGTCTATGAATCCGTCAAGAGTGGATAAGTGCAGACACAGTTCATCACAAATAACACCACTGATGTTGGTTCATCAGTTTATCAAAGCATAAAAGTCATCTAGAGCTTCAAGAGGACAGAAAGACACAACAGCAGTGGTCCAAGTATAGAGTCCTCTATCCTCCTGGATCTACAGCCTCAGTCCTGGATCTACAGCCCTGGATCTACAGCCTCAGTCCTGGATCTACAGCCTCAGTCCTGGATCTACAGCCCTGGATCTACAGCCTCAGTCCTGGATCTACAGCCCTGGATCTACAGCCTCAGTCCTGGATCTACAGCCCTGGATCTACAGCCTCAGCCCTGGATCCACAGCCTCAGTCCTGGATCTACAGTCTCAGTCCTGTATCCACAGCCTCAGTCCTGGATCTACAGTCTCAGCCCTGGATCCACAGCCTCAGTCCTGGATCTACAGCCTCAGTCCTGGATCTACAGTCTCAGTCCTGGATCTACAGTCTCAGTCCTGGATCTACAGCCTCAGTCCTGGATCTGCAGCCTCAGTCCTGGATCTACAGTCTCAGTCCTGGATCTACAGCCTCAGTCCTGGATCTACAGTCTCAGTCCTGGATCTACAGCCTCAGTCCTGGATCTGCAGCCTCAGTCCTGGATCTACAGCTTGTCCGTTCGTGGGAGCTGATTCCTTCTCCCTCCACAACTCTGCTCCGAGGAAACTGCTCTCATGATTTAGGACGATACATGAATACATGAATGCCGAACTTTCTCATTGAGATAAGTGTCCTGCTGTCCTCCTCCGCGGCTGTAGAGAGCGCGCTGTTCAGCAGAACTCTGGCGGTCCGCCTCCTCCAGGTCCCCTTTGGGTGCAAAGAGCCGCTGCACGGCCGGAGCACACAGCCTGACTGCGGTAAGAGTCACTCTCTCCCTGGAGCCCAGAGCCCGAAGCTTCAGGGCCTCCCGGTTCCTGTGCACGGAGCCCATGGAGCCTCAGATGCGGCTGCACAGTTCTGCTGTGTCTGTGAGACTAGAGTGAGGCTGTTTTGTGTCGGCCATGATGTGTTTCCAGAAGAACGGAATGCTCTTAGAAAAGTACAAGAAGTTTATCACTTTAATAACGTTTCCTTTTTAATTTTATTGAGGCAGGAAATCAATAGAGATGCATTGATAGAGATGCAAACCACGTTTCGAAAGCAGAGCAAGAGGCTCTTCCTTCAGTTAAAGACGAAAATAATCATTTACAAACATAAAACATCTGTAGATCTCTTCACAACAGATGTAGATGTGACCCGGGGACACACTCGTCTGGAATACACACGGACAACGCTGTTGTGCTCTTGGATGTGTTGCTCCAACTTCCTCTTGTTCCAACTGAGTTTGGAAGTGGGCGGAGCTCAGGCTGCGGGAGCCCATGGTTCTGGCCCATGGTTCTGGCCCATGGTTCTGACCCATGTGCTGCATGTGGAGATTTCTGGATTAAATGCAAATATGGTGCGCATTTTGCAGAGTGGATATTTTTGGATGGAGTGGATATTAGTCTCTCACTCTAACACAGTTCACTCCCAACAACATGATACAGATAATGCAGTGTAACATGACAGTTATCTTTGTTTGAAGTCAGTAGAAAACTATTGAGCCTTATGTGCAATGTGGTGATTAGTTCAGAGGACTCTGTTCTTTCTCTCTTGTCTCTCGCACTGATCTCTCTTGTATTTTTAGAATGCATTACCCCTGTCATAAACCAAGGACCAATGCACACATCACATTGCATATTTAAAGAAAAATATTGTAATCCTGATTCACATGGGAAGGCAACATTAATTTTTTAAACATGCAACGGGCAAAATACCGTTCAATATTCAACAAGTTTTTGTAGATTACAGTTGTGACTCCAGCAACAATTGGAGATTTGTAATAGTACTGTATATTATGACATTGCTTTATATTTTGTGTATATATCCGAAACAAGTTCTCTAAGACCCCCAGAGATGGACACGATCACACATGCACGCGCACACACCATGTGAGTGCTCTTATTTTATTCTGCTGTAATGTTCGCAACTGTAACATTGAAATATTCCCACTAAGGGAAGATCAACGGTTTATCTTATCTTATCTTGGGGCGATAGAGGCTCAGTTGGTAAAGTATTGTCCTTTGAGCCAAAGGTCGTGGGCCCACCACAAGACCTACTCCACCAACTCCCACTGATGTCTGCTGTTGTTGTGTCCTTGGGCAAGACACTTAACAACACTGCCTGAAGCTCCTGCTGAAAGACCAAGGTTCTCGTGGACTCACCACCTGCAGGAGGATCAGTGAGGGGCTGGTGCTCCGTGAATTGGGTGGGTCTCTGACCCAGAAATGGATTGATGGATCTGTGGTTGTGCCATATTCATTCCCAGATAATTATAGAGTGGTCTGTGAGATAGTCAAAGCTTTAGAATTGTTTGTTTATCTTAAGCGTGCTTCAAAGTTCTTCACAGGTTCATCTTTGACCTCTGACCTCTCGGTTCCTCCATGGCCTTCCTCCCTGACCTTTCTGGTGCGCTTCTTGACCTTCATGATGTTGTTTTCTGACCTCTACACTCTGAACCACAGTTTTTTTTTTTATCCAAATGAAATATTTATGTTTTTAGTTGCAATGATGTGACAAAATGGGCTAAAGTTAGAGCCGTCACTTGGGGAAGACACTGTGTTCTTATTTAATTTCTTTTTTGCTCAAACTAAAACACTATAATCTTGGGCTGCAGGTGAGGGGCAGCATGGACGGGTGGAGCCGCCTGGAGCTGTGGGGGGAGCTGGCTCAGACCTGTGGCCTTGGGACACTGCACCAGGGCTGGGAGCAGCTGTGGAGACTGCTGCTGCTGTGTGGGCTGTGCAGGCTCGGCTTCACACTGGGTGAGACCCTCACATGTTGAAGAATGTTCTTTTGAGAGATTCAGAAGAACAGACCAAATAGAAAATTACTTTATGATTATTTTCCATTATTGAAATCAGCACCTCCAACTCAGAGGTCCTGGTGCTCTCCATGTGCAGAGGTCTTTTAGCCCTTTAGCATAGGTTAATCCTTTAGCTCTATATTCATCAGCATCATTACATCGTCTTAGTGTGAGCTTATAATGTGTTTAAAACTGTGACAATGGGAATACTGTTTAATATATTGCATTAGTGCACATACAGGACGGTAGTAAGGGCACACGTTTGACTTCAAGTGGCCGTTGTGTCATTGTCCCCCAAATAAATTAATGAAAATAAAATAAAAACACAATTGTGATTGATTTATCTTGTAAAAAGTGTTCACTGCAAATTTGGGAGTACTCCCAGTCCTTTTGGTTGATTGCCGCTGCCCATCGTCGCCTTCTGTCTTCATCACGAGCAGGTATCAGATAAAAAGACACATTTGGCTTATGTCCTTGCCTGTTAGTACAACCAACCGCACTGCAGAATATCACAGTTTTGGCTGTTATTATGTGAAACAGGTTGTTTCGGTCAAGTTTCTGACCGAAGCATTAGCATTGGCCGATTCTTATTCCGGGTCCACCCCCATCGGCCCGGGGTGGTATTGCAAGCATGTAGCCGGGATCCGTCCCCACTGGTCTCCACCCATTTCCTCAAGATTTCAGGTTAAGACTGAACTCACTTGTGGAAATGGGTGGAGCCTGCTCTGCCACAGCGGCCCTTTCTGGATTGGTTTAGACACTTCTGTGTTACATGAACATAATCCTCTGGTTGTTCTGCTTTCTCTGTCCCAGGCCGCTGGTCTCTCCTGAAGCACCTGGTTTCTGCTGGGGCAGGGCTCTGGGCTTTGTTCCTCTTCTTCCAGGCCCAGGCACTGTGGGTGGTGCTGCTGTGTGCCCTGTCCTACCTGCTGCTGCTGCTGAACCAGCGCTCTGGCAACAGGGGAGTGCTGCTATCTCTGCTCCTGCTGCTCTTCCTCCTCTCTGGGTGAGCAGTGGACCAGGGGTCTGAGTCCCTGTAGACTGGTGCTCTGAGTCCGAGTCCCCGTAGGCCGGTGGTCCGAGTCCCTGTGGACCGGCGGTGTCCGAGTCCCTGTGGACCGGCGGTGTCCGAGTCCCTGTGGACCGGCGGTGTCCGAGTCCCTGTGGACCGGCGGTGTCCGAGTCCCTGTGGACCGGCGGTGTCAGAGTCCCGGTAGACCAGGGGTCCGAGTCCCGGTAGACCAGGGGTCCGAGTCCCGGTAGACCAGCGGTCCGAGTCCCTGTAGACCAGGGGTCTGAGGGAAGCTCCTCACTGTGGTTCCTGTGACATATGGAAGTAAACTGTGATTGTGACATGTTTTGACTCTCCACATTAGCACCAGTAGCCACTAGGGCGGCGCATTAGAGCATAAGTTGATGACCACTGAGCTGACTCCTGAGCTCAGGGGCCAGCACTGTCCAACTACAGAAGTCTGTGCATGTGAGCAGGAGCACAGGTTCCCATAATGACTGATGACACATGTGACTCTTGCTTTGAAACGGTATTAATTTGACGGTTTTAATTCCCAGAGAGCTGCATTTTGTGGAGCCTGTGAGCTGGAACAAGATCCGAGGTGAGGACACACGCACACGTGCACATGCACACGTACACGTACACACACATACACGTACACATACAAAGAGCTGATCTTTTTGTGTGTGCAGGCTCTCAAATGGTGGTGGCCATGAAGGTTATCTCTCTGGCCTTTGACCTGGACCGTGGGGCTGTGAGCCACCTGCCGTCGCTACCTCAGTTCTTGGGGTACACGTTGTTTGTGGGCAGTGCAGTGTTTGGCCCCTGGACCCCTTTCACCCACTACATGAGCGCTGTGCAAGGCCGGCCGCTGGTACAGCTCTAACATCTGCACATTTTGTCATGTTACAACCACATACAATACTGTATTTATGAAATGTTACTGAAAAGATGACCCGGAAGTGAAGGCAAAATGAGACATGATTTTGTTCATTTGGGAAAAAAAGAAAGAAAAAAGTGGTGCATGCCTAAGTATTCATACACACAAGTGAATACTTCTAAGGAATCATCAGCTTCTGCTTCTTTTCCTCCATTAGTGTCCTGTATTCTGCTCCATTCCTCATACATCTCAGAGCTTTTCGTAACTGACAACATTCAGGAAGATGCACACCTCCCTCACGTGTGTGTATGTGTGTCTGCTTCCTGTGCAGTCCGTTGGGTGGGCTGTGGCCTGTGTGGTCAGGCTACTGAGGAGCCTGCTGTGTCTGCTGGTGTCCAGCTGTGTGGCTCCATACCTCTTCACCGTGTTTGTGCCCCTCACCGGAGGCGCCCTCACAGACAGGTGGTGTAACCCCTCTCCACAGAACAGTATATACATCATATTATAATATTTATTACACTTGTGATCTGTTCAGGTGGCTGCGTGCTTATGAGAACGCCGTCTCCTTCCACTTCAGTAACTACTTTGTGGGCCACCTGAGTGAGAGCAGCAGCATGTTGTCCGGAGCGGGCTCCATGCAGGACAAAGAGCCCACACACTGGTATCATGAACACACTGGCCTCCCGTCGCAGCCTTTGGGCCTTTTTCTCTGTTCTTTTACTGCTCTAATCTTTATGAGTTTCAATCAAATTCCATGTCTTTGTGTACTGCCCTAAAACAGAAGATGTCTCGGAGGAATTTACAATAGATCAGATAATCAAACTATTACAACTGAATCAAACACATCAGAACCATTGGTCCATAGGGAGCGGGATGACTGCTCAGAAATGTTTATGTCCATAAATGTCCTGAATCGTCAGACACACTACATCGGGAACGAACACCTCAGGAGGTACCACCGAGTCCGAGAATGTAACCATAAAGATTCAAAGTGAACATCTTCATGAGTCCATCCAGACAGGGTTACATGGTGCATTTATAGCTTAGTACTCAAGTATTTCTGCGTAAGTTCATCACATACTGCACTTGTGTGTAGTATGTGACGCAGGGAAATGCTGTTGGTTCTTGTGTGTTTTTGTGTGCAGAGACATGGTGTTGTCTCTTATATATGTGTATTTGTATGTGTGTGTAAGGACATAAGGTTGTCGTGTGTGTGTGTGTGTATGGGTGTGCAGGAACATGGTGTTGTCTCATGTAAATGTTTGTCTAAGGACATGGTGTTGCTTCTCGTGTGTGTGTGCATGCAGGGACATTGTGTGTGGTGTGTGTGTATGTGTGTGCAGGGACATGGTGTTGTCTCTCGTGTGTGTGTATGTGTGTGCAGGGACATGGTGTTGTCTCTCATGTGTGTGGTGTGTGTGTATGTGTGTGCAGGGACATGGTGTTGTCTCTCATGTGTGTGTGTGGTGTGTATGTGTGTGCAGGGACATGGTGTTGTCTCTCATGTGTGTGTGTGGTGTGTATGTGTGTGCAGGGACATGGTGTTGTCTCTCATGTGTGTGTGTGGTGTGTATGTGTGTGCAGGGACATGGTGTTGTCTCTCATGTGTGTGTGGTGTGTATGTGTGTGCAGGGACATGGTGTTGTCTCTCATGTGTGTGTGGTGTGTATGTGTGTGCAGGGACATGGTGGTGGTCCGGCCGCAGCAAGTGGAGTTCCCCCGCTCTCTGGTGCTGGTGGTCACCTCCTGGAACGTGCCCATGTCCCAGTGGCTGAAGACCTGTGAGGAATATACCTAACCCTAACCCATGTGTGATGTTTAGACCTGTGAGGGAACATTAAGAGATCCTTTATTTGTACCATAGTGGGGACATTTCAGTAAAATATATACTTGTTTGTATACATTTGCAGATAAATCAGTAATAAACAAGACCTAACCCATGTGTGATGGTTAGACCTGAGATCTATCTGTAAAAAAGGATAAATCTCTGGAACAGTCTCTAAATGAAGATGCACACAATCTGACTGAAGAAATTCCCAAACTTATTTGAAGGAGATTAATTGTAGTTGAACAAGTTTTTAAAAGTAACTCGTAAAAATAAAGGGCAGGGAGAAGTGTCTGTACCTGAAGTTATGACTACGAGTCTCTTTGTGACCGGGAGCAATAGAGTAAAATGATTAAGTTCAAAAAGAGACGTTTCTTCTTTAACATTTCCATCATGTTTCTCTCGTTTTATTTACTTTCTGTACATAGATGAAGTTGTTTGAGGACTTTGAACACATGATTTCAGGTCATTTTAGGCCTAGAGATTATAGGAGGGTTAGGCTGAGGGAGTAGAGATTACTGTTGTAGAGATAATTTTGGGGTGACAGTGGCTCAGTTGGTAGAGCATTGGCCTTTGAGCCTGAAGGTCGTGGGTTCGAGCCCACCTCAAGACCTACTTCACGACTCCCACTGATGACTGCTGTCGTTGTGTCCTTGGGCAAGACACTTAACCCCACTTTACCTGAAGCCCCCGCTGAAAGATCAAGGCTATGCCATAGAGCGGCCATCCTCCTGTGGACACCACCTGCTGGAGGATCAGTGAGGGGCTGGTGCTAAGTGTATTGGGTGGAAAATGGATGGATGGAGATTATTTTTACAGTAAGTAAGTAAGTAAGTAGTAAGTTTTTATTTATATACCGCCTTTTCACTGCAGATCTGAGTCTCAAAGCGGTTTACAATTGTTAATTTTGGGCATTTGTCTCTCACTCCACACAGAGATGGGAGGGGCCAGTACAGGAGGCACATGCCAGAACTATTGGACATATTTTTAGTGGTAGGGGAAACCGGAGTACCCGGAGGAAACCTACGCAGACACGGGGAGAACATGCAAACTCCACTCAGAAAGGCCCTGGTCCGGCCGGGATTTGAACCCAGGACCTTCTTGCTGAGAGGCGAGAGTGCTATCCACTCAGCCACCATGCCGCCTTTTAACAGTGATAGTTTGAGTTTGTGACCCCCTACATCTATTAACCTGGAAAACTGGATAATTGCAAATTACTTCATTCAAACCAACTGTGCTTCCCAGATGTGTTTAAAAACGCGGTGAGGCTGGGCACGTTCCCCGCCATCCTGGTGACCTACACGGCCAGTGCGCTGCTGCATGTGAGTACATGCTCAAAGAAACAAAGGGAGCACTTACACACCTATTGAAGAGATCCTTCAGTCAAAACGCTTGAGGAATGTACAGAGGTCCCTGGTTTTATTACAGGGGTGATGTGTTCTAAAAATAACCCACAATAATCGTTAAAGTTGCATTACCTCAATTTTTGTATTCATTACCAAAATTCCATCCATATCCATGCAATGCATTGGGATATACGTCCTTTTGAAGAATAAGTAGCGCTGGTGAGTCATTTTATTTTAGATCGAGTTTTTGTGCAACAAGGAAGATAATTTGTTTCGGGACCAGATTGTGACCAATCACAGCGGACCCGATAGCTCCGTGAGTGCGGGGAGGGCGAGCAGAAAGAGCGAGGCCAGCGCTCACACTCAAATATTTCACAAAGTGAACCCAACACCACACACTTTATATTCTTCTTTAACTACCTGAACTCACGACTGCTGAAGTGCGATTGCAGAGATACCAAACCTGTTGGTGGTCGGTCTGAGCGCTGTTGCAGCTGTGAAAAGCCGTGCATACATTGTAAAGTACAGCTGCAGAGGACACCGCGCTGAGGGGCAGGAGGTCTGGTTACACAAACTCCTCCACCACGAGTCTGACTGATTCCTTAACTCGCGGGTGGGATTGGCGTGCCCGTAGAGACAGCGTGGAGGGTAACATCAGAATAAAAACAGCAGGATCAAAGAGAACGTTAAACCAGGGGTTTTTAAGCACAAAATAGTGAGAGGGGCCAAACTGTTACTGAGCCCTGGGGAGTTTACTTTTCTATGTCTTAATTGAGCGAGTTGGAGCAAACCTTTACATTCAGCTTCATAGAGCTAGCTGGTTGCACAGTCCAGGTAGTCCATAAACCCTTGTGTCCCCAGGGCCTGAGCTTCCACCTGGGGGCTGTGCTGCTCTCACTGGGCTTTCTCACATACACAGAGCACGGTAAGCCAGCACACTGCTCCTAAGTAATAATTTCCAGGTAACTCTATAAAGGTTGTTAACTGCTTTATGCCATTATCTCCACAGTTTTGAGAAAGAAGCTGGCCGCCATCTTTAGTGCGTGTGTCCTTTCCAGACCATGTCCCTCTGGCTGCAGCCATCAGCACAAAACGGTAACTGTCCATAGGTAGCAGGATGATCACTGTCCAGAAATGTGCATAAACGTGCAGAAATGTCAAGGATCATGCACTAGCAAGGAACCACTCAAAATCCTTTGGGGAAAAAAAGGGAGAAACTTCAGGGAGGCTCAAATTGAGAGAGGGATCTCCAGTTTCAATATCTCCAGTTCTATTTCATCCCTCCTGACCGCCAGAGGGCGGTGCATAGCACTGAATGTTCCATGCACCGCCCTCTGGCGGTCATCCGGGATTCATAGAACCGTTTGAACTGCAAAGTCCTTCGAGATAACTGCTAATTTGATTTAAGGCTATACAAAGAAATAACTTGTATATTAATATATATAATTGAATAGAATCCGCCACCTACAGACGAATAGGCTGTAGATCCAGGACTGAGGCTGCAGATCCAGGACTGAGGCTGTAGACCCAGGACTGAGGCTGTAGACCCAGGACTGAGGCTGCAGATCCAGGACTGAGGCTGTAGACCCAGGACTGAGGCTGCAGATCCAGGACTGAGGCTGTAGACCCAGGACTGAGGCTGTAGACCCAGGACTGAGGCTGCAGATCCAGGACTGAGGCTGTAGACCCAGGACTCAGGCTATAGAATCAACCTGATGTCTTGTTGTGCAGGAGTTGTGGGTGCTCGGGCTGAATTTGGGCTTCAGCTTTCTGACCGTGCTGCACCTGACCTACCTGGGCTCCTTTTTCGACCCTGGGCTGAGCGAAGAGGAGGCTGAGGAGGTGAAGGCCACTCCCCTGTTACAGCCACATCTGCAGCACACATTTCAGATAAATGATGAAACACTTGAACTCGTCACATTTGTTTTGAATCCTTAGCCTAATATGTATAGTAATAATGTGGTGTTTGTTGGTGGCTCTGTGTTACAGGGTTATGCAGCAGTGCACACCCTCCAGCGGTGGTCCGAGCTCCACTGGACCAGTCACTGGATCGTCCTCCTGAGCTGGGGCCTCGCTCGCCTGCTTTAGCCCCGATGTCTCCTTGAGTTTCAGCTCTGGATCGTCTCCATCTTTACAAATGTACATAACTTTATCATGTGCTATATATCTGAATTATATTTTCTATACACTTTTTTAAAATAAAGTTTTTGACCGGTCATTGTGTTTTTGTGTGTGGAACATAATACAATATTGGTTTGTTATAAATGTCTCAATCACCATTTGATGGGTAGATTTGGGAAGTTTTAAACGTTGTCCAAAGACACAATATAGACAAACTAAAGTATTGTATATGAAATGACTATTGTCTTTACACTTCCTTCAAACCACAAATATTGTAACTATGTAAAAAGGTCCATGTAACTGTTTGGTTTTGTACAGGCATGCATTTTTGGCCTCTGTCATATCTTTAGATCAGCTTTTCAATTCACTCTCGCTTCTCAGCAAGAAGGTCTTGATTTGGAATCTCGGTTGGAACAGGGTCTTTCTGAGTGGAGTTTTCATGTTCTCGTGTCTGGGTTTCTGCCAGGTGCTCCGGTTACCCCTACCACTAAAAACATTCACAATAGGTGAAATCCTCCAGCTCCGGGCCTGACCAAGCCGAGTACCAACATCTGGAGGTGGGTTCCTTGGCACTGTACTATGGTGACCACTGCTCCTGACGGAAGCCTTATGGGTCAAATGCAGAGGACAATTTTCTCGACAGGGATAATAAAGTGCAAATATACCATAATACTGTATAACCTTATATTATTACTTATGGATATGTAATGACTGAAAATTAACGTGTTACATTCTTAATCCTTTGGGGAGCTACCTGAAAAGGGCAGGTGAGCTATAGGGGACCCCTGCCTTAGACCCTCATGCATCGGCAAGATAAGATAAGATAGACTTTATTGATCTCGCACAGGAGAAATTTAAATGTCACATTTGGCATGGATAGAATCACTCAAGGTTTGTGCAAAAGAAAGAAGTGTGCAAACATGTAAAAGGCAATTTGTTTTTGTCTTTTCATGATTTATTATGTACAATAATCTAGAAAAAATAATGGCAATTAAAGATACAGTGCAGGTTTTAGTCCTAGTGCAAGTGGCTTAAAGTGACTTATTGTACAGTCTGACAGCGGTGGGGTTAAAGGCCCTGCGGTAGCGCTCCTTCTCGCACTGAGGGTGTCTCATCTTCCACTGAAGGAGCTCCTCTACAGTCCTGTGCAGTGGGTGGGAGGTGTTGTCCCAATGGAGGTGACAAGGAAACACAAAAAGAGTGGGAAACATTTAAGAAACCTTGGGGAGGCCCACTTTGAGAGGGATCTGCTCCCATATATGGACATTCTGTAGATCCAGGACTCAATAATAACACACAGGTTTTGGTAATGATAGACTATAGCTTGAGTTGTTTTGGGTAAAACAATCGCTTGGTGTAGTGATTGCACCTCATCCTGTATGTTCACTCTGCTGCTTCCCATCTTTCACTTCACAATTTGTATTACTTGTGGTTTAATGCAAATCTTTCTTTGTGGCAATGTTCCTGGTTGACAGAAATAGTGGTTGTTTAGGAATTTGATTTGAACTTACCATGCAGACTGTAGTGAAACCTAACTGGGACTGAGCCGAGACCAGGACTTCTTGTTTTATGATCCTCAGGTGGACTTTGGGACTACACAGGGCTGAGCCTACCTGTCTGGTCAATCATTAGTCCAGTGTCAGTCGAAGGAAGAGGGTTCCCAAAGAAAGGTCCCAAACATGAGGCCCAACTGCAGCTGGATCGGCCCCAAAATCCCCCTGTCCTCTGAGATCTTCAGCGGTGAGTCAGCCACTCATTCACTAAACACTGCTTTTGTCATGTCACACCTTGTATCCTCACACAGGGTGGGATTATACCTCACTAATCTGTAATCTCCCTCAGCACCTGCCCATGTGGAAAAGCCCATGGGGAGCAATGGGCTTCAGCCCTCGTTCAACAGTCTGAGTCCTGGATCTAGGAGTGGATCCCTCCCTCAATGTGGGCCTCCCTGAGGTTTCTCATTTTTTTCCCAAAGTTTTTTGTTCCTTGCCGATGCAGGAGGATCTAAGAACAGTGGTGATGATCCAGGACCCTCGACGTTCAACAACTTTTATGGACAGTTATCACTATTTGACACTGGTCATCAGCCCCTTTTGGACCTGGCTCTATGTGTTTTTATCATTGTATTTCTTGCATTTCAAATGTTTGATTCTCTGATCTGTGTTGGCATGTTCAACAGTTTTGTAAAGTCCAACGAGATAACTCCTTTTGTGATTGAATTAGAGAAGCCCATGTGGAAAAGCCGTTGCTGACTACAAACACACACAGTGTACATAAAACATGGACTGCAGAAAATTGCAGTTCAATGCAATAAAAAAACATGAACTATTCTTCAGATTCATTATGAGATACATTATGATTGAGCTAAAGTTAAACTGCACCGTGAAGTGGAAAACTGGACAGAATTAAGAAGAAAATCACTTCCACACCATCTCCTCATGGACTCAAACTGACCTTTTCCTTTGTTCCTTGCCAATGAAGGAATGAGACAGTGATGATTCAGAACATTTCTTGCACATTTATAAACATTTCTGGACAGTGGTCATCCCACTCCCTATGGACCATGTGTTTGCTATTATTGATTCTCTGATTGGTTGAAACTTTGTAAAGTCCTCCAAGACAACTGCTGGTGTGATTTGGGACGAGACACAAATACATTGAATTGGTTAAATTACACTATTATTTATCCCCATTGGCCAATTGTGTTTGCATTTGACTCATCCTGCATTGTCACTAGGGTCTCTGTCAGGAGCAGAGGTCGCTGTAGTGTAATGTGCGGAAACCAGAGCACCTGAAGAAAACGTATACATGAGAAAATGCACCTTCTTTTTGAGAAGCAAGAGTGCTCTCCCCTGAAATGAAACTATTAGCTGAACTTAGCAGAAATATTACAATATTAAATGTGTTTTGCTCTGAGCTGTTTCAGTGGAAATAACATCCTTGTACAATGTGCTTGTTTATATAGAGGCCTGAGTTTTAAAAGCTGTTCTGTCCTGTCTCCTGCAGCCATCAAAGACGAGCTGTGGCTGTTCCTGATCCCGGCCGGTCTGGCTCTGCTCACACTGGGGCTGTTCCTGGAGGAGGTGGGCTTCTTCCTGCGCCATGTGCCGTCTGCCCGGCGCTGCCAGCTGAGCCTGTGGATCTTAGGCATATACCCGGTAAGACTGAGGGCTGGAGGAAAAGGCCAATAGAGACACATAATATGCACAATTCTACATATTATGTACAACACGCAGGAGTGTCTAAGGACAATTATGATCCGACACATTTAAGGGCATATATTTACATTATTGGACAGTGGTCATGCCGCTGCCAATGGACACAAATGTGTTTGTTATTATTGTATATCCTGTGTTTGAACTATTTGATTCTCTGATCTGTTGTTGGTGAATCAACAACTTTGTAAAGTCCATTGAGACGACTCCTGCTTTGATTTAGGGAGATACACAAATACATGGAATTGTTGTCTTGCAGGTGTTCGGCCTGAGCTCTCTCGTGGCCCTGTACGTGCCACGCTCCTCCTCACTCTGTAACTTCCTGGCTTCTCTGTGAGTATGCTTCGCTCTTTCTCGGGAAAATTGTCTGTATTCTATATTTCTAGCTGACTCCCTAACATAATTTACACTGCTGACACTCATTTTATGCAATTTTGAGGACCCCCTTGGTGACAAGATGTTTCATTTCTAGTGGCTTATCCTTGAAAGAAAAAAAAAAACATGTTCAAAAACTCAATGAATGGGGTCCTCCACCATCTTCAAGTGGAGCATGTCCCTCAGAAAAGCGTGTGTGTACGAGATCCAATGGACGCAGCGCTGTTAGTGACAGACATGTGGTGTGCAGGTACCACTCCTTCACGCTGCTGAAGTTCATGGGGCTGATCACGGAGCTGTTTGGCGGAGAGGACAGGATGATGGAGGTACTGTCGGGGCAGACCGTCTCTCCAGACCCTTTCCCCTGCTGCTGCTGCTGCTGCCTGCCCCTGGTGGCTGTCAACAGGTATTCCTCATTGTGGGCGCCTCGTACCGTGTGTGTGTAGCATGTTTAACATCAATCGGAAGGGAACAGCTTCAAGAAGCTCCAACTACGCTTCTGTCCACACCTGTGGATGGGGATTAGGGTGAATACTGTCAGATAAGATAAGATAAGATAAGATAAACCTTTATTAGTCTCACAGTGGAGAAATGTCAGTGTCATCGTTGCACATTATAGCAGAGAAAGGAAATAAGAGCACTCGGATGCTAGCTCTCATCTCCCCCTTATGACGAACATGATGTGCCTGATCCCTGATGTACCTCATCCCTGATGTACCTCATGCTGAGCCTCATCTCTGGTCCTTGTTGGTGCAGGAGCAGTCGGGGCTGGATGATGGCCGCCGTCCTCCAGCTCTCCGTGGTGCGCAGTCTTTTGTTCTTCGTGACTCTGGTGCTGTGGACGGACGAGCGGTACAACTACGGAGACGTATGTGGGACACGACACACAGCTGGAAACACCTATGGGGGTCAAGGGTCATGGAAGATTAAACATTTTAAAACAATCACATCATTTATTTGACTAATTTAATCAAACATTAAACATTCAACATAAACCACAATTGTTATCTGTCATGTCTCTGTATTGACCTATTTGTGGTGGATTCTTTCTGTATAGGTTTCCTCCAGGTGCTCTGGTTTTCCCTACCACTAAACACATACAATAATAATAATAATGCATCGGTTTTATATAGCGCTTTTTTGGTTCGTTCAAAGACGCTTTACATGTCATTTTTCATTCACTCCATACACGGTGGTGATAAACTACTACTGTGGCCACAGTTGCCCTGGGGCACACCGACAGAAGTGAGGCAACCAGCCTGTGCCATCGGCCCCTCCGACCACCACCAACCATTCACAGACACACACACTAGTACAATAGCACTGAGTGAGTGTGTGTTTATGAGTGTGACTATGAGACAGCATATGGAAACTAGCTCATGGAACAGCAGCTGTGACATGTAGCTTTTGGCTATTAAAACAACAATGAGACCATTTACGTTCTTATTTCATGTTTTAGAATGTGAAATTATATCTTAGATAGAAAATACATGGTGAAGGGTAAAGGGTAATTTGTTGTTTTTATTATACGCCATGTACTCTGTGAACCCTGACCCAATGGTTGTATCTTGTGTCCACAGATGGACTCGGTGAACCCTAACCTGTACGTGAACGCCATCATTGGCGTGTCCACATTTGTGTCCTTCTATGGTCACCTGCTCTTCTACAAGGCCACGCGCCGCGCCTTGCCGCAGTGCGCGCTCAGGGCCAAGTTCAGCTGCATTATCGTGGTGCTGGTGCTGTGTGGGCTTCAGAGCGGGATCTTGGAGACTATGGGGGCCCTGAGGGTCATCCCCTGTACCCCCCCTTTCTCTGTGCTGGCCCGCTCACAGTGTACTTACACTCACAAACAAACACACACACACACACACACACACACACACACACACACACACACACACACACACATACACGTTTTTGTTACCTGGTGGGTCCCTTTGACAGGGCCGTTCAGAATGGGACCCATAGACATAATCTTTTTTTACCAAGACTTTAAGTAATACAAAACAGTCAATAGAAACCAAACAACTATTTTAAAGGAATTTTATTTTAGATTTTGTTTTCGAATTGCAGTGATTCTATTTTTGACATAGAATTTAATGCCACTCCATGTCCGATGTCTAAGGTCATCTGGTGAGGCATTAATGCAGGCCAGGCAGTGAGACTTCCCAGGGACCTTTCCAGTCTGTATGAAAGGTGTCATGGTCTTCTCCACAGCCTTCACCTCAGATGCAGACCATGGCTTTCTTACACGTTCTAGGGAGAGAAATAAAAATATATTAGCAATATACACTCCCAGGGTGAGGACCAAGCAGCCTGGCTGTAATCCCCCACCTGGTACACTTACCAGAAGGGGCACTGCCACTACCATGGGGTGCATCTGGATGAATGGTTGAAGGTTCTCCGCTTGAAGTTTCTTTTAGCCCGTCCGTTTGTGAGAGGATCTCTACTGCTCTCCCTGTCGCACAGAAAATAAAAATACAAGTGGCCTTTAGGGGAAAAAAATCATACATATTTTAATAATATCAAGAATTACCTTCAGGCTCAATTTGTATCTGGTCGAGGCTCTTTCCTTCGAATTCCGTCACTCTTCCCTGCTCCATGGCCATCAACACTTTGCTGATTTTGGCCAGCTCCAGTGTCCCCTCTGGTAGTCTGTAATATTGCCTGTGGATGCGAATGTCATGGCCGAGGAAGTTGGCAAGTATGTCCATCTCATTCTCTTTCATATTGAGAACTGTAGACATAGTAGCTATGTGCTTTCTAAGTTTGGTTGAGGATAGCATCTCTGGATGCACCGCACCACATTCTTTGGCTACCTGGCGTAGGGAGTCTGATCCCCTGATGTGGGTGTCTGCGCCCGGGCGGGAAAAGAAGTATGGGTTATGGTCAGAGATGGAACAGGCCCTTCTGTTCTCCACCAGCACCTCCATCGAAGCAATCATTTCAGGAGTCAAAAGAACCGGCACTTTCCGACTTCTTTTCCCTTTAATTTCAATGCGTTGAAAATGCTGACACAGCTTTTTCTCAAGTTGGGACAGTCCCAGAGCAATGTCAGAATGGATCCCAGTCTTACTTCTTAAGGTAAAGGCTGTCAGTGGCATCTTTGAAACCTCACCTTCCCTTCTTCGATTGAAAATGATGACCTCACAAAGAGTCAAAACTGCCAGTTTAGACCAATGCTTAGACGTTGGCTCACTTATTAGGGTTTGCACATATTCAGGTCGACATACCTCAATATGTGCATGCATGGCTCTAACGTCCTCAGTCAGAGGGAGCAGGTCCGGAGTGTTCCACTTGGCTTGCCGGAGGGTCTGTAGGGCAGCAGAAGAAACACAGACGTCCCACCTCTTCTCAAAAAGCAGCCGGCTTCGTTGGAGGTTTTTAATAAATAGTTCATCAACACAATGCTCCATTTTTGAGTCACATTCAAGAATATCTGCTAGCTTTCTGAGGCTATGGCCGAGTTTGAGGGCCAAGGATGGAGTCTTGTATTGATTTGTTTCCTCATCATATCCAGCCACAGACCTGACTGCATCAATCACATGGTTAAAGTTGGAAGGAATAAAGAAATCCTTAATTGTTTTCAGTTTCCCTGCGGTTTTTGCTTCGTTAATTAACCTACCGACTTCTCTCATTTTCTGCCTAA